CCCCCACACCACTCTCAGCCTCCCCCCCACCACCCTCGGCCTCACCCCCACCACCCTCGGCCTCACCCCCACCACCCTCAGCATCACCCAGAGGCGGCTCTGTGTCTGCGATGGTGGTCGGGCAGCCAGGAGGGGACTCGCACCCGGCGGAATACCGGGCAAGCCGCCGGGCCCCCTCCTGATGTCAGGTCCTCGGTCACTGACCGAGGACCTGACACAGTCTGCCATAAGGTGGTTTAGGCGGCCGCGAGGCCTTAGGCGGCTGCCTAAACTACCTAATTAGAGAGCCACCTCTGTTTGCGGTGCGTTAAACGGGAAGTTTGGTCTGTCACTGTGAAGCGGGCGTAACCCTTACACTACCTGATCAATACAACATCATACCTGATGTTTTAAAGCACGTTATTCCAAACAATTTAGGAATGTTAGGTGATTTATGCCCTTTATGGATTAAAACCAGACTCTGCATCAATTATGTTATTTTGCATGGGAGGTTTGCCATGGATCCCCCTCCGGCATGCCACAGTCCAGGTGTTAGTCCCCTTGAAACAACTTTTCCATCACTATTGTGGCCAGAAAGAGTCCCTGTGGGTTTTAAAATTTTAAAAATACCCACACTCGTGAATGAAACTTTTTTGACTGTAATATAATAGCAGTCAGGTTCCTTCACGCGTGTGCGTTTTAGGGCCTGCCAGGGCACAGTGTCACTCCAGTGCAACTCATATCTGGTGTAACAGTAGTGTACAGGGGGAGGCTGAGGGTGGTGAGGCTGGTGGGGGGGTGGAGATGCTGGTGGGGGGGAGGCTGAGGCTGGTGGGGGGGGAGGCTGAGGGTGGTGAGGGAGCCTACCTTCTCTTCCCTGGTGGTCCAGTGGCCACTTCTTCCGGTCTGCAGCTCCGCAGAGCTGCAGAGCGTGTAATATCGCAAGACCATCAGAGCGTTGCCGTGGTAACCCGTGGCAACGCTCTGATTGGCCAATTCTCGCGAGACACATGGTCTGCAGCTCTGCTCACTGCGGAGGTGCAGACCTGTGTCTTCGATGGTGGCCGGGCAGCCAGGAGGGGCCTCGCACCCGGCGGCATACCGGGCAAGCCGCCGGGCCCCCTCCTGGTGTCAGGTCCTCGGTCACTGACCGAGGACCTGACACAGTCTGCCATAAGGCGGTTTAGGCGGCCACGAGGCCTCAGCCAGCGCGACGCCTTAGGCGGCCGCCTAAACCACCTAATTAGAGAGCCGCCTCTGTTTGCGGTTGTTTGCGGTGCTTTAAACGGGGAGTTTGGTGTGTCACTGTGAAGCAGGCGTAACCCTTACACTACCTGATCGATACAACATCATACCTGATGTTTTAAAGCACGTTATTCCAAACAATTTAGGAATGTTAGGTGATTTATGCCCTTTATGGATTAAAACCAGACTCTGCATCAACTATGTAATTTTCCATGGGAGTTTTGCCATGGATCCCGCTCCGGCATGCCACAGTCTAGGTTAGTCCACTTGAAACAACTTTTCCATCACTATTGTGGCCAGAAAGAGTCCCTGTGAGTTTTAAAATTCAACTGCCTATTGAAGTCTATGGCGGTTCGCCCGGTTCGCGAACATTTGCGGAAGTTCGCGTTCGCCGTTCGCGAACCGAAAATTTTATGTTCGCAACATCACTACTTGTTTTACACATGATGAGTGGGGACCTACCTTTTGTGCATTGCAGCCACATGCATGATTATCAAACTTCTAACACTGGGTGGGGACTATATATTTTTTGTCTTTAGAAATTTACCTCCAGAGACAGAAACTGAAGCAATGTTACGAGAGTTAAAATAAGGGAATGTTCCATCAGATATAGGACAGTTGGGTGGTATGGTTTTACGAACAATTTAAACGAAGTCCTGTTTTCCATTTTCCCCCCCCTATAATGTTAATTTTACAGCTTATATGTGTGTCTGGAAGTGGGGTGGGGATGGAAATTAGATAAGTAGACATCGTTTTGAGAAAACACATGGCATAGTTGTATAATTAAAAAACAGAGGATGCATATATTTTTGGGAGTTGTTTTTTACAGTTTGGTTTTTCTCCAGTAATTTTACTGTATCGGATTGGTTAAGATCACATGGGCTTAAAAAAGGCACATTTCTCCAATCCCACATTTTCACACTCATTCTCTTTGGATATTTCGATGGTCCCATGATTATTAGGGTGGGATCTATAATCTCCATGATTAATCTCATGCTTGTTTTGGAAATCCCCACTTGCCTGGAAGGACCTATTAAAATTATTACAAGCAATTTTCTTTTCTGATCATCACAGTGCTTGTGAGAGTACTCTCCAGAACCAGGTACAGTATGATAATAAGTAGATTTGTAAATTAGGGAGCTAATTCTGAAATCAATGACCGTCTTAATGATTTCGTTGGTGACTGTATATAAATAGTCACCGGGTGCTGTAAATTGTTGGCCTCCTGATTAATACTGGGGTAGATATAACTCCCTACCCTGTCTGTGGCATAGAGTGATGTATGTGTCTATTCCCTTTAACAAGGCAACGGTTAAGTGATATTTTTTTTGATTACTGTAGGTAGTTTTCTCACATTGAGGAGATCTCAACAGCTTTTATATATCATAGGACCTATTAAAACCCTCACAATTCACAGCATGTGGAGTTACTGTCTCAGATATATAATACATTCGAGAAATACATGTCCTCTGGGTAAGAGACAATCTGGTGGGCCTTCTTTCTAATCCAAAATATGGTTGTATTAATGGATGGAAATCATGAAGCCTCATATGCTTGAATTTTTCTCTTTATATAAGAATTTGGATATATTTTTGTAAAAACTTCTATATTGTTGTGAGCATGTGGGGATAGTTTTATATTTACCTGAAAGGTCCAATTATGTAAATAGGATTCCACGACAGACAGGACAGGCCTTGTGGTTTTATATATGTTTCAATGTCGTGTTTATAGATAGGTGTAAAGATAGTTTGTATATGTTTGCAGCGTTTTATGGCTATGTGTCTTATTCAGGGCAATTCTAAATTAAGAATTGCTTTGATTTTACACCTGTTGTTTTCCTCCCTAACTATCTTTTTTAGTGGGCACTCAAACCTGTTTCCTCCAGGTTTAGCCATAGATCTGTACAGCTATTAAAGGACAAAGATAGTGTAAAAGGAAAATATGCATCTTATCTCAAAATGTTGAGAACCACTAGCTGTTGAACAGTTCCCTGGACCCTGTCTATTACATAACGAACATCCTCCACTGTTCTCCTGATCCTGAGGTTTAGAAAACTGGGGGTTTTGTTTCTTGAAATATTTATAAAGGGTCATATGTGGAATTTGTACACATTTACAAATCTATCACTTGTTTATCTGTATTTGTTTTTTCCATTTGCAGGTTTCTCTGTATACTCGAACATGGCCATGAGAGAACAAGCCGCGCAGATCCAGCCTGTAATCTGTCTTCCTACAGATAAAACCATATTTTCTGTCTTTTCATCTATCTCTTAACTTGCATTACCTAAATTCCCCTGTGGTTGATTAAGGCCTTCATTTGATTTTACTGTGTAAACTGAAAACGTTACATACCACATAAATTTATATTTTGATGCACATCATTCAACCACTAATCTCTCCACCTTCTGCATTCATTTTTGCTTTCACCCACACAGCTGATCGACATTCATTTAACCTTACATTTATCTACCAACCACTTGTCTTTACGCTCACAAATCCCACAGCCACCCATCTATTTCTTTGCCTGGCACTTTATTCTCACCCAACCAAAAATACATTCGGCCACCCAGCAATTCTCAACCATCAAGCCTTCTCAGTCATCAGTACGTTTTCAAAGATCCTTTCAACAGTCCTTTTCTATACCTATCTACTCATTGTTCCTCACACTAACCCAGTCTTCAACTCATTCTCCCATATGTGCATCCATCTACCCATTTCAATTTACCCTTCAATCAGTCTCACCTGACTTCTACTCTGGTTTGTTGCAATCTCTAAATGTTGGCATTCACAGTTAATCTGTCCTTTTTGTACAGGAGAATGTGCTGAGTCGAGTGGCGAGGATTCCTCTTATTCATTCAGCCTTCCAGATTACCTCCTTTGCCTATCAGGATATAAAAAATATAAATCCTTTGTTGGGATATTTCTTTAATGTGTCTGAGAGAGGAGTGAAGACTGCCACCCAATTAGCTACTACAAGCTTGGGGCCTGTCCTGCGTGTTGTGGAACCTCAGAGTGAGTAGACATTCCTAATGCCAAATTATTACTATACGTGAAAGAGGAGCGAGACCTCGAACAATTGGTCATGCTTCGGAGTTTGAGAGGGTAATGTTCAGATTAGGAGGTCTATTAAAGAGACACTGCCAGAGGTTTAGGTTAAATAGTTGACACATTAATAGAACACTAAATAAATAAATTATTTTTTTATTTTTTTTTTGCAATAATTATGTAGAATAAATTAAAAACAAAGCAGGTAACAGATCCTAAAAATATAACCCACCAGTGGGCTTCTACACACTAAACAATAGCGACTTGAAATAGAAGCAAACAATAAATATAAAATATAGTGTGAGCGCTCCTACGGGAAAAATTTATTTAAAAAAATGAATAGATCTAATAGATGTATTAACAGCAATATTTAATAGTATCAACAGATAAAGACACATCAGCTCAAAAAAGTAATAGTATCAATCAGACGTAGATACAAAACAACTACAACTCACATGGCCGTCAAGCATAGGTAAAATATAAAAATGTCCAACAGGATGTAAAATATACCCCCTAAAGATAAACGAGAGAGGGGAATATTCATTAAACAGTGAAATAAATACAGGGTAGAAAACGGTATATAAAAAAAATGTGTGGCTATCCAATGTATATATCTAATAACCAATTTTGTTTTTACTTTTATGAGTGGAGCAATTTAAAAGAATATATATTTTTTTAAATTTGACACACAAAGGATTAAAAGTTGCTTGCGCGTTTTGCTCTCACAGTATAAGATAAGAATGGTTCCTGTTATTCTTTTAAATCCAACAAGCCTCAATTGTTGATGCTCATACTGTCAATCAGGCATAGTGATGTTGGCATCATTTAAGCACAACTGTCACATCAAGTTTTCCACTTATAGCAAGGATTGAACAATTCGTTTTATTTCATGTTTTTTTTTTTGTTTTTTTTTACTGGTATATTTAATTTACATTGTATGCCTAGCTATCAAATGCATTTAAACCAAGCAGTGCTGTATTCCTGTTACAGATCAGAAATATTTATTTTAATGTGAGCTTTTCAATATAAATTCTAATGGAAATTTGATACTTAACGCAAGAAAGCGATTTAATAATTATAGACGATTTGTTTCTGTGCTGCCTTTGAGAGTGTCTTATCTAAATATAGTTATAATTGTAAATTTAAAAGTACATATTTTTTCTTCTGCACAGTTACATTTTGATTCTTTATTTTTCTATTTTTGCTTTTTTATTTTATAGTAACGAAATAAAATACAATTAAGAAGTGTTCTAGTCAGTTTATTTAAATATCATTTTGTAAAAGTTAATGCCGACTGCTGAGGGGTATTATTTTAGAGTGTGTCCTGCAGGAATTTCACGTGGCATTGTCCGTGACAGAGGTAACAGGGGGCCACGTGTCCTTCAAAGCCCCTCTTTTTCTGTTTCATAGCAATCAAATACGACCGTGCCGTTGTGCCTTGTTTCCAGAGATCATTCTAGAGTCCTGTGCCAGATACCAGCTGTTTCAGGGCTCACGATGAGTATGCCAAACTAACCAACCGTGGGTATGGCCATGTGAACGAATAAACAAGATACCGCTGTGATGCAAATAGGACGCGTTCCCCAGCTCGGTGGGAGCCTCTCCTCGCAAAAGGGAAATTCAGAGCCGGCTAATTTAACACTGACTGTTTTAAGTGAGAAATAATTATCTTCCATTCTCAGGAGACCAGCCTCGGCTAATAGTTCCTTTTATTTAAAATCTTCAGAGTTAGTATCCGAGTTGTGAGAATGTTAGACAAAAAGGCTGTAGTTATCCCTTCCCCCTGCTAAGAGACAAAGCCGGGTCACAGAGAATAGAAAGACACATAACGAAGATGCGCAGGAGGTGAAGGTGGGGGTGGTGAATGTTGGGTACAGACATACACGAGGGATGTTGTGTTCAGTTCTATAGAGCAGATCTCCAGGAGGATATAGAGAGGTAGTGATAGTACTTTATAGATCCCTGGTAAGTTCTCACATAGAGTATTGTGTTCAGTTCTATAGAGCAGATCTCCAGGAGGGTATAGAGAGGTAGTGATAGTACTTTATAGATCCCTGGTAAGATCTCACCTAGAGTATTGTGTTCAGTTCTATAGAGCAGATCTCCAGGAGGATATAGAGAGGTAGTGATAGTACTTTATAGATCCCTGGTAAGATCTCACCTAGAGTATTGTGTTCAGTTCTATAGAGCAGATCTCCAGGAGGATATAGAGAGGTAGTGATAGTACTTTATAGATCCCTGGTAAGATCTCACCTAGAGTATTGTGTTCAGTTCTATAGAGCAGATCTCCAGGAGGATATAGAGAGGTAGTGATAGTACTTTATAGATCCCTGGTAAGATCTCACCTAGAGTATTGTGTTCAGTTCTATAGAGCAGATCTCCAGGAGGGTATAGAGAGGTAGTGATAGTACTTTATAGATTCCTGGTAAGATCTCACCTAGAGTATTGTATTCAGTTCTATAGAGCAGATCCCCAGGAGGATATAGAGAGGTAGTGATAGTACTTTATAGATCCCTGGTAAGATCTCACCTAGAGTATTGTGTTCAGTTCTATAGAGCAGATCTCCAGGAGGATATAGAGAGGTAGTGATAGTACTTTATAGATCCCTCGTAAGATCTCACCAAGGTCTCACTTACATGCGCCATAAGTAACCAGTTACGCAAGTTCCACCTAATGTATGTGACAATTCTGCAGTAGTACAACTTTCAAATTATCTTTAGAATTATTTCATGGCAATCACATGGTGCAAAGTCACTCCACCAAAGTTCTTATAGGGATGGTCGGTTCTGCCATATGGATCAATAAACATATATTCTATGAGCCATATACACAAACATATTCACTAAAAAACGTATAAAAAATATCTTTTGAGCAGGGTCTTCATCATCCAAATGTTCCTGTACCAATTTGTAATTGTTTAATTTATTAAGTTTCCACCTTTATAATACTGTAACGCGCTGCAGAATAAGTTGGCGCTATATAAAAGCTAATAATAATATTCACCCACATAGAACTGCTGGCCCCTGGGTAAAGAAACAAGGAAGGGCCCACTTGTAGTGAGTGTTGTAATATGTAGCATTAAAAAAAAAGTATATTTTTACCCCCTTCCTATCTAAGCCCTGGTGGCCCATTTGGTACAGCGTGTTGTCGCATGCTCTTGCCACGGTGTCCTGGCAGCAGGGCTCTGACTCAGTACCTTGATCTATTATCTTACCTAGCAGTCCCCTGCAAAGTTTAACAGTTACTTCTTTTTTTTAAAAATTCTTTATTTTAAAGATTTTCTGAGGGGGTACAGAAGGAAGGGAATTGGGTAGCATGCAGTGGCGTACATAACGGGGTCGCGACTGCGACCGGGCCCAGCCCACAAGGGGGCCCGGCCACCCTGCGACCCGGTATGTATGCCAGTGCGGCCAGCCTCTTCTCCTGGGGGGGCCCAGGGGCTGGCTACCTCAGGGCCCCCCCGAGGCTGGCCCTGGTATCACCCGGCAGGCAGGCTGGCTGGCGGGCGCGCGAGGGAGCACTCTTCCCCCAGTGCTTCCTCTTCAGCTCCCTTGCGCACCGCACTGATACCAGAGCCAGAAGATGATGTCATCTTCCGGCTCCGGCATTAGTATGCGGCTCCTCTATCAATGAGACAGCCACTTGAGGCTGGATTAACCCTCAGTGAAACATAGCAGTTTCTCTGAAACTGCTATGTTTTCAGCTACAAGGTTAAAACCGCCATGTGTTGCGGCCCTAGCCCGCGCAGAGTAACGGATCAGTTTTCGTACTAGGGCCCCATGGGTTGTGTGTACTGGTAGCATGAGTGGTGGAACATTTTGTCTCCAATACGCAGATTGGTCATGCTTGTACCCTGTATACCCTTATACAGTTTGTTCTCGTATATCATTTAGGTCGGAGGGGTACAGGTGGGTTACAAGTTTCAAGCCAACAGCTGTCGTTTTGTAAACCTTTATAGTGGTATTGGAGAGGGTGGTAGTTAGAGCTGGTTGACAGTTGCTTCTCAAGTCTTTCTTAGTAGGTCTGAGTTGTTGTGCGTTTGATGTCCTTTTGAGTGGTATGTCTGGTGTTTGTTTACCTGTGGGGGGCCTAGGTGCCCTCTCGGATCAGAAATTTTATTGTGGAGGTTGTTCTGGAGGTTGTGTGGAGTTTGTCGGTTGTTGGTGTCGTGCAGGGCAAGTGGTCCCTGTAGTCCTCGGTGACTACGTTGTTGTTGATCACTTAGTTTCCCGGTGGTCGTGACAGGTGGTGATTTTGTCTTGGTTGTGCTTGTGTTGTGTTTGCGATGGTAGTCGTGCGTTTAGTGGATGGTCGAGGGTGTTTTGCGTGTTCTCTGTCATGATGGGTTCTGCAGGGTTCCCAGTGGGTGTTCTGTATGCGTGAGTTTACTTTAAGTGACTTGTGGGGGGGTCGGTGCTGTGGGGGTGAAGGGGGTTGGAGGGAGGTCCCGGAGCGGCCACTCGTCCCGGACCGTCTCCTACACCCCAACTAGGTGCCTCGTAATCCATGGGTCCCAGATTTTGTGAAAATGTTTTGTTGCGTCATGTAGGATGGCTGAGAATTTGTCCATTTCCATGGTTTCATTAGTTTTTTGGATCATTTTTGCTAGTGTAGGCGTGTTGTGGTTCCCCATTGTTCTGCTATGGTGCGTCTGGTGGCGAGAGCTATTTTCGCTACCAGTTTGTTTTGTGCTCTTGGTAGATGGGTTGGGGCTTTGAGAGGAGCCATGTCCATGGGTATGTCTACATGCAGTATTCTGGACATGTGGTTGGCGACCTCGGTCCAGAGTTGCGAGCTCTGCGGGCAGTGCCAACACATGTGAATGTAGGTTCCTTGTTGCATGCATTTTTTCCAGCAGGTGTCTGTGGGGGCGATCCCCATTTGTTTGGGTCTCAGGGGTGTCAGGTACCATCTGAGCATGGTTTTGTATGCTTGTTCCTTATGATTCACACATATGGTGAGCGAGGCGGTGGCTTCCCATATGCTTTCCCAGTCTGATGGGTCCCCTGGTGGGCCTATGTCAGTTTCCCAGGCCTTCGTGTAGGTGAGTGTGTCTGCTGGGGAGTTGAAGTTCAGTTGGGAGTATATCGTAGAGATTTGTCCCTTGTGTGTGGGGACTTGTAGGCAGGTTATCTCTAATTGTGTGAGTTTTGTGGTTGCTGTTTTTATGTTTTGAGGTTCTTTCAGGAAGCTGCGTAGTTGTAGGTAGCGAGAGTTCTGGGAATGGTATAAGTTGTTGGTTACTGAATAAATCCCTAAGTCTAATCAATATGTTATCTTCGTAGTGTTCAAAGTCTTGTGGTGTCATGCCGAGGGGGAAGCGCTTGTTTCTTGGTATTGGGGTGAGTGGTGAGGGGGTGGCACGTGGTAGTCCTATCCCAAACTTGTAGGGATGTGGTCAGGGCTGGTGATGTTGGTAGGAGTTCTGGTCTGTATATTTTGGGGAGCCAAAAGAGGAGGGAGGGGTGGTCTTTGCCCAGGAGGTCTAACAGTTATTTCTTATGTTACCAGAATGAAAATATATATATTAAATAATGATTGTGCAACGGGAGAAGGTGGCTAAATTGGCCTGCTCCCACCCCTCCCCTCCCCTCCCCTGAGAAACGGAACCCCTGGGCCCAGTCGATAGAGAGATCGCTGCAACCCTAGTAGTTCCACCAGTAACGAACAACAGAACTGACACTGAAATAGTAACTCCATATTTCAGCCGATATAGCAAATCAGTCATACAATGTGTCTTCATTTTATGTGATTAAACAGAGTAAAAGAGATGTTCAGGAGATGGAAGCTGTCAGGCTCAAGTGAAAGTTGATAGTACAGGTTACAGATAGAAAGATAAAGGAAAATGTACTGATTATTACAGAAGCCAAAGGTTAAAATACATAGATAACGGGGTTATTTACTAGAGTGAGAATTATTGGGAATTCAAAGTCATTTTAAAATGTAAAATCAGAAAAAAATAATTAGAAAAAAATCCCAGCATTTTTCTAGTTTGGCTAATTTGGCCTTAAATTTGAAATATTTTTTAACTCCGAACAATTCTCACTGTAGCGAATAACACTGATAGTGTGACATTAAACACTTTAAATTAGACTTTGGAATGATTTGATTCTTATAGTTACCTTTGTTATAGTTGCAGTTGTAAACCAAGCAGCTCTCTGGATGGTCGATGAACTGGAGGTCAGAGTTCCCGTGCTGGACCAACCAGCAGATGAGGTAATGTGACAAAGCGGGGATTTTTGATTATATTTTTATTTTCTTTTAGATATAAATCTTTTTACTTTCCCCACTTAATCTCTTGGGACGCTATATATACCCTGTTTCCTCGAAAATAAGCCCTAGCTTATTTTCGGGGGATGCTCTTAATATAAGCTCTACCACGAAAATAAGCCCTAGTCACTAGTTCGCTAATCTATAGTCAGGGAATTTTCCCCAAACATAGATTTGCTGGATTCCATTCGTGAGTAAACTAATCTAAGTTCGGAGAAGTTAACTCAAACGTAGATTCGCAGGATTCCATGCCCTAGTGAACTGGTCTATGTTCGGGGGAGTTCCCCGAACGTAGACCTGCTTTCTATAACATGCTTGATACCTTTTTTTCCTTGAAAAAAGACATCCTCCGAAAATAAGCCTTAGTGCGTTTTTTTTTTTAGGGGAAAATGTATATAATTTTCAGGGAAAGACGGTATGTCTCACTACAAAATGAAGCTACTTGCTGTTACATAATTAGAGGATCACTCCAGCAGCAAAATCTTTACCGCTTATTGTAGTGGTTATGGTGCTTGGAGGCTACCGGAGCAGCTTATTGTAGTGGTTATGGTGCTTTGAGGCTACAGAAGCAGCTTATTGTACTGGTTATAGTGGTAAGATGCTATAGTTGCAGCTTATTATAGTGGTTATGGTGGTAGGAGACTATGGGTGCAGCTTATTGCAGTGGTTATGGTACTAGCATGCTATTGGTGCAGTTATTGTAGTATTTAGGGTGGTAGGAGGCTGTGAGTGCAGCTTATTGTAGTAGTTATGGTGCCAGGAGGCTATGTTTGCAGGTTATTGTAGTAGTTATGGTGCCAGGAGGCTATGTTTGCAGGTTATTGTAGTGGTTATGGTGCCAGGAGGCTATGTTTTCAGGTTATTGTAGTGGTTATGGTGCCAGGAGGCTATGTTTGCAGGTTATTGTAGTGGTTATGGTGCTAGGAGGCTATGTTTGCAGGTTATTGTAGTGGTTATGGTGCCAGGAGGCTATGTTTGCAGGTTATTGTAGTGGTTATGGTGCCAGGAGGCTATGTTTGCAGGTTATTGTAGTGGTTATGGTGCCAGGAGGCTATGTTTGCAGGTTATTGTAGTGGTTATGGTGCCAGGAGGCTATGTTTGCAGGTTATTGTAGTGGTTATGGTGCCAGGAGGCTATGTTTGCAGGTTATTGTAGTGGGTGCCAGGAGGCTATGTTTGCAGGTTATTGTAGTGGTTATGGTGCCAGGAGGCTATGTTTGCAGGTTATTGTAGTGGTTATGGTGCCAGGAGGCTATGTTTGCAGGTTATTGTAGTGGTTATGGTGCTAGGAGGCTATGTTTGCAGGTTATTGTAGTGGTTATGGTGCCAGGAGGCTATGTTTGCAGGTTATTGTAGTGGTTATGGTGCCAGGAGGCTATGTTTGCAGGTTATTGTAGTGGTTATGGTGGTAGGAGGCTATGTTTGCAGCCTATTATAGTGGTTATGGTGCTTGCAAGCAATTGGTGCAGCATATTGTAGTGGTGTGGGAGCAGCTTATTGTAGTGGTTAAGGTGCTAGCAGGCTATTGGTGCAGCATATTGTAGTGATTATGGTGCCTGGAGACTGTTGGAGCATCTTGTTGTAGTGGTTATGGTGCTTGCATGCTATTGATGCAGCTTATTGTAGTGGTTATAGTGCCTGGAGGCTTTGGTGCAGCTTAATGTAGTGGTTATGGTGCACGAGGCTGTGGGTGCAGATTATTGTTGTGGTTATGATGCCTGGAGACTATTGGTGCAGCTTATTTCAGTGGTTATGGTGCCTGGAGGATATAGGTGCCACTTATTGTAGTGGTTATGGTGCTAGGAGGCTTTGGTGCAGCTCAATGTAGTGGTTATGGTGCACGATGCTGTGGGTGCAGCTTATTGTTGTGGTTATGGTGCCTGGAGACTATTGGTGCAGCTTATTTCAGTGGTTATGGTGCTTGGAGGCAATGGGTGCAGTTTGTCACTGCTGTATACAGTATTAATGCCAAACTAATTATACTGTAGTCCATGGGTAGTCAACCTGGTCCCTACTGGTTTAAGATTTCAGGAGGTGGTGGGTTCTGCAGAAAATTTTCATTTCACCCACCTACACACAGCATAGACCTTATGTACCCTTCACACACAAACACACACTACACCCATCACACACACTGCCCCCTCATACAAACAAAGACCGCCCCCCCTCACACTCACTCCACCCCTCACACACACACTGCCCTCGCTCTCACACGCACTGCCCCTCACACACGCACTGCACCCTTCACACACACACTGCACCCTTCACCCACATACAGCACCCCTCACACACACACTGCCCCTCTCTCTCACACACACAGCACCATTCACACACACAGTACCTCACAGACACACATATATAAAAATAGAAAAAAAATATACATTAGTTTTTTTAAAAACAACCTTATTTCTTTTTTAAAAAATTGCACTTGCGCAATAAAATTAGTTACTGCGGCCCTAGTAGACGGTAAGGAAATTTTACCATTAACAAAGATAAAAAAGTGGGCGGTAGCTATTAAGAGGATGACTACCCCTGCTGAAGTCAGTCAGTAACGTACTAAATCAACACAACCGGATAATACATACATACGTACATACATACCAGGCAATCTTAATAAAATTGTCAAAATGGAAACGTCTAACACGTGGACAACCAAACGCCCCCAGTGTTTCGACATTGCTGCTCTGTCAAGGGAGGATTCATTTCATTTACTTATCCAACACAATAACATATTCCATGACTGCTGACCCAACCAATCCCCGACCAAAACCCGTTGCCCCCCAATTATACATGTGACACCTCATTCTTGTGGATAAGGGCAACGGCCACAGCTTTATTTAATATAACAATTTTAACTTAGTCCAACTCTGCCAGCTGTTGGGTGTTGCCCAACAGGCAGTTCTCCCAAATTCTGTTCCATGATCCTCGACAGCCGGCTCCTCGCCATCAGCTCCGTGCAGGATGTCGTCTCCCCAAAGTTCCTTTTATCTTCTGTGCTGTCCAGGGAAACCCGCCAAGCTGTGACAACACAAAGAACAAAAAACAAGACACAAGCCACAACAACAGAAACAGGGTGGGAGGGTGGGAAAAACAGTCAGGAGCCCTAAGTTATCCTGCTGACTGGTAAGTCCCCTCCCTCTCCCTTTCCTTAAGAACCACCACTTTAGACACAAATGTATCCATCTTAACCCAGCCCCCAATCTTGGGCAGCAGTCATGCTCCCCCTTCCTTATTGTTCCAGGGGGAAACTTGACTGCTGACCCAACCAATCCCCGACCAAAACCCGTTGCCCCCCAATAATACAAGTGACACCTCATTCTTGTGGATAAGGGCAACGGCCACAGCTTTATTTAATATAACAATTTTAACTTAGTCCAACTCTGCCAGCTGTTGGGTGTTGCCCAACAGGCAGTTCTCCCAAATTCTGTCCCATGAGCCTCGACAGCCGGCTCCTCGCCATCAGCTCCGTGCAGGCTGTCGTCTCCCCAAAGTTCCTTTTATCTTCTGCACTGTCCAGGGAAACCCTCCGCCGACAGCGCCGCCTCAATTCCAGCTTGTAGTCCCGTATTGAAACTATCTAACCCAATGGGGGACAAATGAACACCATCCCGTCTCATGACATCATCGTTAACCCCTTCCAGCTCGAAGTGTCTAACCACTATACCTCCCAATTGGCGCACAAACCGGGACATGGACACATTGACCTTACGCCTATAGCGCTCTAACGCCTTACCGTGACCTCCGGACCGCCAGACCGGGCGTGGAACGATCTCGGACCAAACGAGGGTCAGGTCCCGGAACAACGCAAAACAGCGGGCCACGTCATGCCGCATCGCGCGAACCAGGTCCACCGACCGTCGCCGTCCGACATCGTTCCCGCCCGCGTGAACCACTAAGAACACCGGCCCTGACACGCAGCGACGGAGCTGCACCAGCTCACCGTATAGCCCCTCCCATGACAACCCCCGAATCCCCCTCCAACGTACCCTTGCTACCTCGTACGATAAACCGAGGTTACTGCCATAGGGTCTAGTCTCAGCACGCCTAGCAGCCCAATAAACAAAGGAGTGACCCACGATCCAGACAAATTGCGGAGAAGGACCTACAACGAAAATAACAGAAAACCATAATTGCTGCGCCACTAGCCTACAGCAAATGGGGGCGCACATAGAGCTGGATCCGACCCGACTGCCAGCGCCCCAAACGCCTGAGCGCCTCTGTGGGGAGGCCCAGCTGACTAGCCTGCGTGGCAGCCCCGATTCGAAATGAGTGTGTGGTGTACAAACCTGGAGACAGCCCAATGCTAACAACCCCTGCACGAAGTACCCTGGCGAATTGAAACCGGCTGAGTTATGACCCATCCCTGTGCCGTAACAGGGACCCCGTCTCCGATCCTAGCACCTCCAAGAAGTCGCGCAGCAACCTAACTGGGCAAAACTGCTCAACGGTAGCCTGAAACCGCACCGACGCGCCCTCTCCTGCCTGATCTGTCTTAGACTTTCGAATGAGCAACGTCACGTCACGCGTCGAAACCTTGATATCAGCTATTTGCATGGCAGCCAGCGCTCGTGTACTGGGAGCCACCAGCTCGCCTATCCGAAGGGCTGCAAAGAAGCAGAGAGCAAACAGGAGGACCTCATAGACCGAGACACAAATCTGGGGCAGACGCTCTAGGAGCCTGCACAAGATCTCATAGGAGATTGGACGCCGAGTGTCCGGCTTACGTCCCTTCTTCCAGCCCTTCATGAGATGCAGAATGACTTGGTAGCATCCTGCCACCCACACCACTGGAACAGAAAAGACAGGGCCGCTAACGATCTCTCGGCCGCTGCTGCCGACCTACCCTCCGCGCAGAGCAACTCCAAGAAGGCCAAAGTCGCGCCCAACCTACCTTCGTCCGAGGATGAATCACCGTCATTGCAAACAGCCATCCATTTCCACCACACCGCAGAATACGACCTCCACGTCGACTCCGCTAGCGACTCCCTCACCAACCGTCTCAAATGGTGGAAACCAGGTCCCATATACCCACCGGGCACGAGGTGCCAGTCCGCGCCGCCTCTGGAGCAGCCACTCGAAACCTGTCCCACTGAAACCGAGAGAGTCCGCTATAACGTTCTGCTCCCCAGGCACATGGCGCGCAACCAACCACAAATTATGAGCTAAGCAGTACCAGGCGCCGGAGGAGCGTCAACACCGGAGGGGACGCCGATGTAGAGCAGTTGATCACATGGACCACACTCATGTTGTCCGTGTGCACCACCACCTTCCGATTCGACAGCTCGACACCCCAGAGTTCCACCGCCACCACAATTGGAAAGAGCTCCAGAAATGTTAAGTTACTCAACAATTTAGTCTCTAGCCAACGTCGTGGCTAGGCCTCCGCGCACCAACGCCCTTGAAAGTAGGCACCGAAACCCACGGACCCAGACGCGTCGGTGTACAATTCCAAATCCATGTTGGACACCGCCGGGCGCAGCCAGCAGGATTGCCCATTGTACTTACCCAGAAATTAACTCCAAACCTGCAGATCCTCTCGATGCCGGTGAGTGATCCGAATGAAGTGAAATGGCTGCTTGACTCCTACCGTCGACAATGACAAGTGACGACAAAAAGCCCTGCCCATCGGCAATATCCGACAGGCAAAGTTCAGATGTCCTAACAAGGACTGTAACTGTCGGAGCTGTACTTTTTTGGCCTCTTTCACTGAATCCACCAGCCGCAGCAGGTGATTCAATTTGTCGTCCGGCAAACGGAAAACCATGCTCCGAGTGTCCACTTCAATCCCCAAGTAGGACAAGACTCCCACTGGCCCTACCGTCTTCTCTACCACGATTGGAACGCCAAAATCCGCCGTGACAGCTCGAAAGGAATCTAAAAGCACAGCGCAGTCATCAGACTCCCGTGAACCCACAAACAAAAAATCGTCTAGATAATGCGTGATCGACTCTATCCCTGCAACCCGAGCAACTACCCATTCCAAAAACGACGTAAACATTTAAAAATAAGAACAAGAGATAGCGCAGCCCATAGGCAAACACATATCAAAGAAAAAGGAACCTTGAAACCGACAACCCAACAGGTGAAAACAGTCAGGGTGGACCGGGAGCAGTTGAAAAGCTGATTCGATGTCCGACTTAGCCAACAGAGCTCCCATCCCTGCCTCCAGGATCAATTCTAAAGCCCGATCAAACGAGGCGTAGCGAACGTGGGACTCTTCCTTATCAATGTCATCATTCACTGACCCGCCCGATGGGTATGACAGGTGGTGAATCAGACGAAAGGATCCCGGCTCCTTCTTAGGAACCAACCCCAGCGGGGATACCCGCAAATTGGGAAATGGCGGCGTGTCAAACGGGCCCGCCATCCTGCCCAAACAAACTTCCTTCCTCAACTTATCCTCCAGTATAGCCTCCTTTCCCACAACCGAACGCAGGTTGTCCGCCAGCGAAGGGAACTCTGAATAAACAAACGGAATCCAAAACCCTGTCGAAAACCCGTCCAGCAGAACCCCTGCATCCTTACGCTTGGGATACCGGTCGAGCCAAGGGCGCATCCTTAGCACGCTCACCGGCATCCTCCGCTCTAGTGAGATCCTCCCTATTGGGTCTCCCACCTTGCTTGCCCTTTTTGAAGCATCACAGCGCAGGGTGGGCCCCTCCACAATGAGAGCACTCGTGCCTGAATCGGCATGATCCAAACCACTTGCAGTGACTCTCATTGTAGAGCCAGCAGACTCCCCTGTGCTGCCCAGCCGGTGCACCGGATGACGCGCCGGCCGCTCCCTGAAAGGGGGACGGACGACTGGGAGTCATCAGCAAGAGCCAAAGGCTCCCGTCCTGGACCCCAAAGTCCATACCTGCACACACCGCCATCTTCTGGCGAAACTGTTGGTCATAACGAAACCAACATTGTCCCCCATAAACCTTGTACGCCCCCCAGATAAGGTCTAAATACCCAAATAATGCCGGTGCCTTCTCAGGAAAGGCCCGCGTCAGCACACTGGCGAATATGGAGAACCCTTGAAGCCAGTTCCCAAACGTCCGCGGCAGCTGCTTTCCCCTGTTACCGTCCGCCGAATCCCCCCGCCGCGGTCTATTCACAGACTCCCGATCCGGGGGGACCAGGGCCAGGAAATCCACGTATTCACCCTTGACAATTGTTTCCTGAACATCCAGCACCACATGCATCCCTAGTGGGGACAGCTCACAACCTGGCAAGCACCCTTGCGCCCTACCTAACCGGGCATGCAACTGACCCCTATCCCTGTCCTGGGCCTGTGCCGGGAGAGTAACTGGCACTGGAGACACAAAGGGGCCCCCCCGGGAGCCGATCTAACACCGCCCTAAGTAACCCCAGTACTTCCTGACCCATTACCCCACTAGCTACACTATCCCCAGCTAGCGCATTCCAAGCGCTGGCGCAACACTTACCGCTGGCCGGCTGAGGATGCTGGGCATCACCTTCCTCTGAACAGGAACTGGACCCTGATGACTGGGGTGATCCACGGCCGGCCTCCTGGCCCGACCGTACTCTGCTCGCCAGAGTGCTGCAGCTTGCACTCCTGTGGACTCTCCTCCTTCCGGGTGCCCTCCTGGGCGCTGGTCGCGTGGTTCCTGGCTCACTTCCTGCCGGAACCACGCTGGAATGCAAGGCCTGTGACGGCCACGCTGTCCTGCGCGGTGACGTCACGTACGCGCCATGCGTGCTGACGTTGCTTCCGGCCGCGTCGACGTCACGCACCGACCGTGCCGACGCGACTTCCGTGCGGACCGGAAGAGAATCGCGCGGGGAGCGCGATCTTCCCGCCCTTTCTGCACCCTGTATTCCGCCGCCATCTTGAGCCTGGACACCGCCACCATCATCCGCACGGCTACTTCTCCTCCCGGGTACCGCACACCGATCCTGTAGCGCGGCCGAGCCGCCACTTCTCTCCCTCCTCCGGCACCGAACAGGACTTGGAGAAAGACGCTATGGAGGCCTTGATCTCCTGGCCCTCCGTCCGTCTTGGGCAGCAGGCTGACTGGACGCCTCATCATGGGTGACACCGTGGACTCCTGCCATCAGCTCTCCCAGGGCTCCCAGGCTTTGGTGCAGCTTAATGTAGTGGTTATGGTGCACGATGCTGTGGGTGCAGCTTATTGTTGTGGTTATGGTGCCTGGAGACTATTGGTGCAGCTTATTTCAGTGGTTATGCTTGGAGGCAATGGGTGAAGTTTGTCACTGCTGTATACTGTATTAATGCCAAACTAATTATACTGTAGTCCATGGGTAGTCAACCTGGTCCCTACTGGTTTAGGATTTCAGGAGGTGGTGGGTTCTGCAGAAAATTTTTATTTCACCCACCTACACACAGCATAGACCTTATGTACCCTTCACACACAAACACATACTACACCCATCACACACACTGCCCCCTCATACAAACAAAGACTGCCCCCCCTCACACTCACTCCACCCCTCACACACGCACTTCCCTTGCTCTCACATGCACTGCACCCTTCACACACACACACTGCACCCTTCACCCACATACAGCACCCCTCACACACGCACACTGCCCCTCTCTCTCACACACACAGCACCATTCACACACACAGTACCTCACAGACACACATATATAAAAATAGAAAAAAAGGGGAAAAAATATACATTTGTACATATATTTTTTTTTATAACAACCTTATTTCTTTTTTTAAAAATTGCACTTGCGCAATAAAATTAGTTACTGTGGCCCTAAGAAATTTTACCATTAACAAAGATAAAAAAGTGGGCGGTTGCTATAAAGAGGATGACTACCCCTGCTGAAGTCAGTCAGTAACGTACTAAATCAACACAAGCGAATAATACATACATACGTACATACATACCAGGCAATCTAATAAAATTGTCAAAATGGAAACGTCTAACACGTGGACAACCAAACGCCCCCAGTGTTTCGACATTGCTGCTCTGTCAAGGGAGGATTCATTTCATTTACTTATCCAACACCATAACATATTCCATGATTTCTCATTCTCCAATCTTGGCTTGCCAGTCACTCCGTAGTTAAGTATCACAACCTTGCCCAAAGCTGAGATGACATAGCGTGGGATAAAAAAACAAAATGTCATTTAATATTGAGCCTTCTAGGACAAATGCATTTATCACGAGTGACATTAACTAGACTTGACAGAATCTGGCAGTATTCATTGCCACATTATTGTACCTTCCCTGGGAAAATTTATGACGTTTACCACTAGGTGTCGCTGTTGCTCTGTTTATTTGAAACATGGCTGCCTATACAGACTCACATTCTGAGTAAAACAATTTTTTCACCTGACTTTATCACATTTTTGTAACATCCATATTGCAATGATTTGAATTAATAATTTATACCATAAATAAAGCAACTTTTTAAAAATTATTTTAAATTAATTAAAGGATTAATATTCATATACTAGCCACGGCCACAACAGATATGATACATCAGTGAGAGTGAGGCTATTCGGTATAGATAAAATTTACGTGATAACATTAACATTACACGGTAATTCAATAAACATACTCCGGTAAAAATGACCGAATTCCGACCACATCGACAATTCTCAGATTTACTAGAGCCGAATGCAGTCAGGATACAGTTGGTCCAAGCGATTCTGTAACATTGGTTTGGATGAATTCAGAAAATCTTTAATTTTTGCATTCGAACCAACGTGCAGCACCGCAATCGGAAATTTATCAACGACTGTATGGCGGAAGATAATAAACAGAGTGCATCCGGAAGAATGCACAGTCACAAATTATCATTCACTTGCGTTTTGAAAGTGAATTGATCATTTGAAGAACTATTTGCTCGCTGGGTTAATGTTGTAGCGGCTTGCAAATAGTAAAGAAAAAACAAAAATCCTATGGGGATTAATAAGACCGCCATATTTGATGTGGCGATTGGTTAGCAAGCGATGGCCAGCTGACACATAATTAACCCTTGTGCTGCCGAGGGATTTAAACTATTTGCCCGTTGTCTGCTGCACTGGCAGTGGGCAAATTGTTTGGCTTTTATTTATTTTTTTTAATCTGGGCCCTGAATTGAAATTTTTTGAACCTGGATTTTCCGCATTCAGTCCACATTTCAGAGTAGAATGGTCCAGCTGAAATATGAACCACATTCAGGCCTGTTCGGGGGCTAGTCACACACCATAATACAGTCACATACACAGAAGAAGGTTACTTGGCACCAAGGGCTGATGTATATGTTGGCAACACCCCATTTTGTAAACTTGTTGATGTGGCTTCACACTCCTAAACCAATTGTTTGTCTTTTTGTGTGTGTGTGTTTTTTTTTTCATCTCTTAATCCTTCCTTTCCACCTTTGTGTTGCACTTGACCCACATTACGGCATTTCTTACCAACCCCTTTGGTGTAACCCCTTTTACCTTCTTAACCCCCATACATTCTTGCATACAAGTAGTCACATAATAACATGGACACATGCACAGTCACATTCAGTCACACATACTGTCAATAAATCTGCCTCTGCTGCTCCTTACCAGTATGGGCACAGGGGAGGATGAGTGATGGAGGGCCAGGAGTACAATCCCTCTGGTACACCTTTCTGCTTCTCCATTGCATGCATATTTTAGCAGTTGGTGGGTGCTATACTCCTCTTCTGCTGCCTGTATCGGTGTTGAAGTTCTCACCTGTGAGACCTGGGCAGAGGATCATGAAATAATCTACCCAGATATCGTACAACAACATTACTAAATATGACAGGCGGCGTGGGGAGCTCTGTGAACGGTTTATTTTCTACTGCACATACTCCTGTAGCTACATACAGGCATAAACACACAATCACACATAGTCACAAACACACAGACATAAACAATCACACAGTCACAAACACACAGACATAAACAATCACACAGTCACAAACACACAGACATAAACAATCACACAGTCACAATCAGACATAAACAATCACAAACAGACATAAACACACAGTCACAAACACACATAAACAAACAGTCACAAACCTAAACAATCACACATAGTCACAAACCTAAACAATCACACACAGTCACAAACAGACATAAACAAACAATCACACAGTCACAAACAATCACAAACAATCACACAGTCACAAACAAACATAAACAAACAGTCACAAACCTAAACAATCACACACAGTCACAAACAGACATAAACAATGTCACAAACAGACATTACAAATTTACAAAGACAGTCACTATTTTCCTTTGGTTGGGGAAGAGGGAAGCCATGCACTGCTGACCCAGTCTCCTTACTGCTTCCTCTTAGCAGCCATCATATGAACAGACAGGGGGTGCAAGTTTATCACATCTCATCCTAGCACCTGATGCCAGTATCCACAAAATTGAATGTGGGCGGCAAATATCATGCTGGAGTCCTACTGCCCCCTCCATACTGATGCTCTAGGCCAAGGTACATCCCAGCCTATTGGCAGTTATGGGTTAATGTATATGCCTTGCATCAATGTTCACCCCTTGTATGTTTTCATATTTTGTGTTTAGACCTGGAACTAAAATGCATTTTAATGGGATTTTTACAATTCAATTTACACAACGTACATAACAAGTTGAAGGTTTGTTTGATTTTTATTTATTTTTGTAAGAGCATTCATAGTCATGCCTATTTGCTGTGATGTCACTGAACACGTTCTAGTGCAGTCACTTGTCTACAAAAGTCACATAAGTGTATTGAATGGAGTCCACCAGAGTGAGCATAAAGTATTATATGCTCTCCCTAGTCTTCAATCACTTAAAAAGTGCCTCAAAACCCATCTCTTTAGGAAAGCTTATGGCCTCCCAGAGTAACCTCTACCTCACATACCTGTCCCTTGCTCTCTCCTAAAGGGCAACACACTACTCTCTCCTCCAGCTCTGCTTCACTCCACCTTGTTTGATTGCTACCCCCTGTCCTGTTGGGTTTTACGCCTCACCTCCTTTAGACTGTAAGCTGGTTTGAGCAGGGCCCTTTGTAACCTATTGTTCCTGTAAGTTTTTGTAATTGTCTCATTTATTGCTAAATCTCCCCCTTCGATAATATTGTAAAGCGCTACAGAATATGCTGGCGCTATATAAATGCCAGTAATAATAATATGATCTCGAAATAAATACACCCGTTTCCAAATAAGCATAGATATAGAAACAGCGTCGCGAAGACCAAGGAGCTAGAAAAACAAGTTCAGGCAGGGAAGAAGCAACAATTAGAATTTGGTTAGTCAAACTTTTTTTGAAAATACTTTAACAATTGTAAAAACATGGTTCAACTTTAACTGTAGCTAGCGAAATGTGTCGGCCAAAACGCACAGTGTTTTTGAAAATGTTATAGTTCTTTGGTTTTCTCTCACAGATTGTGTCAGTAGTCACAAACAGTTTGGCTGGCAGCGTACGCGGACTGAGGGATCGGGCGTTAAACCGGCTTCAGAATGGGCTGGACAGAGTCCGTGCCGTGGTGAAAGACGCCCAGGATGTTGCCTCGCTGGCTGCTGTCACTATGGGAAGTCGGGGCCTTAAAGAGCTGCTCAGCCTGGGGTCTGAACTTGCCTTGTCTGGGGCAGAAAATCTGCTGGCTCACTACCTTCCAGAGGAGGGTGATGGTATGACATTGTAGCCAGATTTATTTATATTTCTCTACGTTTTGGGACATAAATCAGTAAATGTATAAGAATGACAGGAATAAGCAATCTAGTCACTGTCTGCTCCTCCATTACCGCGCTTTCTATATTCCTACTGTAGAATACTGTGTTTTCTATATTCCTGCTGCAGAATACTGCACTTTATTCCTGTTGCAGAATGCTGCACTTTCTATATTCATGCTGCAGAATACTGCACTTTCTATATTCCTGCTGCAGAATACTGTGATTTCTATATTCCTGCTGCAGAATAATACGCTTTCCATACCCCTGCTGCAGAATACTGCGCTTTCTATATTCCTGCTGCAGAATAATGCACTTTCTTTATTTGTGTTGCAGAATACTGCACTTTCTATATTCCTGCCACAGAATAATGCACTTTCTTTATTCCTGCTGCAGAATACTGCACTTTCTAAGTTCCTGCTCCAGAATACTGCACTTTCTTTATTCCTGTTGCAGAATACTGCACTTTCTTTATTCCTGCTGCAGAATACTGCACTTTCTAAGTTCCTGCTCCAGAATACTGCACTTTCTTTATTCCTGCTGCAGAATACTGCACTTTCTAAGTTCCTGCTCCAGAATACTGCACTTTCTAAGTTCCTGTTGCAGAATACTGCACTTTCTTTATTCCTGCTGCAGCATAATGCACTTTCTTTATTCATGTTGCAGAATACTGCACTTTCTTTATTCCTGTTGCGTAATGCTGCACTTTATTTATTCCTGTTGCCAAATGCTGCACTTTCTTTATTCCTATTGCAGAATGCTGCACTTTCTATATTCCTGTTGCAGAATACTGTGATTTCTATATTCCTGCTACAGAATAATGCACTTTCGATATTCCTGCTGCAGAATAATGTGCTTTCTATATTCCTGCTGCAGAATACTGCATTTTCTTTATTCCTGTTGCAAAATACTGCACTTTCTTTATTCCTGTTGCAGAATGCTGCCCCACGTGGCCGTAACTGCTGTAGTACACCACTAACAAAGTAGGCCTCCTGCCAGCTGCAGAGCACCACTCGACCTCCTGCCAGCTTCAGTGCACCGCACGGCCGCCTGCCCGCTGCTGAGAGCACTGTTCTTTCTGCAGAGCCCTATGCTGCTCACTGTAGAACCAAGTGTGTGTACTCCTTCGTACTCTAGTTCCTTGTCTGTTACTCTTCCTGTAGACGGCTGCAGATCCCCATGTTCCCCCTTCTATTGTGCCTTGTTTGGCCTCATGTGTAGCCTCCTTCCTGCTGGCAGTGCCATTTATACCTACCTCCCCTCGCATAGCCAGGTACAACTTGCTCCTTGCGCATCCTCCATCATTCCACTGGTCAGTCTTTACCTAATGTTCTATCACAGACCAAGCTATGATCATAAGCTGAGTTGGACAATTTTTAAATTCACTAATTGCAATAGTTGATGGACTGATGGAATAGTTAACAAACAATTTATTCCAGTAGTTAGGAAGCTAAGAATGAAGGTAACAATGTTTTGCACCTCTGTGGATCAGAAAAGGAAACACCTGGCAGTGTATGTTTAGCCAATGTTTGACATTCTCATGCTTACAGTATAGACAGATGTTGGCAAACATGCCTTATGTCTTGAGTGTAAGCTCTTTTGTTGTAGATAAAGGAAGATAATCGTTTGGGCCCATATGATTCCATTATCTTCACACACGGTCAGGATAGGACACATTTACAATGGCAGTCTAAGTAAATCTACCAGGAATTTCTGTTTTGTCAGACTGCCTATATTGGGCAAGACTGGTCTTTATTCACTAAACAGTAAACAGTAAATTGTAGTGAATTGAAAACTGAATAGAAACATTTAGACAGGAGCAGTTTATCTGGAAACATTTTCTGTTATAGTCCCATCTTGGCCAATTCTATCCAAAATTAAATTTTTTGGTTCGCTGTGAATAAAATCCAAAAGTGTAAAATGTCAGGAATTCAAACTGAGTTTTACATTTTTGGCCAAAGTCACTGAAAGTGAACATCGAGAATGGAGATTTTTTCCCCCCCCAGTTTACCTATTTTGGCCTAAAATTAGAAATTCATGATTGATTAATTTTGTTTCCCCGATAATTCACAATTTAGTGAATAATCCTTGAAATGCTGCTTTACAGAATCAATGCTGCAACTAATACAAAGATTGCGCTGGTTTTGTTTTTGATTGTTTGTATCTTAAATAGCATTTTTATTAAGGATATTTGACTCTTTTCTAAGGCGTTATTTTATTTCTGTCTGGCAGTGAAATGGTTATACTATCTACTTCTTGTAAATTGCTGTTGAGATCCGCCGGCAGACACCTGCGTCTCCATATGAGTTATCAACCAATCTGTGGGCTGCGTATGGCGGTGAGAGAACATTCCCTGGGCTCTCGGCACTGATTGTTCCCATCACTAAGCTGCTATGTCCCTTTAGCTGAATGTATCGCGGGAAATTGACTGTAATCAGATAAATGTGTGCTGCTAACACGCTGCCCGCTCAGGAAAATGCTCTGCAGGAATCTGCTTGAATTTCCTGTACATAAAAAAAAATCTGCCTGTCCCCTACGTGCTTTAAACCCAGACTGGTAACAGATTCCAGATTCCAGGCTCTCTATGGAATTAAGCCTATAAAAAGTCCTTAATTAGGATTGCCAGATCCTTCATGTTTCCCTTAACATCTTACTTCTTGCTGTTGGGCAGTACATGAAAAGTACTGCACAGAACTATACCACGTTTGAACAGTGCTGGAGAGAAATATGTTAAAGGGACACTGTAGTCACTATAACCATTTAAGCTCTTTGATTTGATTATAGTGATTGGAGTCCCCTGGCACTGTCCCTTTATTCAGAGTTAAACCGCTTTAGAGAAGTTTAACACTAAAGAAGGGTCCCTTGACCCACCCCTTACCCCCACTGTCCGGCCCCTTCTGGAGGTATGGCTCAGGCAGAGATTACACACTTCCTTGTAGTCATACCCATTTATACCGTCAGTTGGTGCTCTGATAAGCTAAGAGCAGTCATCTGACACTCTCAGCCAATCACAACTGCCCATTGGTACTCAGGCTAATACTTCCTCATTAGACAAAGCAGCACAGAGACATGTTTTTGTGAGGTGTGAAAAATAAAATTAAATGTAGAAATACGCACCTCTCTTCTGGAACTGGGCACCTCCATCTTGGCTTCCTGTCTGTCATCATTTTAAGTACTGTTATTTTTATGCCATTTGAAAATAGTGGAAGACAAAAAAATCAAACGATAAGGAGAAATATTTCAGGGGTATCAGCGTAAGAGCAAACAGAACTTTATTGCAGAATTGACATATAAAACATACACCGTTTGGCCAAACAGCCTTAACCATGTATCATTTAGCTGTGAATAGCAGAGCTGGGAACTTTTACTGAATTTAAGACATTTATTTGAATTCACTTTTTGTGGTCTGAAATGTGAAATTTCCTTAATGCAGACTTTTATTAATTTTGTTCAAACAAACAGCGGGAATGCTGTCCTTCTGCAGCAGACAGGAACTGGCAATAATAATTAAATTTGGCAATTATTTTGATTGACAGGTTTTAGTGACCAGTGATAATGAAGCATGCATTTCTTTTTGTTTCATTCGATTTTTATTCGTATTTTCGAAGTTGCAATACAGGACATAAATATCGACAATTAATTAAAATCACATACGTTATACATCCAGTGTCAATATTTTCCTTATCTTACAGATCAACAAACTCAAAATAAATACATAAAATAAATACATAAAATAACGTACATAATTAAGTTAGCTATATAATACAAATTATCTAGGTTGTAAGTTGCAATGACCAGTTTATGTTAAATTAGAGCTAAATTAAATATATTCTACTATGTGGAGAGAGAGTTCCTTCATTTAAAGACATTTTCCAATTATCTATTTATTATTTATAATTACTTAAGGGGGTATTATTAACTATTCGTTCTATCACGCATTTGGTGAGAACATATAAAGGTTATTAAACATCACATGTATAAACTAGTACCATAAGAAACTATCAAACTGGGGGTCAGGACCTGACTAACGTCGACTGGACACATCTCTAGAGAGCTCCTCATTAAACTCAAACAAATCTCACTTACCGGCTATTTTAGCTATTACTTGGAGGCTAGCATACTCCCTGCTTTCTGCATTGACCGGCTGGTCCAGGAATGGTTCCCATGGTCACTAGCGGCCATCCAGATGCAGTACTCTGTCGGCACTTGTGTGGCCTAGCGGGCACTGTGGAGGGGAGAGGCGGCTGATCTCCTGTCCTGGTGCTGGCAGGGCTCTGATTAAATTAAGCTGAAGGCCCGCTACCCTCCCTTTTGGACTGACGGGGTTGATCCTGGTCCCCACCATGTCGGCTCCCTGTTCCCATCATGGATCTGTGGTGGTGCTGTAGATATCTGTGTCACCGACAGTAGTACTTCCAAACAGGCCGACCTTACTTATCCCTAGAGTCGACAAGGCTCACCACCCAGTCGTTTCATTATCGAAAAGCAGCTTCCCTCACTCAAAGAGGGCAACAAGAAAGGTGGTGTACAGGCCAGCATCAACGCTACTCACTCCTAAGGCAGGCATGAGGATTGCGTTGAGGGGGAGGGAAGTACAGGGGAGACACTGAATGCAAATACTGAGCCTATTACTGATACACCTGACATAAGGCCTGGAAACTGTCACGTATTCATCCGCTTATAAAAATGTGGTTAATGGCATTTACTGTCCACACAGGAAAAGTTGTGCCAAGCAGCAACCAAATCCACAGAATGGTTAATGCTGAGCAGCAATTATGCAAATGGGAACCTGGTAACTGCCTTTGGGGTCAAAGGCCGGTTACAGCCTATCAGATCTAGAGGAGGGGTATTTAGGCCCAGTTCTCATCCTGCTCAGTGCCCTGTCGTGGTTTCCCTTGTGGTTGTCCGAGAGCGCGTTCCTGATTCAAGTTTCTTCTGGTTTTTGACTTTGGCTTGGATTTTGACTTCCCTGTATTCTGTATCCCTGACTTCTGGCTTTCTCTTATCGTTGTGTCTCTTTTTGTATCCCCGGACCTCGGCAAGTATCCTGACTATTCTTTGGTACGTTAAGTCCGGCCATTCTAAGGCCCGGTAATACGTTACCTATTAGTCATCTGTGTGACACAATTCTACGTGCTGGATCAACTAGTAATCCTGACAGAAACATGTAATCCTGGAGTACTATGTCATGCCCATAATAGTTAACGTCTGACAGCTATGCTGGGAATCGTACTGTGGGCCACCTCTCGTTCTGCTTATTTTATTGCAGTTTCCTTTTTATTTGTACTTGTTTAATTGTAGTTTTGTTTACTCCTTACACTTCATGTCGGCAGTCTTTACACGATAATGCAATATTCTATAACATCTGTTCGACGTCTCCACTATGCCTCTGGAGCTTACAGGGGTGGAAAACTCTGCTGATTCACATTTAAGGAACACTATAGCGTTAGTAATACAAATATGTATTCCTAACGCTATAGAGCCCTAGTCACTGTTTAGGTGACTAGGGCCCTGTTCTGCGGCGAATAAATGGTTAACCATTTATTTGCTTACCTTAATCCAGCGCCAGGCTCCCTCAGCACTGGTGACCTCTCCCCCCCCCCCCATCGACGTCAGTTCCCGAGTGGAGCCAAATGCGAATGGGCGGCCAGAGGCACGTGCACATTCAAACCCGCCCATAGGAAAGAATTACTCAATGCTTTCTTATGGGGATCTTTTTTGACGCTGGACTCCGTAAGGACGTCCAGCATCAAATAAGTGTGATTTACTCCTTGTAAATTGCGGAAGCGCCCTCTAATGGCTGTCAGGGAGACATCCACTAGAGGCTGGATTAACCCTGCAGTGTAAACATAACAGTTTATCTGAAACTGCTATGTTCTCAGCTGCAGGGTTAAAACTAGGCGGACCTGGCACCCAGACCACTTCATTGAACTGAAGTGGTCTGGGTGCCTATAGTGGTCCTTTAAACACAGTAACATTGCATGAATACATTTATATATAAAAAAAATATTGTTTTCTCACCCCTCCTGCGTGGTATATTTATTCCTCGTTCTCTGGTCCTCTACCAGTAGCCTGGGAGTTTGAGGGTTCTGCGCAGTATTTTAGCTGTTCCTAGAACTGCACTCTTCTGGACAGCGATCTCAGATTTCCCACCTGGAATCTGTTGAAGCCATTCTTCCAACTTGGGAGTCACAGCCCGCAGTACTCCTTTCACAACTGGGACTACTACTGCCTTCACTTTCCACATCCTTTCTAGTTCTTCTTTCAGTCCTTGGTATTTCTCCACCTTCTCATATTCCTTCTTCCTGATGTTCTAGTCACTGGGTATTGCCACATCCACCACTGCAGTATTCCGTTCCTTGTCTATCACCACGATGTTGGGTTGATTGGCCAGCACTTGCTTTTCTGTCTGGATCTTGACGTCCCACAGAATCTTAGCCCTATCATTCTTGACTACCCGTTGTGGTATCTCCCATCTGGACTTAGGCAGGTCCAATCAATATTCTGTGCAGATGTGTCGGTACACAATCCCAGCAACTTAGTTGTGTCTCTCTATGTATGCTGTTCCTGCTAACATCTTGCATCCGGCTACTTGGTGCTGGACTGTCTCAGAGGTCTCTTTGCACAGTCTGTACCTTGGGTCTTGCCTGGTGTGGTAGACTCCAGCTTTTGATCTGGTGCTGAGTGCCCGTTCCTGTGCTGCTAGGATTAGTGCCTCAGTGCTGTCTTTCAGTCCTGCCTTTTCCAACCACTGGTAGGATTTTGTCATGTGTATTTTGTTGTGAACAGGTGTGTGTGTGTACTGTCATTGTGTGGTACAGAGCAGATTGGTGATGCACGTGGTTCAATATTGCCATGCCTTAAAACTTTATCATTGTTGGTGCTGTAGGGTTCCGTTGTATCCAGGAGGTGATGTCTCTTTCGATGATATACCTGTCCATCAGCAGTACGCACATGCCACAATCTCTCAACCTTAGCTGTTTTGATGGTGGCAGTTGGCTGCCAATGGCCTCATCCCTATATTCTGTTTGTCTGTCCATCCTTGAGCTGAGATAATGGCCTTGCAGATCTGCCATAGTAACTCTTTTGATGTTGTTGCTTCTATAGGCTTTTGGCTTTGAAATTGTTGTAGATGACCATTGGCAGTAACTTCTATTTGGTGTTTGGTAAGATAGACCATAGTTGGTGACTCATTAGCAGCTGTGCTTGAGACTTGAAATCATCAACAGGGCTGTTGTGATATTCCAGGATATGGGTCTGTTCTGTCAGCCTTGGTCTTTTCCAGCAGTAACTTTGCAGTTTGCACAGATTTCTCAGCTAATACATTATTTTTTGGTAGTATGGACTTATGGCAATATGGGTAAATATCTCGAATTCGGTTGAGTTATATTTGGAGCCATTATCCAAAATGTCAGTCTCTGGAATACTGTAGCTTGTGAAAACCTCTTTAAGCTTGTTAATCATTACAGCAGATGTTGTGCTGTGAAGCTTGTCCAGATCTAAATATCTTCTGTAATAATCCACTGTTATAAGATGGTCCTTGTTCCAGGTGAACAAATTGGTAGTAACTACTTTTGAAGGTCTATCAGGAATGTTGTGACTGATCATGGACTCTTAGGTGATAGAGGTGTGATACATGAGGCAGGTGGCACACTTGCTAGCAATCTCCTTTATTTATTTTTTCCCAAGCCAGAACATGATATTGCGAGTTCTCTGCTTACATTTTTCAATGCACAGGTGACCTGCATGAATGCATGATAACATCTGAAGACAAAGACTTGTAGGAACAACAATATTTTCACTTATAAAGTTTATCCCATGCAGGTACAAAAGATCATCATGATGGTTCAGAACTCTCCCACACTCAGAGGACATTATTTTCTTTTTTCAGGTCAACCTCTTTGATGACACCTTTTATTGTTTGGAAGTGTGGGTGTCTTTCAGTTTGAATTCTGATTTCCCCCAACTTTGAGTCACTGACATCAAGACTGCTGTACACTTGAATGTCCTTACCTTCACCAAGACACCTATGATGGTCAGTTAGTTAATTTCTGGTCAGAGTGTCCGCAAGAGAACACACATGCCTGGCTCATGTATAGTGGTGAAGTTGTACTTCTGAAGCTACAGGATCATACTCGATACCAAGGGTTAACGCATTATGGACTCAAAGAGTTATTTCTCAAATTAAGCATTAATTTCACATTCAGGCTTCAACCTGTAGCCTGAGCTCTTTGTGATGATCAAAGTAGGTTAATGCTGGGCTTGGTTCACATGTGAGAAGTTTTTTTTCTATTTTGTAAAAGCATTGTCGTGCTGGGCGTCCCCCAAAAAATTAAATGATTCCTTGTTGAGCTGTTGCAGCTCTGCATTGATATTGGCGAGGTTGGGTGCAAACTTCAAGAAATAATTAAACATGCCTAGCACTATCTCAAGTTCTCCCTTATCTTTAGTTGGCTCCATGTCCCTCACAGCAGCAACTTTGGGAAGATCTGGCTTTATTCCCTCAGTAGTGAGATGTCCAAAATAACTCACTTCAAAGGGGAGACTTTGGAACCAAGACTGTACAGAAGGTAGTCCGTTTTGAGGATTCCTCAGTTAGTTTAATAGCCCAATAGACCCAATCTAGCATCTAATACACTAAAGTATTGGGCACCAACTATCTTGCATGTTATGTTTTTGAAGGTTGGTAACGGGTAATGAGGTAGTTTTATGGCCTGTAGTTTTCCTTTGCATGGTTTTTCAGTTACAACCATAGAGTTTACCCATGTGGTTGGGTCTGTGACCTCGATAATGATGACATCTTGCCTCTCTATGTTTTCAAGCTTCTCTTTGAGACGGATGTGTAGTACGAGAGTAGTAGTTGAGATGGCTGTGTAGTACATCTAGACTGGTGGCTTACTGGAGTTGCATGTGGTACACTCACCAGGAAACAGTCCAATTTCTTTGAAAACATATGCAAACTCCTCCATGGTTGGCACTTCTGTCTGCTTTCTTTTGATTGACAATGCATAAAATGCCATGACCATCTTGATATATTTGTGCTTGCATTTCAGTTCATATTTGCCCTTTACCTCTAGGCATTAACCAAATTGCCAAACAGGGGGCGAGATATCGTCTGCAGAGCACACTAAGTATTCAGTTTGGTGTATTGATATAGTGGAATGACATTAACTGAGGATATGATGTTCAGATTGAACCAGATTACAGTTTATTTTGGACCTATTTGTATATTGGTAAAAGCCTGCTCTATGTCTGAGCTCTGTCTGTCCTGTGTTGAAAAACCGCCCATCAAACACTTCCCGATAGTTCTTTCCTTGTATATTTCATGGACCTTTTTCTTGCCGCTGGAACAGCAGACTTTTGCAAAGTGGTTTAACTTCTCACACATTTTGCACACCTTTCTTTTTGCAGGAGAGATAGATCGATCAATATTGTTTCCACAATAGCCGCATTCTTTGAGATGCCCTGAAGCAACAGGATTAGATCGTGAAATTTCACTGTATTTATGTGTGAGTTTGGTATTATGTTGCCTTGAAACTGCGCTCTTTAATGTATTGTGGTAGATTGCGTGCACAGCATGCTCACGTGGAATGCTTGTTGTGTTTAAAATAGACTTTAACTATATCTGAGCCAGTTCGTCAGATCTAGCGACAACATCTATTGCTTGTTCTAGTGTTAACTCAGAGCCCACACTCAAAATATTCTCCTATTATTCTCTGTGAATGTATCCCAAACCCAGTATGGTCACGGAACATTTTGTCATTGTTTGCATAATTACAGTCTTTAACCCCTTAAGGACACAACATGTGTGGCGTCATGATTCCCTTTTATTCCAGAAGTTTGGTCCTTAAGAGGTTAAAGGAATACTATAATAAAAATCTGTATTCCTAGCACTATACTTCCCGATGGTCCTCTTCTCCCTCATGCCCCCCCTCCTGCCCCCCAAGTTCTATAAGGGTTAATAAGCCCCCACTGTACTGACACGATTCCAGTGCTAAGCTCCATCGGCACCGCCTCCTCCAACAGCACCTGATGGGGCGGGTGCGTTAATGCTCAAGAACAGCGAACGCATTAGGCCCTCCCCATAGGAAAGCATTGCTGCAATGCTTTGCTATGTGAATTTAGCTGATGCAGGATGTTCTCAACTAAACCAAGTCACCTAGCAAGCAGGAAGCGCCTCTAGTGGCTGTCTAATTGACAGCCACTAAAGGCAGTCTTAGTCCTACAATGTAATTATTGCAGTTTCTTAAAAACTGCAATGATTTGCATTGCAGGAGTAAGTGGGACAGGGACACTGTACCCAGACCACTTCAATGAGATGAAGTGATCTAGGTGTCTATACTGTCCCTGTAATAAGGAGACTCAAGTCGGTCACAAACTATTCAAAAGGTCTGTGATCTCACTGCACCTTCTCGTGGAATTTATAATGTGCAAATATCACATATGCTGTGAAGCGGTCGTATGACTTTAAAATCTTTCATTAATCTGTAGACAATGACCATGTGTTGAAAATATCTCGACCCTTCTCTACCACCCACAGGAGAAGATAACGGCATTTTATATATTGGTAAACCTTGGTTGAACATGCAAACTTTTTAATCTTGTTCAAACATACAGCCGAAGTGCTGTCCTTCAGAAGCAGACAGGAACTGGCAATAATGTTTTAATATGACAGTAATTTTGATTGACAGCTGTTAGTGACCAATGATAATGAAGCATGCATTTCTGACGGTGATTGGTTTACCACAATTATTATAATACTGCAATATATACCACTACTGTCCATAGAAAGCAGATGTTTTTTGTCTGTGTGTGTATTAATTGGCATTAATTTAAACTCATCTTTTAAATTGTGCATGTCTCACAAGGAAGGAGTCAGCACTGGGCTCTGTACAAGTATTTGTACAAGTGGAGGATGCAGCACAAGGCTCGACAGCAGGTTGAGTTCACCGCTGAACTCTGCAGGGGAACAAAGCAGTTAAATGTAAGGCTTTGCAACAAAGCCACAGGGGCAGAAGCAATTCATTGCTGTGCATAAATGAAAAGGGCAACATAAGTGTTAAGTATCAGTGTAAGGTTCTGCAGGGGTAAAGCAGGCCATATAAGACTCTGTAAGTGTGGGAGGCAGTGTAATACTCTGTGAGGGTAGAGGCTGAACAAGGCTTTGCAGGGTGAAGGCTGCAAAACATACCCTGGAATGCCAAGTTTTAACTTTCTGGTTGCAGGTGAGCAAGAGAGCATCAGCAGCGAGGAGACTGAAGATACACAGAGCTCTGCTTTGGGCCTAGCCTCCAGGACTTCATGTCTGATCAACACTATCATAGTGAGACTGATGGGCAAGCTGAATCCATACCTGGACACAACCTGGGATCTTCTGCATGGGGGAGTTAATTTCGTCCTGAGTTTACCCTCCAAGGTAAAACCCAGCCATGAAAACAAAACAAAAAGTAGAAAATTATGTCCTAAACTGAAATACCTGCCCTCTATACAGCTATGTATTTGATCTATATATTGTGCTAGGAAATGTACAGTTTCATCAGTATTTTTTATAACACATTGTTGCTAATGATCCATGGTGTTCAGACAGTAGTGTGGTGCATTGTGGGTAGGCAAACGATTCCGTGATAGGACTGAACAATAATTGTATCCATCCTTTTGAAGATGTTAAATTATATCTCAGTCTGAATATTTGAGTCAGTCCAGTTAGTCCCATTTTAGCTTCTTCTCTGTAACAAGGTGAGAGGGTGTTGGGACAAAGCATGCTTTTGGGCCCCCTTCACCCTCGCTCCTTTCTGTTAGCAATCCATTCCGCAGACACTTGCCATAGGGGTTGGGATATGGTCCGTGGTCCTGTGCCTGGTGAAATTAATGTATTTATTGACACGGATATCTCTTCCAAACTTCAAAGTTTTTAGAATTCCTGCTTTATTCTAGGCAGGGTTGCCCCCATGTGACATCATAAAATAGAGACCTCAAGTTACCACTATGTGTACTGAGTCTGCAGACAGAAAAATCTGACTGTGCCTATTTCATCATACCTCACAGCATTTCAAATGGGTAAACAGGGACACTTTAATGTGAGAGGTGTGATTGTGGACATGTTACTAATAACAATTTATACAAGTACATTTTAATTTAGAACAAGAACAATGTATCTTATTTACACAGACTGATTTCTAAACATTGCCGTGCGTGCACATCAGGTCTCCCCCGCCAGCTGACGTCGGCGGAGGAGGAGCACGGGCGGATCCTGACCCAGCACCGAGGGACAGCGCCTAGGGGCGCTGGATTCAGGTAAATGGCTGAATGGGGTTTTTACCCCTTCAGCCCCGAGGAAGGGGGGCACTCCAGGAAACTAGAGTGCCAGGAAAACAGGCTTGTTTTCCTGGCACTATAGGATCCCTTTAAATATTATTACAATCTCTGTCATTGATTTTATAATTAATATCACAGTTCTGACCTCATGCAGCTTATGGGTTTATTAGTTAGTTAGATAAAGTATCTTAATTTAAGGATTTAACTCACGGTTTAGTTAACAACCTCCCTAGCTATGCTCAGTCATGGGGTTACCTGCTTCCTTTAGGGAGCCGCCGGGAGGACTTTTATTAAACAGAAGGAAATCACATGTACTCTCTCCTTTGGCTCATGCAGCCTCAGGGGAAAACGCTGATGATGCAGCGAGTCTCCTATTCCATTATAATCATTTCAGAAGTCCGAAGCACAGAATTCACAGTGTATATTTAGACTGGAGCATGTCTCATGCATTAGATGAGGCAATCACAAAACGCATTGATCTGCTCCCCAGAATCAGATTAGCGTGCGTTTGTGAGAAATCGCAGGATGCAGAAAGCATGATTTGTACAAGGAACGTGGCTATGTATGTGCATGTATATATATATTTCTGGGGAATACACGGAGAGAACGACAACAGAGACCAGGATACAGCAAAAGTCAGTGTGAGAGAGATTAAAAAGTGTTTGCCGCATGAACCATTCTTTGCTTATGTCGGAGTTTTCGGAAGCTCTACTTCCTGCTGAAAACGACATTCTGATCATGTAGATGAAAAATCCGTGCCACTTTAGCGGTCCACTTAGCCATGTAACAATTTTATGTGACTTGATCATTTGCACTGTTGGTGTGAACACTACAGTATGCAGGGTTTCGATAACATTTTTGCAAAATTAGAGTAAAGTTCTAGAAAGGCAACAACTGTGGTGATCACGGATTAAAGAGATTTATTGTGATGAAAATAGCGTTACAGAGACAAGTGAAGTAGAGGTCATACCTTTTTAGGCTAAATCGTTTGGAACTGTAAGGCTCGGGCTTTAAAAAAGTGATACAAATACCTGAAGGACAACTGTCATCAAATTTTCACATCTAATTTTTTGGGTTAAGTTCATTTTTAATGAAACCTAATGATATTTTTTTCAACAGATGTATATTCTTTATTTATTTTTACATTTTTTAACCTGGCTAAGGAGCCATGTTGGGTCAGACTCTGCCGTTATCTGACCAACTGCTGCAATTGTGAACAGCCAGATAAAAAAAAAAGTGAGATTAAAAAATCTTTGTGAAAAAAGTGACAGTTGTCTTTTATTTTTATTTTTTTTCTTCTGCAGTGAATTCTTTCTCCGTATCTCAATGCCTCTCATTCATCATAACATACAAGCTGATGATACAAGCCACATTAGCAGAGTCAAGCACAATCACTCAAAGATGAGGATAGTAGACATGGTGAATAATATGCATAATCTAGGCATTGACTCAGCATTCAGAACATTTTGTATAATACGAAGTTGTCTATATATTTTCCTCTGAATCTCACCGAATAATGCACTGAACAGGTTAAAACGTGTAAAAAGAAAGAAGATTGTGAAATAATTATTGCATATCAGATGGCATACGACAACAGAAGATAGTAGTGTTGTTCCCAGAATAGACTCAAGTCCCAGATCAGCCTATACTAACAGATGGCAAGAATGGAGTGGATCCACGAGAGTTCTTGTGTAGGGCAATGTTGCTGTGCCAAGCAGGGTTCCCCTCCAACCCCAGGCCTGAAAGAGGGCCAGCATCCGATATCCACAGACTTGGAGATATTCAGCTAGAAAGTTTCTACACCATCGTGGGGAGCTTGAAGAAGCAGATGGGAAGTGCCGTGGTCGACGGCTGATCTTCACCTGTCGTGGTTGATGTGCTGAGGCTAAGCCTCATGAGGCTCTCGGCCTAGGAGGGTAAACAGTAGGACGGTTGTGTGCTCGCGGTCTCATTTTGTCCTGAAGAGGTCTCCTCTTTGCCAGTACATGGGTACATCCTCTGTGTACTTGCAGCTTGGCCACTGAGACTCTCTGACGCTCCATTATCTTCTGCCAGAAGTCCCTGGATATTTTATCCAGGTGTTGCAGCATGTGGTCTAGAGATCCATGATGGGGCTGCTGAGATGTACCTAGCCCCTGCAAGACTGAGTGTGGATGATCTGCCATCTTGTAAATGCAGAGAGCTCTCATTAACTTTTTGAGTGGTTCCCCTGTTGTAGGATTCCCAGCATGCTCAATGTACCATGTTCTCCTACATTGCTCTAGAAGCACAAGGTACCCTACGTTAACCAGAAAGAGTGTTGACAGTCTCCTGAACGTGAATTAAATCTAGACTGTGTTTATGGATGGAGAGAATAATGATCTATTAGGGGCTGGAGAATGATGATCTGCCATAGGATCGTGGGCCAAAGAGAGCAATGGCGTGGAAAGGTGTTAGGATCACGATGGTCCATCTCAGATATTCACTAGGGCTTAGAGAAACCATTAATTCCTAGCAGCTGGGAAGATTATTATTAATCTATAAAGGACTGGAGAAATCATTGAATTATTATGCCATTCAGCGAACGATAATCCTTTAGGGCAGGGCTGCCCAACAGGTATATCCCCAGATGTTGTAGAACTACAACTCCCATGATGCTTTGCGTGCCTTTAGAATGCATTTAGAATGGCAAAGCATCATGGGAGTTGTAGTTCTACAACATCTGGGGATCTACCTTTTGGGCAGCATGTCAAGCTCAATGGCTAAGGCGCGCCAAATAAACAAGGTTTATGTTTATGTGGGCCGCCAAAAAAAAGTTTAACCTAGACCAGCACAAACTAAAATTACTAGTATCATTCTCATGCAAACAGTATGTAATCCTGGGTGTATATATATATATAAAACACTTACTTAAAAGCTTCACTTTAAATTACGTACTATGTCACCCAAATCTAATACACATGCTCTGGCAGCCCCCCTCACACCAGTCTAATACACTGAGCCCCAACACTCTAATTTAATACATGGTCTCCCTTCCCTCCCCCCAACTTAATACATTGCCTGCCCTCCCTCCCCCAATTTAATACACTGCCTGCCCTCCCTCCCCCCAATTTAATACACTGCCTCCCTGTTTTATCTAATCATTAAATTCATGAAGCACCAATATGCAAAAAGTAATAATCAATACCTAATAAGGTTTAAAGCTGTATTGGCGGGCACACAACCCAGTTCGGGATGAGTATCATGAACAATAGGAATGAGAAATCACACAGACACCAAGTTGAATATAAGAATTCACATCACACTTTGTTGTCCGTAAAGGGACCCAATACAATATAAGTTGCACTCTCATTTACGTTATAGCATGCATTCACATCAAACAGCTTAAGTATCTAGATATCAGCTTAAGTATGCATTACCATTAGAGAAGCTTGGTTGTCTCCTAGTTGCACACGACTGGGGGAACTCATGCATTCAGACTTGGAGGAACCCTCTCTACTGGGAACAGCAAAGACCAGCAACAAGCGTCTGTATTACAGGTGGGTAGTTCTCCAAGTGAGTGCCACGTTTCTCTATCTTTTATACATTTTTACCAATGATATGGATAGTCTGTACTTTTCCAAGTTTTCTTATCAATGCAGCCCAGCATGTACATGTCATGCACATTAAGTAATCTTTATGGTTGGTCAGGCCAGTCATGATCACCCAAGACACATGCCAAACATGTGCGCGGTACCTTTTCTCTGAAGTTATGTCTCTATACTCAGTCTTTCTAGACATTGCTGGGACCAAGTCTTACTTTTCAGCACGTAAGCCATCTTGGATATTGGCCGGACATGTTATAGAACATTCTATGCTGTGTCATCTTGTTTTTCTTAGTGCAACACAGTTTAAGACCAGTGCCATCTTAACTATCTATAATAGTTTAATTTATTCAATAGTGATCAATCATTCTTAATAAATATGGAATATTATCACACTCTCCCTCCAATTTAACACACTGCCCCCATCCCACCAATTTAACACACGGCCCCCTCCCACCACTCTAATACACTGCTCCCTCCCCCAAATTAATACACTGCCCTTCCTTACCCCAATTTAACACACTGCCCCACCTCCCTCCCCCTAATTTAATACACTGCCCCATCCCACCATGCTAATACACTTTCTCCCTCACTCCAATTTTTACCCTTTAGCGTCTAGGGAGATGAATGATCTGCTGTGGGCTGGAGAAAACAGTCTGCCAGGGGATGTAAAGAACAATAAGACATTGTCAAGGTTATTTCCAATGGTGAGAATTCAAAGGGAATTGCAAATTTGGGGAAGATGTAGTCCACAACATCTGGAATGCTAAACATTGCCTACTCATGTTCTAGAAGATGGATAGAACTATGTTAGTCGGGTGTGGGTAGAATACTAATCTACTCGAGGATGGAGAGAATGATGATCCACTGAAAGCTGTAGACATAGGTGATCAACTTGGAACAATAGAGAAAAATGATCGGCAGTTGGATGAAAAGAACAATTAAAATTTTCACTCTAAACGTCTCTAAACTGAGGGATGGTTATTAAGAATATACTTATAGGGCATGTGTAGCCCTGGGAAACATTTCAAGAACATTATAGTCTTCAATGACATAAATTATTAAGGAAATCGGACTGCAATCTGTGGACATGCTTATGCAAGCTACTCGTCAAAAGAAGCTTGGTGGACGTGCATATCTATCGTTGGGCGTCCCTGGATATTTTAGGCTGGTTTTCCTGTGCCTGTATCGTAAATCAAATCAGGATTTGTATTTTGTAACGGCAGGCAATTATTTTACTGATCTCTCTACATGATGTTTATGTCTTGGTTCTTGGAAAACAAATTTAACCTTTGCACTTGTAACGACTTCCATCGGCATCAAGGGTTCAAGTCACAGCTTGAAAGGTTATGATAAAACAGAACAGCAAACGTAATTTATGAAATGACTGTTGTTCCACAAAAGGCTTGGCTAAGGGGTACCCACTTATTAGAGAACTTGGCTTATACATCAGTTAAAGTGTAACAAAGTTTTAGTGCAGCACTTTTATGACTTTTGTCAGAGAAAATAGCTAAAGCATCTATAGAACCCAACCACTACTTTAAGATGGAGTTTCCCTTAAATTGGTTAATACCCCATTTCACCTCCTAATAGGTAGAGCCCTAGACTAAGTCTCTGGTATTTATGCATAACCTCTAAACATTTCTCCCTGTATATTAAAAGAAAGTAAGAAACGATAAAGAAATAAAATATATATTTTTAACTTCTATAAAACCCTTGTTTTAGCCCACCCTCCCCCCTGTTTATTTTAGTTTGTGTCATTAAATAATAATGGATGGGATCTTCCGCCAGCTGGTCTCCAAGATCGCTATGTTTTTGATAGACCAGGACAGGTAGCGATTTTCCAGAGATACCCAGACAGAGGCAGTGTCTACGTGACACAGCCAGATGCTGTATTATCCTAACAGAGGTGTCTGGATACATGAAACTATTTTCTCCTTTCATCTTCAGTAGGGAAAGCCTTTTATATATCTAATTGACAGACTCCATAAACAAAACATCTCTTCCCAGGCCGGCATCATTACACTGTTTATGATTACTGTATCTGTGAATAAATGAAGAGAAAAGCCCAACAGATACAAAGAAATTAAACTGTCTGTCTGATCTATCTATCGATCGACTTTTCCTTGGTATTATCAATGATGTGGATTATTGTCACACTGTTGCCACTGTTACTTTCTGAAAATTTCGACCACTTACATAGTGGCATGTTACCATGGCAATGGAACTCTCCTTACCGTTTTCGGCTGATGTTAATTTCTCCCTCACCTACATTGCCAATGAGCATTGGTTCTGTTGGAAAGAGTAGGTTGGGACATTATGATGTTGACACCGTTACCCCCTATGTTGTATAAAGTTGCTTTTTTTGAATGATACGGTCTCACTAATGAGATGTAAGATATGTCTTATATTGCCGTAGAAAACTGGTGAACTAGAGCCGTAGACTGTGTATGGCACAGTCAGTGATAAGCATAGAAACATTTATTAAAGTGGTTATTGAACATTTTTTGTCAGGTACTCATTTTATGTATGTGATCTTAGCTTGACAACCTATTCTTTAACTGTTACATATTTACATAAGCTGAAAAGAGATTTGTGTCGATCAAGTTCAGCCTTCCTCACACGTTTTTGCTGCTGATCCAAAAGAAGGCAAAAAACCCAGTCTGAAGTGCTTCCAACTTTGCAACAAACTAGGAAAAAAATTCCTTCTTGACCCCAAAATGGCAGTCAAATATCTCCTTGGATTAACAGCTATTACCCCACTAATTAGAAATGATATCCCTGTATGTTATGTTTTTGGAAGTATTTATCCAATTGCTGTTTAAACATCTGTATGGACTCTGATAAAACCACCTCTTCAGGCAGAGAATTCCATATCCTTATATTTCTTACTGTAAAAAAAACAAACCTTTTCTTTGCCTTAGATTAAAGTTCCTTTCTTCAAGCCTAAATGCGTGACCTTGTGTCCTATGTATAGCCCAGTTTATGAATAGATTTCCAGATAATGGTTTGTACTGACCCTGAATATATTTCCATAATGTTATCATATCCCCTCTGAGGCCTTGTTTTTCCAAACTAAAGAGATTTTTAAACCTTTCTTCGTAACTAAAATGCTCCAATGCTTTTATCAATTTTGTAGCTCGTCTCTGGACCCTCTCCAGTGCCATGATATCCTTCTTTAGAACAGGTGCCAAAAATTGCACAGCATATTCAAGGTGTGGTCTTACCAGCGATTTATAAAGAGGCATAATTATATTTTCATCCCAAGAATGTATGCCCCTATTTATACATGACAAAACCTTACTGGCATTAGCAACTGCAGATTGACATTGCATATTGCTGCCTAATGTGTTGTCTATAACAATTCCCAAATCCATCTCATGTATTGTTATCATTAATTCACTACAATTTAGGGTGTAAGTTGTTGGTGCATTCTTGACCCCGAAGTGCAAAACTTTGCATTTCTCTACGTTAAGTTTAAGCTTCCATTTTAGTGCCCAGTCACCCAATCTATCTAAATCCCTCTGCAGCAAAGCAATATCTTGCTCACATTTTATTACTGTACAAAGCTTTGTGTCATCTGTAAACACTGAAACATGGCTTTCAATGCCTATTTCAAGATCATTTATAAATATGTTAAATAGAAGCAGTCCCAAAACAGAACCATGAGGGACACCACTTACCACTTTTGTCCAGCTTGAAAATTTGCCATTATTGGCAACCCGTTGTATTTTATCCTTAAGCCAATGTTCTACCCAAGAACAAGAATATTCATCTAGACCAATTTCTTTGTTTGAACACTAACCTATTGCGAGGAACCAATTTAAATGCCTTGGCAAAATCCAAGTCGATCACATCCAGTGCGACACCCTGATCTATACTTCTACTTCTTCGTAGAATGCAGTTACCGTATTTTTCGCTCCATAAGACGCACTTTTTTCCCCCTCAGAAGTGAGGGGAAATGTCTGTGCCTCTTATGGAGCGAATGTGAAGATTTACTTACCTGTCTTGGAGCGTGGGCCGGCTTCACAGCACGCTCCGCGGTCCAGGAACTTCTATTTCAGGTTCCGGTTTCCGGCGGGACTGAAAGGAAGTGCACAGTGTGCACACTTCCTTTCAGTCCTGTCGGAAACCGGAACCTGAAATAGAAGTTCCTGGACCGCGGAGCGCGCTGTGAAGCCGGCCCACGCTCCAAGACAGGTAAGTAATTATGGGACAAGGGGAGGGGGGGGACACACACTATGGGACAACGGGATGGGGGGGACACACTATGGGACAAGGGGAGGGGGGACACACCATGATGGGACAAGGAGGGGAGGGACAAGGGGAGGGGACACACCATGGGACAAGGGGTGGGGACACACCATGGGGGGACACCATGGGACAAGGGGGGGACACACACACCACAGGGGGAGGGGACACACTATGGGACAAGGGGAGGGGGACACTATGGGACACTATGGGACAAGGGGAGGGGGACACACTATGGGACAAGGGGAGGGGAGGACACACTATGGGACAAGGGGAGGGGGAGACACTATGGGACAAGGGGAGGGGGGACACTATGGGACACTATGGGACAAGGAGGGGGGGACACTATGGGACAAGGGAGGGGGGGACACTCATGGGACAAGGGGAGGAGGGGACAAGGGGAGGGGAGACACTATGGGACAAGGGGAGGGGGGAGGACACCATGGGACAAGGGGAGGGGAGGACACCATGGGACAAGGGAGGGAGGACACCATGGGACAAGGGGGGGGAGGACACCATGGGACAAGGGGAGGGGGGAGGACACTATGGGAGAAGGGGAGGGGGGGACACTATGGGAGAAAGGCAGGGGGAGACACTATGGGACAAGGGGAGGGAGAGAGACACTATGGGACAAGGGGAGGGGGGACACTATGGGACAAGGGGAGGGGGAGACACTATGGGACAAGGGGAGGGGGAGACACTATGGGACAAGGGCAGGGGGGACACTATGGGAGGGAAAGTGCACTATGGGATCAGAACACTATGGGACAGGGTAGGAGGGATTAACAATCACTATGGGACAGAGGAAAGGGGGGTTAAAGATCATTATGGGACAGGGGAGAAAAAAAAATATTCTGAACAAACTGTCCCATAGTAAGAAACACTATGGAACAGTTTGTTCAGAATATTTTTTATTCTGGGTTTCCTCCTCTAAAAACTAGGTGCGTCTTATGGTGAGGTGCGTCTTATGGAGCGAAAAATACGGTAGGTTAGTTTGACATGACCCATGTTTCCTAAAACCATGCTGATTATTGGTAATAACAAAGTTCTTCCCAATGAATTTCTGAACATTATCCCTTAATAGCCCTTCAAATATTTTCCCAGTCACAGAAGTTAAGCTCACAGGTCTATAATTTCCAGGCAAGGATTTTGAAATCTTTTTAAATATAGGAACGACATCTGCCTTCCTCCAATCCTCCGGACCAATTCATGAAACAAAAGAATATTGAAAGATTAAATACAGATGTTCACTTATTTCCCCTCTTAGCTCCTTAACCCCTTAAGGACCAAACTTCTGGAATAAAAGGGAATCATGACATGTCACACATATCATGTGTCCTTAAGGGGTTAAGTACTCGTGGGTGAATACCGCCAGGCCCTGGAGCTTTATTTACATTAATTTTCTTTAACTGCTGTAGCACCTTGTCAAGATTGATGATCTCTGCCAATCCAATGCTTTCCCACTAGGAAAGGATTGGGATGCTAGTGTGCATGCGCAGCAAATCTCTGCGCTGCACCATTCTAATGCTCTCTGGGAGAATCGAGTCTGACTCAGTTCTTATTTATTTATTACTGGTATTTATAAAGTGTCAACAGATTCTGCAGTGCTGTACTATTAGTGGAGAACGCACAATATACACAGACAAATACAAGAGGTAGCATGATCCCTGCCTGTAAGCTGGTAACTAGCCTTTGTAGCTCTTTTATACAAAGTGCTTAGCTAGATAGCCCGTGAGCTTACAATCTAAAGGACACCGTGGGGATCTGAGACAAAAAGGTAGCAGGGGGAATTTGGAGGTGATGGCTAAAAGAGTTAACAGAGCGAAGCAGCTGGAATGAAGAGGTAATTGAGTGAGAATATCAAACAACTGGAGGAGCATGCTATGTATTTAGGGGGAACATGGGTGGGAAGTGGTGAGAAATAAAATGCAGAGCATCACAATCGCTGTTCCTATCAGGGAGTATGAGTGTGAGATGAGGAATGAACAAAAGAGATGGATATAGAACAGTGGCGTACTAAGGGGGGGGCAGAGGGGGCGGTCCGCCCCGGATGCCACCAGGGTGGGGGGTGCCATGACCAGGGGCGCCCCCCCCCATGCTGCAGCTGCCCGAGCGCTCTGTAGAGAGCCTCAGGTGGCTGCAGATTTGCCCGGGCGGTGTGTCCATGAGGGCGGACCGGACCGCCCGGGCGCAACCTGAGGAGAGGGGCTGACAGGAGGGAAGCGCTCAGCGCTCCCTCCTGTCACTCCCTCTGTTGTAGCGTGGCCGAGCCCTGTATAGTCCGCGGGTACAGAGAGCAGCTGTCTCCTGTACCCAGCCGGACTAACAGGAAGTGCACACTCACTCAGTGTGCACTTCCTGTTAGTCCGGCCGGGTACAGGAAACAGATGCTCCCTGTACCCGCGGACTATACAGGGCTCGGCCACGCTACAGGGAGGTAGGGAGGGGTGAGAAAGAGAAATTAGGGGGGGGGGGGGAGAAATTGGGAGGAGGAGAAGGAAATTGGAGCGGGAGGAGAGATTGACATTCATCACATACACACAATGCACCCCTTGCACACAGAAAACACACAATGCATTACACACACAGACACACATACACAAGCAATGCAACCGTTACACACAATGCATCCCTTACACACACTCAATGCACCCCTTACACACATTCAATGCATCCCATACATACACAGAAACACACCTTGCAGCCCTTACACATACAAACACAATTTCACACAATGCATTCCTTACACACATATCAGGACATCCCCTACACACTCCACCCCCTGTGAACAAACTCATTGGTGGAACATGAAGGTGGACCCTGGGACCCAGACCTTGAGCTGTGTAAAAGACCCCCAAACAATGGAGCTGCTTCCCGTTCTCCCAGAACATTGATTTTTGTGACCACAGTTACAAACCGCCTCCAGAGAGCCTGTTCTGCACCAGACCAGTGGAGCCAGACTGCAGCTAGAGCCCATCATCATCCTCACCTGGTTGTAAGTAGGCAATCTAGTATATTATTCATGGCATTAACTCTAATTTACCTCACATTAAAGAAACACTATAGTCCCCAGAACCACTTCAGCTTAATGTAGTGGTTCTGGTGTCTATAGCCTGTCCCTGCAGGCCTTTTAATGTAAACACGGTGGCACTGCAGCACTGGCGTTAGTTAACATGGCAAATCATATGGGTGGGGCATTGTGATGTCACATGGGGGGGGCGAAAACTTTACTTTTGCCTAGGGCGGCAAAAATCCTTGCACCGGCCCTGGCTGGAGGGGGCTGTGTGAGCTGTGGCCGCACAGTGTCCCATGGTAGTTAGGGTGCCGGCGGCCAGTACAGCTCACACAAGCAAACAGCTGATAAACTGGCCGCACGGAGGAAATGTGTATGTGTGACTGTCTGCCTGTGACTGTGTGTGACTGTCTGCTGTAACTGAGTGTGTGACTGTCCTGTAAATGTGTGTGTGGGGCTGCAGGGATTTTGTAGAAGGGGGCGGGGGTTTTGTATTGGGACAGGAGTCTTTATAAGGGGGGATAAGCAGGGGATTTGTGGAAGGGGGTTGCGGGGGTTTTGTAGACGGGGCAGTACAGGATTTGTAGAAGGGGCAGGACAAAGGTTTTGTAGGAGGGGCGGGGCAGGACAAGGGTTTTGTAGGAGGGGCTGACAGCGGTTTTGCAAAGTTTACAAATTGTAAAAAAAAAGAAAGAAAACCTTTAACATTTTTTACAGGTTTTTTTTTTTGGGTGCCAAGCACAGGATCTGCCCCGGGTGCCAAATGCTCTAGGTACGCCCCTGATATAGAATAGTTATATGAAGGTATTTACACCCAGGAAGAGCATGGGGGAGGGTAGGGGAAGAGTAGCAATGTGTGTGTTGGAAAGTTTAGCAGCCAAATTCTATCACCCAAAGTATTAATAACTGTGTACATGAAATATTGGTCAGAAACATTAAATGACAATGATAAAATCTGCATGCACAGAAAATTACAGTGACAAACTACAGGTATAATTGGAAACAATTCTATAGTAACATAGTAGCAATGTAAGAATAAATGAGGTGAAGTATCTTCCAAGCTACAGTCAATACCTTGGCATTGTGGGAGTTGTTTCAGGATGTTAAATGCAGAGCATTACAATCGCTGTTCCTATGAGTGAGCATGAGTGTGAGATGAGGCCTTGGCATTGTGGGAGTTGCTGCAGGATGTTAAATGCAGAGCATTACAATCGCTGTTCCTATGAGTGAGTAGGAGTGTGAGATGAGGCCTTGGCGTTGTGGGAGTTGCTGCAGGATGTTAAATGCAGAGCATTACAATCGCTGTTCCTATGAGTGAGCATGAGTGTGAGATGAGGCCTTGGTGTTGTGGGAGTTGTTGCAGGATGTTAAATGCAGAGCATTACAATCGCTGTTCCTATGAGTGAGTAGGAGTGTGAGATAGGCCTTGGCGTTGTGGGAGTTCTTACAGTGGAAGTGCCCATAGTGGCTGCCAGTATGACAGCAACTAGAGGTGTTTTGAACTCTGCAATGTAAACATTGCACTTTCTACAAAACTGCAATATTTTACATTACAGGATTAATACTTAAGGGCCACTGCACCCAGGACACTTCATTGAGATAAAGTGCCTTTAGTGGTCATTTTATATAATTCATAGTAACAAACATTCTGCATTAACCTCGGTAAGTCAATGCTGCTACAGTAAGCAATGTACTGCAGACAATTGCTGGGGATATAATGTGTAAAGTGCTTCTATTCCAAGCACTGAGCCCCTGTGGAAAGTATCACTGAGACTAATTCAGTCACGAGTGAGTGCCTCAAAAGGGCAGTGGGCATCTTCTTGTGGTAACGCAGGGGAGCCTAGGACAGAAAGATTCAAGAACTATCTACCCACAGGGCTCTATGCAGGTTTCCATTCCCCCCCCACCCCCCCACCCCTTCCGCCTCTCATTAATTTTTCATATAGGGATGATGAATGGGGCAAAACCAAATCATGGTTCCAGGGCCTTTGCCTAACTCCTGGGTCCTAGGCGACTGTCTTGGGTCACTTTATGGTTAATCCTGCTTTGAGACTAATAGACACATATATAAAGAATTTGGCATCATAGGTGAGATTAACAAATCACTAAAATAGAAAATCTTAAGAAATGGAGTTCTGCAGTTTACAATGAGCATTAAATGTTAAAAGCGTACTCCAGGAATGTAGCGAACCCTGTTTTGTTGTATTATTTGGATAATTAAAATAAGAAAAAAACTAAAAAGTAAACCAAAACAAATCACAAATTTACAGCTGCATTTTGCAGACTAGGAAACAGCTAAACAGTCATGTTTGTTGTCAGAAGGTAGACAGGTAATGCGGAGGTTCACTTTTCCATTTAACATGCAAGAAGTCAGTTTTAAACAAAACTCTTAGACAAGTTGCACCAAGTTCCACTAAAATGAGCTGTAGTGGTTGTACTGATTAGAACACCATTTTAAACCTATGGATACGTGGAATGGCCTTGTAGCTGAGATGGTAGCGGCTGATAAACTTTTGTACATTGAGTAATAAATGTTATGGACTGCAATGTAGTTCATCCAATTGGTTTCGTTCTGGTGTTTAACATCTATGTTTATATTCCCATGCTCTGCGTGCCTCCCTACGGGTTGGCAGTCTGTAGCCCGTGCTACATGCTCCATGTATAGCGGCACGTACCACGCTGTATGGAGCTTGCTATGAGAGCCTGCGGCACACTGTACAAATCACAGTCCCACTGTATAATTGATCATTGTCATACTGCAAATGACCCATTAACGTCTTCCTGCTAGATTAATGGCTCTGTGTATCTGATATAACCCACGGTTCAACAGGGGAGTGTCTGGGAGTCGAAGATATAATGTGGCATAATTAAAGGGTTTTCTAAAAATGGCAAAAAAAACAACAACTGTACTTGTACTGTGCTACAGGATATGTTGGTGTCTTTATAATTATAATCTATAAGATGACCACAGAGCAATTTATACTCTTTTCCTGGCTGAGAATTTGTGAGTTACAGTCCACAGTATATTGAGGGCCTTTAACCTTAATCCCCCTAATTCTAAATGTAGCTATCTGATACTATCAAGGCTGCTGCTCTCTCTATAATGCAGAACAGTATACCCGCTGTGCTAACACTAAGCATTTAAAATGTGTAGTTTTGTCAGCAACAGTTCAAATACATGTGTTTCTCACGATTACAAAAGAAAAAGGACATTTTTATGAGTTTGCGCTTCTATACTTGAGATCTTAGAGAAATACGTAGGATTTTGTAGCAGATCTCTCAAAACTTTCACCATTCATTAAATGATTCCTTGTGTGATAAAAATGTCAGCCTGTTTTTGTTGTGTTATAAATTTAAATTCTGTATATAAAATTGTTTGCTTTAAAAAAAAAATTGCCATAAAAATGTTAACATTTAAAAAAAATACTATTATTATATGGATTTTATGATATTGCCACACCGTTATTTATCAGAAACAGTGCTGATTTCATCTGCAAGACTGAAGGGGCAACGTCGATGCCCCAAAAGAACTTTATTGAGATGAACTGATTTCAGTGCTTACCGTGTCCCTTTAAGAAGCTCAGTCCCCAATCCCATGTTTTCTCATATTTCTCATGACACTGGATGCTGTGCTGAAAATAGTTTATATTGCTTTGTTCTCCATCCAGTAATCTGGGAACTATTAAACATAATTGTAAACTACACAAAGATGAGAGAGAACAGCCGTGGTGGGTTTAGCACGTCCTAAAGACGAGGTCTCAGGATTTTAGGAACACTGCATGCATACTGAAAGAGAATTGGAGATGGTATTCTGTGGGATTTGTTGGTGCACTATAAATAATTGATAATAAATTGTTACTAGTTAATAATACAATGCTAATGAATACATAATAAATGCAAGTTAATAGTGTCCCATAGTACTGTTTTGCTAACTTCAAAGCAAGTGGAAACTGTTTTTAAAGGACCACTATAGTGCCAGGAAAACATACACGTTTTTCTGGCACTATAGTGCCCTGAGGGTGCCCCCACCCTCAGTGTCCCCCTCCCGTCGGGCTGGATGGCGAGGAAAGGGGTTAAACTTACCTTTATTCCAGCGCCGGGCGGGGAGCTCTCCTCCTCCTCTCCGCCTCCGATCCTCCTCTTCGGCTGAATGCGCATGCGCGGCAGGCTTTCCTATGGACGCTTGCGTGTTCTCACTGTGATTTTCACAGTGAGAAGCACGCAAGCCCATCTAGCCAGGGCCAGATTAAGAGCCCGGTGGGCCTGGTGCTGACAATTATGATGGGCCTAATTACGGAATTTTATGGACCAAACACACTAAAATAGTCATACCTCCCAAGCGTCATGTATCTGATGGTGCTGGAGGGAAACTCAAAAGGATGCAGCTATAAGAAAACACATACCCTGTGCTAATCCCTCTCTAATTTATGCTTTCATCTTTCAAGTAAATCCATACCCCCGAACAGCAGTGTCCAATGAAGCAGGAAGTCAATGGGCAGGGTAAAAGGGTGTGCCACTGGTGCAAATCACGTGACCAGACCTGCCAAAATGGGAGAACATGCCCAAAAAGGGGGCATGTCTGTCCAAAGAATTTGAAGGACAGCCTGGCATGAATGTATGTCAGGCTGCCCGCCAATCCTGCAGGCTGTCCAACTAAGGGCATACTATGCAGGCAGCACCCTGAGCTTGGCATAAATGTGTCTAATGATGCACTCGCTCCATGCTTTCTAAGGACTGTCCCCTAGCACTCACATGTCCACTTGTCTCCTTACCTTCTTACTAGCAGGCAGATGTTCCTGGTATATAGTCTGAGACAGAGAAAAGGTGTATGTAGTGATTGTAGAAGAAAGGGGACATGCCACAGTGTTAGAGAGACCAACGTCTGCATTACCTAAACTGATTTTACTGTCAGCCAGTCCACACAAGTTTTGTTCCCATACATCCCTCTTAAGCTTCCAAACTTAAAGGGACACTATAGTCACCAGAACAACTAAAGCTTATTGTATTTGTTCTGGTAAGTAGAATCATTCCATTCAGGCTTTTTGCAGTAAACGCTGTCTTTTCAGAGTAAATAACTTCACTGGCCACTCCTTAGATGGTTGCTAGAGATGCTTCCTGTGGCAGTACTGCCTAGTGTGCAGTACTGCCATTCAGTGTCTCCACCCTCTGCATGCAGACACTGAACTTTCCTCATAGAGATGCATTGATTCAATGTATCTTGATGAGGTGATGCTGATTGACCAGGGCTATGTTTGACTTGCGCTGGCTCTGCCCCTGATCTGCCTAGTTGACAGTCTCAGCCAATCCTATGGGGAAGTATTGTAATTTGCTCAGACCACCACTTCTGATGATGTCAGCAGGCAGTCAGTTCAGAGGCAGACCCAGCAGCTGCAGACTTGAATACAAGTAATATTTTACTATATTTAGGGAGGCAAGAGTGGGGTCAGGGGGGCTAGATGGTGGTTTTAACATAATAGGGTCAGAAATTCATGATTGTGTTTCTGACCCTATAGTGCTCCTTTAAGCAAGAGTATGTGAAGAGTAGTTAGGGTTGCCACCTTTCTTGGAAAAAAATACCAGCCTTAATCATTTGTATAATTAATTAGTTATGCGTGACATCACATAAGAGAAAATCACCAACAAATACTCACAGTTGATTCTGCTATATAGATGGATTGCTCCCAGTGTCTCCCTGTCTCCCAGCGTCTCAGTCTTGCAAGTCACCCAGTGTCCCTATATATCACAGGATCAGTGTCCCCATGTCGCCCAGTGTCTCAGTGTCCCCATGTCACTAGGATACTGGGGACACAGTGAGACATGGGGACACTGAAAGACCCGAGGACACTGAAAAACTTGGCAACACTGGGAAACATGGGGACACTTGTGGATACAGACATAGGGACACTGGGAAACATGGAGACACAGAGACATGGGGACACTGAGACATTTAGAGAAACTGGGAGAAATGGGGACACTGAGACACTAGGGACACAGAGACATGGGACACAGACACTGGGAGACATGGGGACCCTGGGACATTTAGGGACACTGTAAGACATGGGGACACTAGGCACACTAAGAGACATGGGACACAGACACTGGGAGACTTGGGGACACTGAGACACTAGGGATACTGGCTGGGAGACATGGGGACATAGTGTATCTGTGTCCCAATGTCTCAGTGTCTCCCAATGTCCCTATGGCTCATAGCGTCCCCATGTCTCCCAGTGTCCCCATGTTTTCTAGTGTCCCCAAGTGTCTCAGTGTCCCCTAGTGTCTCAGTGTCCCCATGTCTCCCTGCTGCCTTTCCCCACATCCCTCACTTACCTGAGCTGTAGAGCTGCTGTCTGGACTCTCTGTGCTTTGTTGCTGCTCCCCCACGGATCAGTGAGTAGTAGAGAGAGGCAGGGATATGCTGTAACTTCCTATCCTTGCCTCTCTACACACACAGTGACCCCTACTGGCCGGTGCTGGTATTGCAGAATAATTTCCGTTTATTTGGAGAAAAATACCTGCATTTGGTTTTTTTTTTTTTTAAATGGGCCTATTCCATGGGCCTGGGCCTGGAGCTGCAGCTCCATCAGCCCCCATGTTAATCAATGAGACAGCCACTAGAGGATTTGGAGGCTGGATTAATTCTTTGAAACTGCTATGTTTATAAAAAAAAAAGGGTTAATCCTAGAGGGACCTGGCACCCAGACCACTTCATTAAGCTGAAGTGGTCTGGGTGCCTAGAGTGGTCTTTTAAGGTCCTAGACTCTACCATATCTACTGGAAGGTTGCACATTGATTTCACAACTTTTTCAGCATTGGTGTCGGGTATGCAGACCCTAATGCAGATCTCCCTCATTGGCCCTGTGTCCTCTTGTTGCTGTAAGGGAGCTTGTGATGGGCACATTGCTTGGGCGCAGATCGCAGTGTGTGCTCACCCATGGTCCTAGACTGAAAGGAGCTTTTACAGTGTTCTGCACTCGCTGCAGGTGCAGACCACAAGCTCCGCCCAGCAGAACTCCATAGACAATGATCACAGTCCCCACCAGACCAATCAGAGGGGCACAAGATCACATATATATATTTTTTTTATTTCATTGTTGGGGTTCTGTCACAATAAACAGCCTCTCCATCATTCAAGGTATTGGCAACACACAAACAAAACAAACACATTACACACAGCAACAGCACTTATAGCCCACCCCTGCATACACCGTTGCATGCTAAAACACCTCATTGACGCTTGAGATTGAGTGTTTAATAAATATTCACCTTATATTAAAATAAAATTAAAAAATACAATAGGGATAAAAATCCAGGGTGCACACGCTAATGTAACTTGCTCCCTCCCACATATTGTCAAAGTCCAGATGTAAAGGCAGAAAATATTTTGGTTCATATTTCAGTGTGATCTGGTAGGGAAGCTGCATATATCAGTATCTCAGTCCCAGCACTTTTTTCTGTTGCTTTCTATTTAAAAGATAGGTGACCCAACATTCAGACATAAGATCTTAAGGGCTCCTCTCAGTAGTACTTTCTGCTCCAGCCACGAGATCACCAGTAGTAGATTTAGCTTTGGGAATGGGAGAGGTCAAAGCTCCCGGGCCCCTAAGACAAGGATTTAGGCTTGCGCCCTAAATTTGATGGGAGTTTGGGGGGTTTGCAATGTTCCTTATCTTAGAGACTATCACCTTATCCAGACTTTGCATCATTTTGTCTCTGCGTTTACATTACATGTGTATATAGTTTATCTCTGAAGGCTGTACCTAATAGAAGCATTTATTGAGTTGCAAAGAAGTAAAGCAATTTACTCTGCAATGCATGGGATGTTATTATCCAATTAGTGCCCTAACCTGACGTCAGTATGAGACTGCCTGTTCTAGATGTACATCTGTACAAATTAATGTATAGGAACACCAAGTACGCCAACGCAAATCTGTATCTGCCAGACACGATATCTGTCTTTTACGATGTAATGAAATATTTAGTGGTTTATTCACCAAACCCAGAATAGTAAATTAGATTGCAAGCTCAGTGAGTCAGTTAATTTGTCTTGGTGATTAGCATTAGCAGCATTGTCAAAACCAACTCTGGACTGTAGTGGTTATGGTATTTGGTTTGTACCGTTAAGAATGTTTAAGGATTTGAATGTTACGTCTAGCATTGTTGCAAATAATTACAATATAGATTGCTTACTTTAAGTTACTATTCCCTCTTTAAGAAAGTTTGGGTGTTTTTTCTGTTTGTTTTTTTTTTTAAATTGGGCATGCCACATTTTTAACAGAGTGCACCTATAATCTTAATGTTTGTAATGACAGGAGGCGAATACTTAGCATAAATCTCTTTACTGTAAAATCAAGTATCCAACTCTATAAAGGACCCTGTCAGCCTGATCACTTCCTCTTTCTTTGTAGTGAAACAATATATAACAGTCTAGAACAAAACCATGTCCTTAAGAACAACGGAACAATCGATAACATCCAGAATTCGAAAATAGGTGACCGGAAACTCAACGGAAATAGATCAATTCCTGTGCAGAAGTCGATCATGCTGAAAGGAAACAAAAAGAAGTGTAAGGCATCTGACGTGACAAGATGTCCGCATTTAACCAACGATCATAATCCAGACAGATGACCTAAAGAAATATGACATAACTCAATATATAACCGGAACAATATACTCAATTAAACTGGTAATACTAACGACACTAAATCTTAAGTATAAGTTACACTAGTATGAACAATTAGAATTATGCGAGAAATAAAGACCCAGGGTGGGGAGCAGAATAGGGTGGGAAAATATTTGCCTCCTGTCATTACTAAAATCAAGATTATAGGTACACTACGTTAGCATAATCTACAATTTTATCACTTGACTAGAGGCTTCATATTTTGCATTTTTAATGCTGAGAATGTAGAAAAGTGAGAAGATTGTCTAAAGTAAAAAACACGGAAAGTATGCTCCCATGTCAAATCCACACATCTCATAATGTCCGAGAACGCCTGCGACGCAGCCCCGCCTTGGACCGAGTGGGCACCGAGACAAGGTTCTACCCCAACCATGGACAACAACCATTGAATCCACCTAGTCGTGGTTGTTACTGGTTTGTGGGGTTTGACATTAGGAGATCAGGAGCTGTCCTGAAGGAGAAGCCCGTAGCGAAGAAGTAATCTCTACATATTTCAAAAGAGCATCCACAACACAAAGTCTCGGAGCCTCCCGGAAAAACGGATAGGAGACGGCGGTAGAGTACGTTGCGAAATAGAAAACATGAAGTGACACAGAACTGAAGCGTTATCTTAGCCGACAGTTGACGTAGAGATAAGTTGGTATTGTCCAGCCATTCCAGTAGAAAACGTAGAACCAAGTCCACATCCCAGAGTCGAGAATACTTAGGTGCCGGGGGTCTGGACAACTTAATGCCTCTCAGAAGGCGACACACTATGGGGTGTTGCCCTACTGGGACACCTTGGAGGGGAACCTGAGCAGCCGAGATAGCCGAGCGCTCCACGTTGAGAGTTCAGTATGAGCGTCCCACGGAGAACAAATGAGATAGGTAGTTCAGAATGACACCTGGTACAGGTATTGTAAAAGGAACAGAGTCCCTTTCCAAACACCAACTACACAAAGCCGCCCAGGGCCCATCTTTAGACTCTCATGATAATCCGTGGACCGACCCCGGAAACCGTCCAAGCCACTATGTCCATCCTTTCTTCCACCATCAGTGGGTGCGGTTCCCCGCAGGGCCCAGAGAGAAGGGGTGACGAGGGCATAAGAAGTGGATGGTCGTACGAGAGTTCCAGAAGATCCGTGAACCACGGCTGGCTCTACCACAGGGGTGTGATGAGTAGTAGGGACACTTTGCGTTGCCGTGCGTAGTGGAGCACTCTTGCCAGCATGGAGAAAGGTGGGAAGGTGTAGGATCCCTGACTCAGCCAGGTTTGAAGGAATGCGTCCACTGCATTCCGGATTACGGATCTGGAGTTGACGGTTGGTCCTGGAGGCAAAAAGGTCCGCCGTTAGCAGACCTTTTTGGTTTGGAGGGCGAGGAAATGCGAGTTGTCTAACTGCCACTCGCTGGTGTCCCGCCAGTGGCAACAGGCCCAATCCGCCGTGAGATTTTAGGTCCCTGGCAGGTATTTCGCCCGAAGTGTGATGCTGCGGTCAAGATAGAACTCGTAGATGTCCTATGTCGCCTCCATCAGGGCTCGGAATCGGGTTCCGCCGAGGCGATTGATATACTGGACTGCCGAGATATTGTCCATGTGAAGCAGTATGCAGCAGTCGGAGACACCCTTGATAAGAGGGGAAACAGGCAAGCACACAGCTCTGAGGGATAGTGACAGACTGCAGTATAGGAACCGATACAGTTAGAAAATCAGTAGTCTAAGAGAGGGGTGAAGAGAAACAAGAAGCAATATAACTTCACATACTATATAAATAAATAAACCACAAAACCATGAGGTTTAACAGATATATAAATATGCAGTAGAAACACTGGGTAAAATACTCTGACCTGTGCAATGTGGAGCAGCAAAGACAGAGGAAGTGACCAGGCTGACAGGGTCCTTTATAGAGTTGGATACTTGTTTCTGATTGGTTGTTTCTGTTTGATCTGTGCTGCTGGATTTTACAGTAAAGAGAGTTATGCAAAATATGAAGCCTCCTCTCATGAGATAAAATTACTGATACTGTATCTACCAGCATGTGTTTGTAGACATCATTGTTTAAAACGGAGATTCTTAGCTTCTTTTTAGCAGGGAACCAATCTGTATTCTAGGCATTAACTCAATAACCCATTATTCAATATACAAAGTCGCTCAGTGGCCCATTCTGTAAGTATTATCATTAACATTGAAATGTATATTTCAAAATACGTTTATTATAATTATTTATAAATTGCCAGCAATTTCCACTGAGCTGTACAATAGGTGGACTAACAAAAAAGTAGCTGCAACAAGACGAGTTGGACAGGAACAGAAGGTGCTAAGGGCCCTGCTCAAACGTGCTTACATTCTGAAGGGAGTGGGCTAGTTTTACACAAGGGGTAAGGGTAAGATATATTTCATGTATGGGAAAAGTAGGTTGCTAGAAGAATTTATAATTAAGTATTGTTTTTTTTATATTAATTAAAAATATATTGTAGCGGATCGGCAGTATTAAATCCACGAATTCCGCTTGTTCAGAAAGTAATCCACAGTCAAGCACTGAAAAGCAAGGCAATATCCCCAAATCTCCCAGTAACCGGACGAAACACAGTTCTGAGAGTCAACTGCAGGCTTTATTCACAGGCTCCACAATTTATACAATTCCCCATGCAAGGGGTTTCCTGAGTAACATCCCAGGGGCATTCCCAGAGTGGACTACATGGGAAACTTAATGTACAGAGCCTTTCCCCCATCAGGCACTGCTGCACGAGAGGGATCCTCCCACTGGAATGTACCGTTAAGTGGATTATCCCTCCGTGCAGCAGAACCGGCAATTTACCTTAAAATGTACAGTTCTTTGACTATTTAGTCTATTTGCACGAATGGACGTTCGGTAGATATCTGGGGTCTGAGCGCATCATTCATGGGATTACCGCTCAGATCCCAGCTAAAATAACCGAACGCCGCACGAAAAACACATTTATTAAAACACACATTCAAAAGACCGATGGAAGTATAGGGAATAAAATACCGAACGGCCTGGAACTCCCGAACGGCCTGGAAGCTCAGCGGTGTTCGCGCCGTCGAGTAGCCGTTTTCAGTACCACGCGCTCGACGACCAAACACCGCTGAGGGAACAAAGGATCCAAGATGGCCGACCGCCGCATGGTCGGTAGTCGAACGGCGACCACCTAGGAGAGCCTCTAGTTACCGATTGCAACATTGTTGCAATCGGTTAACAAGCGCCACACGTCTCTAAGTGTGTGGGCTATTACATGGTGGTTATTTCGGTTCACGAACGGCCCGCAAAGGTGCCGTTCGTGAAACAAAATGAAATACAGCTATCTGCGTTCGGCAGATAGCCAATACAGGAAATACAAGGTATTACAGCCAGCATACATTATACTTAGTCACACTCATATCCCACAACCATACAGGCAACCCTTAAAGGTACAGTCTCTTTATATTGTCCAAGTGGCTAGGTTTGCCACATATATATATTTATATATGCCCACATCACAAAAGATTTTTTTGGGATAGCAATATTGTAATTAGATTAAAATATTTTCAGAAGATATACCTATCTCAGTAACTTATTCTGAATAGAGAGATGATGGCTTAAACAGTAGTGTAATGTAGACTCAAAAGGATAAGGCTAATTTTAGTTAGTATGAATGCAGCACAAGCTTGCTTAGTAAAATAAAAATACTAGACTAAAGATTTAGATGATAGTAGGCACAACTAGTAAAGTGGAGCCTATCCGTAGACAGAAGGAGGCAGGTTTATTGGAACAAAAAGTGCAACGTTTTGGCCTATACTTTTTGTTCTAATAAACCTGCCTTCCTGCAGCAATCCTGAGTGCCTGGGCTTAATCTATTTGATCTACTAAATTGGGTTTTGCCAACCCTAGCCCTGATAAGCACCTAAATTCCTAAGTGTGAGTGTGGTATCCTCTGTTTGTAAGTGGCTCCTATTATATAGACAGGGGTATCCACACATCATCATCTGCTCAAGGAACAATTGTGCCCCAATATCAATCAGTCAAGTTAACCTTCCTGCCTGAGGTTGTTGCACCATAACTCAAGTAGTAGCTATAGGAGTGAAAGCGATGTGGATGTCTCAGATAGAGCCAGTTCACTCTCTTCCATCTGTGATGGTAGCGGGAAAGACGAATGCAACAGGAGGTACATCTTCTGATAGCCCTTGGTGTAGAGAGTAGGTTAAATTGTAACTTCTGCTCAGGCCACCAAATCAATAGACTCTTGTGCGTCTTCTGCATATGTGGGGCAATGGAAGCTGTCTTCCCATTATTTACAATGGAGCCATTTTCTGTCCTCAGTTGAGTGAAGACATGGACCCCAGACTTTTGGCGGAGCCACATTTGCTTCCAGAAATCCAAGCATATGCTCAAATGCTTCTAGAAGTCCTGGTTAGACTGTGTATGTCTCCCCTGCTTCACAGTAGCCTCCACCATGTGCACAACCGCAGAAGGTGCCCAGACATATTAGGTAAGTATTCAGTGATCTGTCTGCTTGTGTGCTTAAAAATGGCTCTAGTTGAGAAACTGAATTAGGTAGCATCATTATAACCCTCCCCAGCAATGAGGAAAGGGGCAAGAAACTCTGCAAGAGCATCCAGCTCTCAAGATAGGTAACGGAAATTTTTTAATAGCAAAGGGCGGTGTACAGAATGGATTCTATAGTCGTGAGAGAAAAAAAAAGTCCCAAGATTATTCGGACTATAGATACTCTTTAAAAAAGGTAGTCAGAGGTGCGACTGTGAACAGAGGATAGGCACTCTGTTCAGCACTGTGGAAGGACCTGGAGGAGGCATACCTGTGTATTAGTGAGGATAGGAAGATATGAACAGTAAATTATGAGACCCTTTCCAATGCTAGGTGAGACTTTGTTGCAATAGCGAAGGTAATTTTGCTACAATAAACTATTTATCGGGAACATTTTATGGGGCGCTGCTCTTCTAACCACTGGGGACCCATGGAAATAGCATGGGGACTCACATTTTCTTGGACTGCTGGTCTAAAGGCTGATTAAGCATCATGGGTACTGTAGTCTACAAACAACTGTGCTAGGATTGGCCAACACTGAGAAATGTTCTTTCATACTAGTAACAACTTCTCTATCAGATTTCCTATATTTATTTTGGCTACTGTTAGTGATTACATTGACCTTTTTACTGAGTGACTAAGTATGAATTATTCATTAACGGAAATTTTTTTACACATAAGGAAATTTTCTTGCATGAGAGCACTTTGCTTACTTGTTTTATTCGAGGACGAGTTAACAATCAGATGTTCAGAATTGTGGACTAGTAAAGTGGCAAAATAACCAAGCCAAGTGTCCAGGAGGGAGTCCAACAACAAGGAATTCCAAAGGCACAATAAATTAAAGTAATGAAGTTCCTAAAAATACAACAACATATCTCCATAATTAACCAGTGTGATGGAACACAGAACTGAAAGTGTTTTGTGCTTTTATAGAGAAGGTGCTAAGAAAAAGGTGTTCGGACCTTGTAGCTGTGTGAATACATATATACTGTATATATGAATACAAAATACATATAGTAATGTGGTACAATCCACCAGGCTCTCCAGCTCAGCGGTTCCCAACCCAGTCCTCAAGTACCCCCTACCAGTCCAGGATTTAGGGATTACCCTGTTGTGTCTAAAGTAGACATGTGCAATTAGTTTTGTAACAAATGTTAATTTGGAAAATTTCGGGCAATTTGGACATTCGGATACTTCCGAATGTCTGAATTGCAGAAGTTCAGAAGTGCCGAAGTTCTGAAGTGTCGAAGTTCCAAAGCAAAGTATTGCTGAAGTACTAATATACCTACCCAGTGGAAGAATGAAGAATGTTACACTGTATACAAGTTTAAATAAAAAGTATACAAACATAGCCAGGATTCAGCTGTAAGCATTTGCAACACTTACAACAATCAAGTAACACACATTCATATAAAATGTAGGTTACTTAATAGCCAATCAATGGAATGACAGGAATAAGTAGATAACTCTCTAATTCCCACGCTATTAGGGAGCTATCTCCTAAAAGGCTGAAAGACCTAAATTGGTCTTTCAGCCAAATTTACTAATACTAAGTAAAGATTACTTAGTTTTAGTAAATTATGCCACTACTCGCTATACAGCGAATAGGGGTATGTCTATTAAACAGGCTGCCGCCTCCCGAGCCCCCACCCGTCCTGCGCAAGTGGGGGGCTTTTAACCTGAAGGGGGGACCTATTGCCCCCGGCCCCCACCCCTAAACGCCGGGTGAGGGCCCTTAAGGGCCTCCCCCCATTCCCCACCCCTGAGGGTCCCTAAAGAAGAATAATGGGGGGGACCTATTGTCCTCTCCCTCGGCCCCCACCCCTGAGGAACATTTGCTTATTTTTTTTGGAGCATGCTTGATTTTAATCCCTGTTCTTGTTCTGTCTTTGGTGTGCCTACCTCTGGGTTCTTTACTTATTACTCATATTTGCAGAATTTTCTCACCCTGGTTTTTTTATTTAATGCAAAGTTTGCATCCTGAGCCTTTGGGTCATTGCAGTCATTCTTTACGGACTGATTGCCAAGTATCCAAATTTGATTTGGATTTTGGGCCTTTTAGAACACATATCTGTTAATTAGGGGCTTAACTTGTTCATCGAAGTCCTCTGCATGAGGTGGAGGTAGTGTTGTCCTGATCGAGATTCTGCACTATTCCATTTTCTTCACAATGCACCCTGGATGTAGCTTTGACAGACAGGGATCGTTGTACCATTTTAGTACAGTCATGAAGACCCAACCTGCCATGTTAAAAAAAAAAAAATATTGAAAACCTTGAAATATCCCTAAAAAACTTAAACCAGGCATGGCAAAATACTGATCTAAACTGTTACCTCTTCTGGACACAGTTCCTCACTTGTTCCTTTATGTCCACTCATAAGATGTTATCTGTGTACGTTTGTTTGCACTGTCTTGTTACTGTATTTCCATTAGAATACAACCCTGGCACTGTGGTAAAGTGAACCAGAACCCATTGGTGGAGTTTATCACTGATGCCTGGTTTTCCTGAAAAGTTAAGTCTGTGGTTTGCATAGACACTTCATTACAGGTGGTCCACCAGTCTATCGTGGATGCATTAAAAAACAGCACTTCTAACTGATTATTGAGAACCTTGAGTTGGAGACTGACATAAATACATGAAGGGTAGCTAACTCTTTCCATGTTTGAAGGATCAAATAGCTATCAGAGCATAAACCGAAGGAAAAAATGCATATTTATGATTTCTGGTGAAATGTTTAAATATATGTTGGGGAAAAAAATAAAAGGTTTGTCAAGGGAGCCCAGAAAGCCATATCCAGGAGTCCAGGAGTATGGCTATATGAAGCTCACACCTTTTATTATTATACAACAGGTGATTTGAATTCTAGAATGTACATGCTAGCGGCCCTGCTGCCTGTATCGCCCCCCTGTATGCCTGCTGGCAGGAGGCCTGACGCGTGGCCTCCTCACGCATTCAAGTATGATTGATATTGGCATGTTTCAGCCCGTGGATGCATGAATACAAGCAGACGTTTTCTCCTTGAAATCGCAGCCCGTACAAAGGGAGTAAAATACTATAGTATAATGAGTCTAATCACTCCAGCGTTGTACAGCTCAGCCAGACAAAGGCCTGCATGTGACACACACTGACGTGACCCAGAAACGAATGCTCAAAAGTGTCCACATTAGCAAAAATGGCAAAAAATGTTTTTAAAAAAAAGGTTAACTTCACAAGACATCATGATTACATAACGATATTTTTAAAAAATGTAATTTTGTCTTGTCTTGTATTAAATATATAAAAACAATAGCCCTGGATGCCTTTTGTAGTTCTGCTGGTAATTCGTTCAGTGCATTCAATGAAGCCAAAGCATTAACGTCAACCAATAATAACTGTATTAACTGCTTGTGTCATATGTTCTCTTTGTTCTACCTTAGCTACAAAAATGTTTTAGAAAAAAAAAAAAAATAGTGCAAAACGGTAGCATGTAGTCACCTCCCTCAAGCCGGACAACCCTTCTCCTGCCGCATGGTCCGACTGCTCCGTGCAGCATGGCATCTATAAATTAAAATTAGACTTACCCTTCAGGCACTGCTGAATCGTTCCCCTGTGTTCGTCGGCGCCCAGCCACAACAGTGAGACCTTCAGACGCTGCCCACTTATAAATCACGTCCTGTCAGGATTACTGTTGATCCAGCACGCAGAATAGTATCACACCTAGGACTAAGGGTAACGTCTAACCAGACTTAACGTACTGCAGAATAGTCAAAATACTTGCCGAAGTCAGGGACCCAGAATGAGACACAACAAAACCAAAGGATACCAGAAATCAGGGAAGTCAAAACGAAGCCAAAGTCAAATACCAGAAAAACACAATCAGGATCACACGCTCAGATAGCCAGCTGGTGGAATTCACGACAGGGCAAAGATGAAATAAAGAAATTGACTTTTATAACCCTTGCCTATAATTCATTGGTGGACAGGGATCACCTGACTCCAGAATGTGAGTGTGCGCTCTTTGTGTGGCTGCACACGCACGTCTGCGTGACCTCTAACCCTGATGGAGGCAGGGCTATATCTTTTATTGCTTTTACAGTGGCCGGCGTCCATAGGAACGCCGCACTTGCTGGGGATGGAGGCGCCGGCGGATCTGGGTGTGATCCGCCACAACTTAGGTAAGTTTATTTTTTTTTTGTTTAAGTGGCCGCACCGATCGGGTGCGGCCATGTGGTGTCGACAGAAACATCTCTGACGGCATGGCTGCTTAGTTTGAGCCGTGACATGTCCTTAAATAAATCTTAGACGTAATGTCACTCCCGCCCTTAAAGTGACCACGTCATAATTGAGATCCTGATCTGTTTTGAGTCGCAATGATGACGTGGACCAATCAGAACACATGTAAACCTGTTTATGGCTTGCGTTGGCCCCTATTCTTTCCTGTAGTGCTCCTAGAGATTCCATTTCCTGTGTCTAACCTCGGCTTCATATTTTACTTGTGATTTCTGGTATCCTGACCCGGCTTCGTATTTGACCTTTGATTTCTGGTATCCTGACCCGGCTTCGTATTTGACTTGTGATTTCTGGTATCCTAACCCAGCCTCGTATTTGACTTGTGCTTTCTGGTATCCTGACCCGTACTTCATATTTGACTTGTGATTTCTGATATCGTGACCTGGCTTTGTATTTGACTTGTGATTTCTGGTATCCTGACCCAGCTTTGTATTTGACCTGTGATTTCTGGTATCCTGACCTGGCTTCATATTTGACCTGTGATTTCTGGTATCCTGACCCAGCTTTGTATTTGACTTGTGATTTCTGATATCGTGACCTGGCTATGTATTTGACCTGTGATTTCTGGTATCCTGACCTGGCTTCATATTTGACCTGTGATTTCTGGTATCCTGACCCAGCTTTGTATTTGACTTGTGATTTCTGGTATCCTGACCCGGCTTTGTATTTGACTTGTGATTTCTGGTATCCTGACCCGGCTTTGTATTTGACTTGTGATTTCTGGTATCCTGACCCAGCTTTGTATTTGACTTATGATTTCTGGTATCCTGACCCGGCTTTGTAGTTGACTTGTGATTTCTGGTATCCTGACCCAGCTTTGTATTTGACTTGTGATTTCTGGTATCCTGACCTGGCTTTGAATTTGACTTGTGATTTCTAGTATCCTGACCTGGCTTCGTATTTGACCTGTGATTTCTGGTATCCTGACCCAGCTTTGTATTTACTCTTTTTTTGGATATCTGACCTTTGCTTTTCCTGACCTTGCTTCTTGCTATATTAATCTGTTAAATCTGGCCACTCCAAGGCTAGGTAATATGAGTTTTGGATCCACCTTTTGTAAGTTCCCACTCTTCTTGTGTGTTGGAGTACAACTCCCGTGACAAAAACTTACTGCATTGCTCCATTAGCATCAGTCCGAGCCATTGGTTATCAGTATTGGTGTTTCTGGTAGCCTCTTATTTCCACCGGCGCCAGGCACTGCCAGAGCTACAATCATTTGACACTGATCAGATTAAAATAATAAAATAAATTAAATTGGGGGTTTCAGAACCTCTGGATCTGGAAGAGAAGAGAAATATTTGACTACACTATATGCAAATCCTGCTTCCTCCTTGCCCAGAGCTGAATCCCCCAGAAGAGACTGGGCTGCACTTACCTTATCAGACTTCCCTGAGTCATGAAACTGACTCATGCTAAATATTTGTGTTACATTAGTTCACAGGTAGCTTTCTATACCTGCCAACAGCCCAGGGCCCTGGCACTCGATACTGCAAGAGGGACAAATTGCAGACATAGCTTGCATTCCATTTCTGGGTGAATGAACCAGCAGGTGTAGTGTTTATTTGGAATGAAGTCATTCTAGACTAATGCCCTCGGCCAGCAGCAAGGACAACATCAAGTTGCCTAAACTGTGTTTTTCATTGTCAAACACATTGTAGCGTTACAACTGTTGTTGATTTTGAAATGAAAAAAAAAAATAAGCAACAAGGTCATAAGATTAACCTTCCTTTTTTGTTTAGTATTTTAGTACATGACTGAAAAAAAAAGAGTTTGAAAGTCGAGCGGTTTTTGCTTTATAAACCCGCCCCCCACCCCCCAAAAAATACATTTTGCTGCAAAGTAGCAGATGTTTTCTAGATAGACCATTCACAGTACTTTATTTTTTAATGTGTTATAGGTTCTCCCCTTTCGAAAAATATAAGGTGTTTATCGTTTCTGAGACCATACCCTTCTTAGAGTTAACAGCTCTTGCTGTAAAAATTATGGTTTCATTGTTTAAGGTAATATCTTCTTTATTTTCTGTTATCAGGGGATAAGCTGATGTTGCAATTTAATAATTTGTGGCAAGCAGCATATTAAGTTATTTTCTGACCATCAATATCACAATAGGTGCACAAACAGGGTTTGCGCAGTTAAACCCCAATGTAGCTGGAGCACTAGCTCTTAGACGGCAGTATATTCTTGACCAGCCCCGCAGACCCTCATTCCTATGAGGGAGATTTTGGTCTGCACCTTGAGGGGTGTTGATCACCTTAAATGCTACATCCCTCGCGGTTCCTGGCCTAAAGGAGCATTTACAGTGATCTGCACCAGCTGATTGCAGACCACAAGCTCCTCTTTAGATCAAGAAAATAACTCCACTAGGCCACCATGGAATAGGCCACTGACCCCACTGGACTACCATGTCATAGGAACATTGCAAGGTAAGGAAGGGAGGGGAAAGGGAACTGATATGTTTTTTGTTTTTTACATTTATTACACAATAAATTGGAGGGAGGCTGGAACAAACACATCCTTCCCACAGCCACAGTCACATGAATTCCTTATCACTACCCACACACACAGCCACACACATAGAAACATAGAATGTGACGGCAGATATGAACCATTCGGCCCATCTGGTCTGCCCAATTCTCTAAATACTTTCTTTAGTCCCTGGCCTTATCTTATAGTTAGGATAGCCTTATGCCTATCCCACGCATGCTTAAACTCCTTTACTGTGTTAACCTCTACCACTTCCTGATATTATGTTAAACCTTTGCCCCTCTAATTTAAGACTATGTCCTCTTGTTGTGGTAGTTTTTCTTCTTTTAAATATAGTCTCCCGCTTTACTGTGTTGATTCCCTTTATGTATTTTAATGTTTCTATCATATCCCCCCTGTCTCGTCTTTCCTCCAAGTTATACATGTTAAGATCTTTTAACCTTTCCTGGTAAGTTCTATCCTGCAATCCATGAACCAGTTTAGTAGCTCTTCTCTGAACGCTCTCTAAAGTATCAATATACTTCTGGAGATACGGTGGCATGAGCACTTCTCTCTTTCTACTGCTAATACCTCTCCCTATACAACCAAGCATTCTGCTAGCATTTCCTGCTGCTCTATTACATTGTCTGCCTACCTTTAAGTCATCTGAAATAATTACTCCTAAATATTGAGGTTAGTAGGGTATCAAATATTCTATACTCTGCCCTTGGGATTTTACGCCCAAGATGCATTATCTTGCACTTATCCCTATTAAATGTCAGTTGCCACAGCTCTGACCATTTTTTCTAATTTACCTAGATCATTTGCCATTTGGCTTATAACTCCTGGAACATCAACCCTGTTACATATCTTAGAATCCTCAGCAAAAACACATTCCTTACCATGAGATAATATTCCCTCTTTATAAATCACTGGTAAGACCACATATTAAATATGCTGTGCAATTTTGGGCATCTGTTTTAAAGAAGGATATTATGGCACTAGAAAAAGTACAGAGGCGGGCTACCAAATTAACAAAAGGAATGGAACAAATCAGCTATGAAGAAACTTTAACAAATTTAAACCTCTTTAGTTTAGAAACACATTGCCTGAGTGGGGATATGATACAGTATACAAATATATTTGGGGCCAATACAAACCAGACTTTACATAAGACACGAGGTTATACGTTTAGACTGGAAGAAATACGTTTTCATCTAAGGCAAAGAAAATGTTTTTTTACTGTAAGACCAATAAGGATTTGGAACTCTCTGCCTGAAGAAGTGGTTTTATCAGAGTCCATACAGATGTTCAAACGGCAACTAGATGCATACTTGCAAAAACAGAATATTCAAGGATATAATTTTTTCAATGTAGGGTAATAACTTCTTAATCCAAGGATAAATCTAACTGCCATTCTGGGGTCAAGTAGGGATTTTTTTCCTAGTTTGTTCCAAAATTGGAAGTGCTTCAGACCGGGTTTTTTTTGCCTTCTTTTGGATCAACCGCAAAAAACAAATGTGAGGAAGGCTGAACTTGATGGACTCAAGTCTCTTTTCTGCTATGTAACTATGTAACCATCAAGACCTTCTGCAATATCACTAATAAAAATAATAAAGAGAATGGGACCAAGTACAGATCCCTGAGGTACCCCACTGGTGACAAGTACAAGCTTCGAATATACTCCATTGACTACAACCCTCTGTTGCCTGTCACTCAGCCACTGCCTTACCCATTCAACAATATTGGAATCCAAACTTAAAGATTGCAGTTTATTGATAAGCCTTTTATGTGCAACAGTGTCAAAAGCCTTACTGAAATCTAGGTAAGCAATGTCTACTGCACCACCCTGATCTATAATTTTAGTTACCCAATCAAAAAAATCAATAAGATTAGTTTGGCATGATCTCCCTGAAGTAAACCCATGTTGTCTCTGATCTTGAAATCCATGTGATTTAAGATGTTCAACAATTGAAGATTATGATAACGCAGTGTACTAACAATCTTAATTTTAATAATGACAGGAGACGAGTATTTTGCATTAACTTTCTTTACTAACACAAGTCCATAACTAAACAATTAACTTTGTAAGAGATCCCACTGGAAAACGGTAAAGGAAAAAAATTCCTCCCATCGATGTTGATGACTTGTTAAGCTGAAAGGAAAGAGACTAGTTTTAGTGATACGGAACCGACCGTCTGAATATATAACTATGAGCACACTTAACCCCTTAAGGACCAAACTTCTGGAATAAAAGGGAATCATGACATGTCACACATGTCATGTGTCCTTAAGGGGTTAAGCCGATGTTAGGAAACATAGGGTGTTGTTATAAAAGAGGCAATCCCACATACAATAACAATACTCAACCCATAATAATTCTCATACCAGTAAATAGACATAAACCGGAGATAGAATTCTTCAACATCCTCAGACTTTGTAACTTACCTCAAACCAGGGTTGGGAACATCCAGGGGCGTACCTAGAGCATTTGGCACCCGGGGCGGATCCTGTGCTTGGCACCCCCCCCCCAAAAAAAACCTGTAAAAAATGTTAAAGGTTTTATTTCTTTTATTTTTACAATTTGTAAACTTTGCAAAACCGCTGTCAGCCCCTCCTACAAAACCCTTGTCCTGCCCTGCCCCTCCTACAAAACCTCTGTCCTGCCCCTTCTACAAATCCTGTACTGCCCCATCTACAAAACCCCCGCAACCCCCTTCCACAAATCCCCTGCTTATCCCCCCTTATAAAGACTCCTGTCCCAATACAAAACCCCCACCCCCTTCTACAAAATTCCTGCAGCCCCACACACACATTTACAGGCAGACAATCACACACTCAGTTACAGACAGACAGTCACACACTCATTTACAGGCAGACAGTCACACACAGTCACAGGCAGACAGTCACACATACACATTTCCTCCGTGCGGCCAGTTTATCAGCTGTTTGCTTGAGTGAGCTGTACTGGCCGCACGGCACCCTAACTACCATGGGACACTGTGCGGCCACAGCTCACACAGCCCCCTCCAGCCAGGGCCGGTACAAGGATTTTTGCCGCCCTAGGCAAAAGTAAAGTTTGCCGCCCCCCATGTGACATCACAATGCCCCAGCCATATGATTTGCCATGTTAACTAACGCCAGTGCTGCAGTGCCGCCGTGTTTACATTAAAAGGCCTGCAGGGACAGGCTATAGACACCAGAACCACTACATTAAGCTGAAGTGGTTCTGGGGACTATAGTGTTTCTTTAATGTGAGGTAAATTAGAGCTTAGTGCCACGAATAATATACTAGATTGCCTACTTACAACCAGATGAGGATGATGATGGGCTCTAGCTGCAGTCTGGCTCCACTGGTCTGGTGCAGAACAGGCTCTCTGGAGGCGGTTTGTAACTGTGGTCACAAAAATCAATGTTCTGGGAGAACGGGAAGCAGCTCCATTTTTTTGGGGTCCTTTACACAGCTCAAGGTCTGGGTCCCAGGGTCCACCTTCATGTTCCACCAATGAGTTTGTTCACAGGGGGTGGAGTGTGTAGGGGATGTCCTGATATGTGTGTAAGGAATGCATTGTGTGAAATTGTGTTTGTATGTGTAAGGACTGCAAGGTGTGTTTCTGTGTATGTATGGGATGCATTGAATGTGTGTAAGGGGTGCATTGAGTGTGTGTAATGAATGCATTGTGTGTTTCTGTGTGTGTAAGGGATGCATTGTGTGTAACGGTTGCATTGCTTGTGTATGTGTGTCTGTGTGTTTTTCTGTGTGCAAGGGGTGCATTGTGTGTATGTGATGAATGTCAATCTCTCCTCCCGCTCCAATTTCCTTCTCCTCCTCCCAATTTCTCTTTCTCACCCACCTCCCTTATTTCTCTTTCACCCAATTTCCCTTTCTTTTCACCCACCCCCTTTTCTTTCTCTCACTCCACTCTTTCTTTTCTACCCACCCCTATTTCTTTCTCTCACCCCTATTTCTTTTCTCACCCCTATTTCTTTTCTCTACCCCCTATTTCTTTTCTCACCCCCCTCTTATTTCTCTTTCTCACCCCCTTATTTCTTTTCTCACCCCTTATTTCTCTTTCTCACCCACCCTCTTTTCTTTCTCACCCACCCCCTTTCTTTCTCACCTCTATTTCTCTCTTTTATTTCTTTCTCACCCCCTTATTTCTCTCTTCTCACCCCCTTATTTCTTTTCTCCCCTTATTTCTCTTTCTCACCCCTATTTCTTTCTCACTATCTCTTTCTCACCCTTATTTTATCACCCTCTCTACCCCCATTTCTCTTCACCCCTCTTATTTCTCTCTCTCACCTCTTCTCTCCCCTCCCCCCTACCTCCCTGTAGCGTGGCCGAGCCCTGTATAGTCCGCGGGTACAGGGAGCTTTTGTTTCCTGTACCTGGCCGGACTAACAGGAAGTGCACACTCAGTGTGCACTTCCTGTTAGTCCGGCCGGGTACAGGAGACAGCTGCTCTATGTACCCGTCGGACCATGCTGCAGAGAGGGAGCTGACAGGAGTGCTTCCTCCTGTCAGCCTCTCCTCAGGCTGCACCCGGGCGGTGCGGTCCGCCCTCATGGACGCACCGCCCGGGCAAAGCTGCAGCCGCCTGAGGCTCTTCACAGAGCGCTCGGGCGGCTGCAGCATGGGGGGGGGCGGGGCTGGCCATGGCACCCCCCACCCTGGTGGCACCCGGGGCGGACCGCCCCCCCCGCCCCCCCCTTAGTACGCCACTGGGAACATCCATAAAAAAAGGGGGGGGGAGAAACTCGCCTCCTGTCATTATTAAAAATAAGATTATTAGTACACTGCGTTAGCATAATCTTCAATTTTACAAAATGACAGGAGGCTTCATATTTTGCAATTTTAATGCTTAGGTAGAAGAGAACGCGGCATTAGACGACGGCCGGAAGTAGAATGTCCAAAACGTAGATTCACGAGACCAGTCCGCTGCTTGTAAGATATCAGACAGAGTCGCGCCTGCCATAAACGCAGACGATGCCGCTGCTCCTCGCACGGAGTGAGCACCGAAAGACGTGTCTATTCCGGCTAGAGTGAGGAGCCACCTAATCCATCTGGACAGTGTGGTGACCAAACCCGGACTGTGAGGGCTAACATATGACACCAGTAGTGGCCGGGATGTTGACGAGCGTAACGTCTCTGTTGCCATCACATATGCCCGCAAAGCCGCAACCACACATATTTCAGGGTCTGAGTCGAAGAATGGGTAGAAGACCACCAACGAATCGGATTTAGTCCGTTGTGAAATGCGGAATGTGACCTCTTCCGGGCCGATAGTAAAGGCGTCTGTATCTAATGCCCGTACGTCAGAGACTCGTCGGAACAAGACGAGGCACAATAGGAAGATAAATTTGGCTGTCAATTGTCGTAAGGATAGAAGTTCGTTAGGTGGCCATCTTCTCAGAAATCAGAGCACCACACCCACATCCCATAGATGTTGATACTTGGGAGCTGGACGCCGTCTCAGTTTGATGCCTCGTAATAGTCGACAGATCAGGGAGTCTTGACCAACCGCTCTCCCTTGGGACATGGACTGCCGATATAGCGGACCTGATGACATTGATGGTGCGATATGACTTACCTTCCTCGAAGATTGAAGAGAGGAAGTTCATGATCTCGGAAACAGGAGCTGTAAAGAGGTCAAGGTCCAGTCCCACGCACCAACTGGTCCAAGATCGCCAAGCAGATAGGTAACTCTTTCGTGTTCCTGGGGCCCAGGAGTCCCACAGTAGGTCTTTAGTCATTGACGAGAAGTCGTTGGTACACCATGCTCCCCTGAAAGAGACCAGCCCACTAAGGACAGGTGTCTCTCCAGCAGCATAGGGTGTGGGTTCCCCATTGGGTCCCAGAGTAGGGTTGAGTCTTCCGGCAGGAGAATTGGATCCTCGTAAAACATGTCGAGGAGGTCTGGGAACCAGGGTTGGCGCGGCCATAGTGGTGTCAGAAGGGTTATCGTCACTTCCCGTCTCCGTATGTGGTACTCTTGCAATCATTGCGAATGGAGGAAAGGCATAAGCCCCTGGTTTTGGCCAGTGTTGGGTGAAGGCATCCACAGCCATGCAATCCGGGAGCCAGCTGTTAAAACTTTGGTAGTTGATAATTGTTGTGCGAGGCAAACGTATCCAATAGGAATGGTCCTCTTTATTTGTTCAGGCAAGCGAATATCTGCGGATTCAATTGCCAATCGCTGGCATCTCTCCAATGTCGGCAGTACCAATCTGCAGTAAGATTCGACTACCCTGGTAGATGTTCGGCCCTGATCGTGATGTTGCGTGGTAGGCAATAATCAAAAATGTCCTTTTTTAACTCTACCAATGTCTGGGAGCGAGTCCCTCCCAGATGATTGATGTATCATACGGCAGAGACATTGTCCATCCGAAGAAGGATACAACAGTTGGATTGTCCTTTTGCCTGGCTGCGGATGGCGAATTTTCCTGCCAACAACTCCAGGCAGTTGATGTGCATCGTGAGCTCCTCATCCATGTTCCTCTTGTGGATGCATGCCCATCGGTAGCACCCCACCCCCATCGTCTTGCATCTGATTGCGTATGAAATCCAGGTGGTTGCCAAAGATGGCTCGACTATTCCATGCTTGCATGCAGTTGAGCCACCATTCGAGTTCCTAACGCACCTCATCTGTCAGCGTAACCGGCTGGTTGCATGATACAGTAGTGGAGAGGGCCTGGAAATATGGTTTGGATTGAGGAGGAAAGTAGATCCAAACAAGTTGTCGGAGCGGGATGGAATCGAGTTTGAGGACCCTGCGGATCTCTTTCCTGATGGCCGTCACTTTGGAAGACGGAAGGTGGAGCGTGTAGGACCTGGAGTCTATCTCAAAGCCCAAGAATTGAATTTTTTGAGTGGGAGTCAGTGCGGACTTGGCCCTGTTGACAATGAATCCCAGAGTTTCCAATAATTGTATTGTATATTCGGTATGTTGTAATGCCAGGTTGCTTGTTCTGCAGAACAGGAGTATGTCGTCCAGGCAAATGATGCATCGGATCCCTCGAGTTCTGAGGTGGGCTACCACCAGTTTCAGTATCTTTGTTAAACAGTATGGTGCGGAGCTGAGCCCAAAAGGGAGGCAAGTGAGTTGCCATGGGAAACCGTGCCATAGGAACCGAAGGAAAAGGCGACTGTCTTTGTGAATTGGAATCGACAGGTATGCGTCTTTGAGGTCTAGATGCGTAAACCAGTCCCCTTCTTGTAGGAGGTCTCATAGGAAGTGGATTCCTTCCATCCTGAAGTGACATTATGTAACGTGAACGTTTAGTTCCCTTAAATTGATCACTGGCCTGAAGTCTCCGGTTTTCTTGCGGACGAGAAACATGTTGCTGAAGAAGCTCTCTTGTCCGAGCATGGGTTTGATTGCGCCTTTCGTGCGTAAGTCGCGGAGCTCCAATTCTATGAGATGAGCTTCCGTGGCAGAGAAGCATAGAGGACGAGGGAGTTGCTTCTGTCTGGGTAGCATCTGTAGTTCGATGTGGTAACCTTTGACAGTCTGTAACACCCAAGCATCTATGGACAGTTTTTTTTCCCAATTCTGGAAAAAAAGAGAAACACGGCCAGCAGTCATGGTTAACAAAGGCATTGATAAGTGTTGATCTCTTACCTGTGGAGAATCTTGCGCGGGCATGTCCACGACCTCCACATCCTCTGTCCGATCCCCTTTGTTAGTAGGGGTATTGATGTCTCGTGCCCATTTCCGGGTAGAATTGTTGTGGATAGAACTGACCAGCCCTGGAAAAAACACCCCTGGAAGGGTTACCTCTAAAGACCTTGCACATGGAGGTGCGGGCCCTGTTTAAAGAGGTGAACACATTCAAGTGTTTGTTCAAGTCCTTCATGAAGGCCTCTCCAGAACGTTTTCCCTGTGCCTGTGGGCTTAATTCCTTCACCCCAAGATCCGCCAGTCGGAGGTCGATGCAGAAGAGTGCTGCACAGCGCCACTCTGTCGAGAAGGCCGCGTTAGTGAGAAAGCAAAAACCCCTTTGGATTCACTCTCTATCATGTGCCCATTCACGTACCATATCACATTGCGTCCAGGAACTTGTCCTGTGCTCCTTTGAAGCTTCTCTCGACCCCTCTGCGTGGGTCGCAACCACCTCGTTCCATAAAGGCCAGCATGAGCTGGTCAAATTACGGCATCTTTTCCGGCATGGATGGCTTGGGGCATTCCTCCCTCATCTGTTTGCGGGCGTGTTTTTTCAGGGGTTTGCAGATCCAGAAGTGCATGAACTTAAGGAGGTGTTCTGGCGGAGCCCATTCCCCGGACCCGTGGAATCCTGCGTAGTGGACGTTGTAGACGTCTCGGCATCCCCCTTACTCTGGGGCTCACCCAGAAAGGTCTCCATGACATAGGCGTTGGACCCCAATCGCCGTTGTCGGAGTCTGAGACCTCTGCCTGCCACTCATCCAAGATGGAGAGGGAGTGGGGCATATCCCTCTCTGAGGAAACATCTCGGGTAAATGTGCGGGCCGTGGGCACAGAGCGCTTACTGCGTTTGAGGAGTGCCTTACCCTTGCTAGTGACTTTTCTGGAATCCTCGCCCTTCCAATGGCGTTTCGCCGAGCGTGTCCTCTCTTTGGAGGAGTCATCAGTCTCTTCTGAGTCTTCCCTGCCATGGGTACTTTTGGTAGCTGGCTTGATAGCATCAGAGGCCGCTTTTGCCATAGCCTTTTCCAGGGATGCGGCCACTGCCGCATTGATCATGGCCTGAAGGTCTATGGGGTTCTGTGTATCTTCCATGGTATTTGGAATACTAACAGGCACAGGTAGGAGAGGTAGAGGGACCGGTTGGGAGGGACATGACAGGCTGTAGACCGTAGGTTACGCACAGCCTAATGGCGTGGTAAAACAGACTTGTATAATCACTAGGGCTTACCCAGGAGATCGGAATTGCTTCAACAGATTCCCTTTAAGCAGCACTCTGGGAATTACCCAAATGGGGCTCACCCTTTGCCAGATTACTAGGGTATACCTGACTGGCAGTCCCACTCCCCAGGGGTTAGTACACCAACCTGAACAGGTCCCTGTGACAATCTGACAAACATCACCGCTGGATTGCAAGTTGCAAGCTTCCAATGCCGATAGCCTCTTCTTGATTAGAGTTAACATCCACCATAAACCAACAAAATGGCCGCCGTGGATCTCGCGAGAACTGGGCTAACAACCCACAGAAAAAACCCACACAGAAAAAAACCCGCGAAAGGTGTTCAAGGGAAACAGGTGAACTTCAGGGAAAGAATGGAAGCGGTCGGCAGAATTCTAATGAACGGACCGCAGAATGCACACAGTGATTAGAACACCACGAACGGAGATCCACGAACAATAAGTCGTGCAGCTACCCAAACGTTTGTACAGACTAGGCACGAATGGGAAACCTTGCGAACAGCCCGTTCGTGCTGAAATGCACGAAACAAGTAAATTCCCTGTCTGTTCACAATGAATTCAGTGCGAACAGCGCGAGAAAGCTAATGAAAGTGGCGAACGTAGCCACCAGGGTGGGAGAGGGGGAAATAAAGGCCGCCTCAGAGAAGAGAGGGCCTGTGGAGAGAGGAGCCAGAACCTCCAATGGGTAATAGCCCTACTCAAGAGGTTAAATAAAGGTATCCCCTGCCACCCCCACAGGAAAGGAAAAACTGAATCTTACAATGTAGAACAGTTCTAAGTACTCAATTAAAACACAGTTATAGAATCAGTACTCTGACCTGACTTGTGCAGCAAAGAAAAAGGAAATGATCTGGATGCGCTTTCACTTATATACACTCTGACTGTGTTCTGACTGGTTCTTTATTTCAATGATTTTTTTCTTTGCTGCTATGGAGTTAGTAAAGAAAGTTAATGCAAAATATGAAGCCTCCTGTCATGTGGTAAAATTCTGTTCTTTAACATGGTTTCCATCAATGTTCCCACTACTGAAGTAAGGCTTACTGGCCTGTAGTTGCCCGACTCCTCCCTACTACCTTTCTTGTGAATGGGTACAGCATTCGCTAATTTCCAATCTTCTGGGACTACTCCTGTTAATGATTGGTTAAAAAAATCTGTTAATAGTTTTGCTAGTACACCACTAAGTTCTTTTAATAACTTTGGGTGTATCCAACCAGGCCCCATCGACTTATTTGTCTTTACTTTTGACAGTTGAAATAGAACCTCTTTCTCTGTAAGCTCACATGTACCAAAAATCCATTTGTCGCTTTTCTTAACTGAAGTCCCTCTCCTTCATTTTCATCTGTAAATACTGAACAAACATATTCATTAAGGCAGTCAGCTTTTCTTTTCTTATTTATGTATCTAAAATATGTTTTATCCCCTTTTTTACTGACTGTGCTATTCTATCTTCTGTGTGTGTTTTGGAAGCTCTTATAACTTGCTTAGCCTCTTTCTGCCTAATCTTATAGATCTGTCGGTCTTCCTCACTCTTTTTTTATAATTACTAAATGCTAAGTTTTTGTTTTTTACTATTTTGGCCACTTCTGCGGAGTACCACAGTGGTTTCTTAATTTTTCTGTTATTCCTGACAAATTTTCTGTTGTCTTCAGCAGTGCAACTTTTAAATAATCCCATTTCTCCTGGACTTCATTTAAACTGCTCCAATCTGATAAGGACTCCTTTACGCATATTCTAATTTTAGAAAAGTCTGGTTTTCTAAAATCTGAACCTTTTGTTTTTGTGTCACTTTTCTTATATTAAACCACACTGACTGGTGATCTACATCAGTCACAGCTACCCACACACAGTTACAGACACCAGCCACAGCTACCTACACACAGCAAAACACATTGGCTAACCATGAACAAGTACATACATCACTTACAGCAACCCACATCCACTTGCACATAAACAGAGACGCTATCACTTTAGCAGTAAGCCGTACACAGCCACAACACACATCACACAACTACGCCACCTAGAGCCACCCTACATTTAAACACAACACACATGCTGTCACCCTTCACACATCCAGTGAAAGAAATGGTCTGGGCACACCGGGTGGTTCTTTAGTAGGCAGTCTTATTTGGAGTGCAGAAAAAAATATGATTTTTAGATCCCCTGTGCCAAGTCATTGACCAAGACACAGGGGAGCCAAAACTTAGATTTTTTTCTGCACTCCAAATAAAGACTGCCTACTAAAGAAACCACCAAGTGTGCCCAGACCATTCCTTTCACTACTACGTCAGCATGGGACATTGGTATACCCTGTTTGGAGCACCATGCTGGAAGTATTCCCTGAGCAGTTGATGTGAGCAATATTCTCTCAAACCCCAGAACACCCAACGCACATCCAGGCATACAGCGCCACAACATACACATCACATACAGCTACGACACTAAAAGCCATCCTACACCTAAACAACACACACAGTCACCTTCACACACACAAACACGATGCACACAGTGTCACCCTACACACACACAACCTTTTTTTCCCCATCTAGAAAGCACAACCTTTGAAAGGAACACCCCAAGTACTCTACTACAATCATCTATAGTGGTTATGGTGCCAAGAGAGCTCTGGTGCCCTCACAAAGTAAGTAGTAAAACCATTAAAAATGTTTGTTGTTTTTTTTAAATCAACTTCTCTGGGTCCTTCCAGGCACATGCTGCTGCGCCGCCTCCCCTACTGTCGAAATGTCCTGCCATTAAGTCAGGCCTGGCCATGTAGGGCTTCTCTCATTGGCTGAGAGCCCTCATCTGACACTCTAAACCAATCAGCTGGCCATGCACAATAGAACCTCGCACAGTGACGCTGAGGGAAGCTCCAGGACCAGAAGAGGTACCTGGCGGGACCCATGTATCTCATGTAGACCATCCTTACATGCTTTGACTAACTGCTCTGGAAGGAACAGCAGTGCACTCTGGGGACTATAACCACCAGTGTGAGTTATGGTGATTGAAGTGTCCCTTTATTAAATATTCACCTTATATAAAATGAAAAATAGCCAAGAGAAAAGGATTCCGCGGTGCACATTATTATGAAATGTGTTTTCACAGCGATTGGCAGTGAAAATGCTAAATATCTTTGTAATAACTAGTTTTGTTTCTCAGAAGCCTTTCTAGTTTACAGGGTCTTCCGTAAACTCTCTCCTTTTGTTTGTTGCCCAGTAACCTGTAACACAGTAGACCTGGCTAAAATTGATGCCATTTACGGGAAAAGCTAGGGGGATGTTCTTAACAAAGAGACAACATTTATTTTGTCTCGCAGCATTAATTTCTTTAACAGGAAATAATCTTATGATTTCAGTTGTCGCTGGCTGCAAGTAAAAGATGTTATATGGCTCTTTCCTTCCAAATAACTGTTTCTGATTTGTAATTAGCCACATTTAAATCACCACAGTAAACTTTGGTAGAATGGGAGAATGTCTGTCCTATGATACAGCAATCTGACGGTGAAACAGTGCAACAATGCCTGTCCTCTGCTGGAATGGTCTGGCAGTACTTGTCCTCTGCCAAAACAGCCTGACCGTGCCTGTCCTCTGCCAAAACAGCCTGACCGTGCCTGTCCTCTGCCAAAACAGCCTGACCGTGCCTGTCCTCTGCCAAAACAGCCTGACCGTGCCTGTCCTCTGCCAAAACAGCCTGACCGTGTCTGTCCTCTGCCAAAACAGCCTGACCGTGCCTGCCCTCTGCCAAAACAGCCTGACCATGACTGTCCTCTTCTGGCACAGCTTGACCGTGACTGTCCTCTCCTGGAACAGCCTGACCGTGACTGTCCTCTCCTGGAACAGACTGACCATGACTATGCTCTGTCGGCACATCCAAATCGTGCTTGTGCTCTGCCGAAACAGTGGGGCTTGGTTTTCTCCTGTAATGGTCCATGTTTGCCTATTTTTGTGAATGAGCGGTTTACTAATGGCCTGTCATCCTGTGGATGTGAAAACATAATTTGACACTTGAAGCTGTTGAGTGTTAAAAGCCCACCAGCTCATTACACACTCTGACAGTATTCCTTCCATCTACGACCATCTCCTTTTAAATCGTGTATTCCAATTTGCCCTTTGAATAGTACACGTACTCCGTACATAGCAGTAAACATTAATAAATGAAAATAGCTTTCTTCTGAACGTACCTCTTCATTCTGCGTCTCACAGGCAGACCTTTTATTGGTTTTAAATGATACGTTGACTTGTTTCTGCATTTATCTTTTAGAGGGATCCATTTTCTAATGTGTTTTGTCCATTATGCAGTAAACAAAAAATACATTTTAATAAGATTGTTTTTTTGTTTTTTTTTCAAACATATGCAGCATTGCCCACAAATATGCTGTTCTCTCCAAGCTTCTATAAAAACTTGAAATTCTCCAGGAGATACGACTATCTCAAATGAATGAAAACCATCGTCTGCTTCCATTCACTTAAAAAAGCTATATTATTTAAATGTCCTCTTTCTAGAGCTGCTGCGATGGATTTTTTAAAATTCTTTTTATTTTATATTAGAAAAGGACTGCTCTGTGTGTTTGTATTGTGCAGAACCTTCTGACATTAAATTTCAATTATTATTTAAATTTTTTTTGCTAGTTTGTTTGCTCTCTTTTTGTCGGATTAGGAAAACAAGGGATGTGCTCTGGCGCAAGTAATTTTAGTATTTTGCACAAAAAACGTCTCATCATGTAAAATAAAATGAACATGCGCTATGCCTCTCCAAACTGTGCTCCCACCCCATATGTTACTGAACTACAACTCCCATGATTCTTTCAATAAAACAGATAGCCAGGGAATCATGGGAGTTGTAGTTCAGCACATCCTGAGGGCCGCGGGCTGGCCAGCACTGTGCTATCAAAACGGTGTAAAATTAAGGGTGCCCTGATACGTCTGAACTACAACACCCATAATTCTCTGCTATTCATAGACTTGCAGAACATCGGGTGGGATTGTGCAAGTCAAGAGGGCTGCTCGATCTGATACAATTTCATGTTTAGATGCTTTCAAATTGTGATATGTACATTTATGATAATGTAGTGTAATCTAACCTCAGATTACAGAAATTTTCCATTTTGCTTTTACTTCTGAAACTGTGTTTCCGCGGATAATAAATATGGTAATATGTATTTACTGATCGTATACAGAAAAGGAATCCTATCTTCTAACCATTTTGGTGAAATATGAAGCGCCTAAAAGAATGCCCCACACTATAGTTAGTCATAACCTGGATGTCATCATACACATTGACCTGGTCGTCTTATTATGGGTCTCTGTGATTTTCTTTACCCCACCCAGAGGAGAATGTCTAATCTACGGTCCTGGAGAGATTCGAGACGCAGCCAAATTCTCTGTCAGTTAAATATTGACCAAGGTGCCATTAGTGGAAAATCACAAGGGCCCTGCTCCCTGCGGGAGGTTTGGCTGCCTTTGTTTAAACAATTACAGGAGAAGGTAGTGGAATGTAGGAACCTGTACTGTTTAAAATAGAAATACTGTCCGAATTATTCCACTTATTAAACCTTAGGCAAATGTGGGGGAATTGTGCCTGGCCAAATATATTCCTTAGATAAATCTATATTTTCTTTCATCAGTGTGAGTGGGGAGGGGGGGACACAACATCTTTGCAGATATTAAACTATAGGAGTAGGCACTTCTTATACAGAGACTGATCTATAGATAATAACTTCTTATACAGAGACTAATCTGTAGATAATAAACTTCTTATACAGAGTCTAATCTGTAGATAATAAATTTCTTATACAGAGTCTAATCTGTAGATAATAAATTTCTTATACAGAGACTAATCTGTAGATAATAAACTTCTTATACAGAGTCTAATCTGTAGATAATAAACTTCTTATACAGAGACTAATCTGTAGATAACTTCTTACACAAAAGCTAATCTAAGGATACACATTTCTTATACAGAGACTAATCTGTAGATAATAGCTTCTTGTACAGAGACTAATCTGTAAACCATGTCTTATATTCAAAGTGAATTTCAAAGTAGCTGAACTGAAGGAAAGCTGACTTTTATTGTACACTTAAATTTATGGGCGGAGTGATTCCATCTATAGATGGTGTCATGTAATGTACACCTCAATCTATGGGCGGAGTCATTATTTGTACAGACCAATCTATTGGAAGAGTGATTTCTATTACACCCAAATTAATGGGCGGAGTCATTGCTTGTACACCCCAATTAATGGGTGGAGTCATTTCTTGTATACCCCAAATAGTGGGCAGACTCATTTCTTGCACACCCTAATTAATGGGTGGAGTTAATTTCTGTACACCCAATTTATATGAAATTCTATTTTACTCGTGGGACCCTTTGACATGGTGTATCAACATCGTGGACCCCACTCCCCCCGGGAAAAAAAAATACATTTAAAAATTATGCGGTTTTTTTGGTATGTGCTTGTGTGTGTCTGTGTGTCAAGAGGTGTATGTATCTGTGTTTGTATGTGCCAGTATTTGTATCTGTGTGTGTGTGACACACAGATACACACACACACACACACACTAGCACATAGTGGCACACAGATACACACACCTTGACACAGTGTGTATCTGTGTTTGTGTGTGTATTTGTGTTTGTATGTGCCAGTGTGTATGAATCTGATACACAGATACACACACACTGGCACACAGATAAACACCCATTGACACACAGAGTGTATCTGTGTGTGTGTGTGTGTGTATGTATCTGTGTGTCAAGGTGTGTGTATCTGTGTGTATACATGTATCTGACTCACAGATACACACACACTTGCACATAGTGGCATACAGACACACACACCTTGACACACAGATACACACACTCAAATATACACTCAGATGCACACAGTGACACATACACACATCTTGGCTCACAAATACACACACTCAGATACACATACACTGACATACACACAAACACACATAGGCACATAAAAACACACTGATTTAAACTGGCAAATAAACACACACATATATTGACATACACACACAGATACACACAGTGACACATACGCAAACCCCTGACACACAGATACACACACTGACACACATACTCTTTGACAGACACACATACACTCTCACTGACAAATACATTTACTCTTTGACAGACACACAAACACATACAAACTCCCTAACAGACACACATACAATTTATATATATATTTTTAAAATTTTACTCCACCCAGCCTCCCTACCATTGGGTCTGGCATGGAGTCTCTATGTCCCTGTGGTCCAGTGGGGCTGCTGGGGTGAGCAGGCAGACCTTGGGGTCCAGTGGGGCTGCTGAGTTGCTGGCGTGCGGTTCCTGTGGTCCAGTGGGGCTGCTGAGCAGCAGGTGTGCAGTCACTGGGGTCGAGTGGGGCTGCTGAGTGGCTGGTGTGCGGTCCCTGGGGTCCAGTGGGGCTGCTGAGTGGCTGGTGTGCGGTCCCTGGGGTCCAGTGGGGCTGCTGAGCAGCTGGTGTGCGGTCCCTGGGGTCCAGTGGGGCTGCTGAAGGGCTGGCGTGCGGGCGGCGAGGGAGCAGTAATCTCCCTGCTCAGCTCCCTCACACGCCTCTTAGTGATGCTGGAGACGGAGTGATGCCATATTCCGGCTCCGGCATCACTGCTGTGCGCGGGAGGGAGTTGAGCAGGGAGATCACTGCCCACTGCTCCCTCGCCGCCCGCTGCCATTTAGTTTTCAGAATTCTTGGCAGAACCCCCATTTGTGTTCCGCGGAACACCAAATGGGAAACGCTGATTTAGAAGAAAAGCAGGTCACTCTCAATATGGTGAATTAAATATATAGGCAACAACATTAGATGCTCAAGGGGACAAAGTAATTTTCTAAGATAGCGCTTATGAATGTTTCGTGTACAATCCTTTCTCATTCGAGTGCTCACTTGAAATTTTAGAGCTGTACAAATATTTTGGGGAGAAACAAATCCCACTGTGTAATCATTTGATACATATTATCTGCTATGACCCACAGTCACTGTACATACCGCGCCCTGCAGACCCCTGCGACCGGGTGACAGACATCACCATTTGCGGCCCTGGACCGCGCGGTAAACCGCCGGGGCTGCCGTCCAAGGGGTCAATCTGGTGGCCCATACTGTCATGGCCACCCGATGGAGATGGATTGTTAGGGGGCCCGGTCAGCGCTGGGCGCTTTAACAGCGCGACCGGGCCCCCCTGTGATGAGATCATCACTGCTGGGAGGAAGTGACTGCACGTCACTCCTCCCAGCTTACACAGAGCCCACGCGGGAGGAAGAACTGGGAGTCAGAGTGGGAACTCCCATCAACCTGAGCCACCACTGGCCCCTAGGGAAAGTCACCCTCCTGCACCTAAAAGGTAGGAAACAGGAGGGTGACTTAAATATTATGTGTGTGTTTGTTTGTTTGTATGTCTGTATGTATGTGTGCCTGTCTGTTTGTATGTATGTCTTTGTATGTATGTCTTGTTTGTGTGTGTGTGTGTGTGTGTGTGTGTCTGTATGTATGTGTCTTTGTATGTATGTCTTGTGTGTGTCTGTATGTGTCTGTCTACTGTCTTTATGTGTGTCTTGTGTGTGTGTCTGTATGTATGTGTGTGTCTGTCTGTATGTGTCTGTGTCTGTATGTCTGTATGTGTGCCTGTCTGTTTTTATGTATGTATGTGTCTTTGTAGGTGTGTCTTGTGTGTGACTTTCTGTCTGTTTGTCGTGTGTGTCTGTCTGTATGTGTGTGCCTGTCTGTTTTTATCTATGTGTCTTTGTATGTATGTGTGTCGTGTGTCTGTCTGTATGTATGAGTGTCTTGTCTGTATGTATGTGTGCCTGATGGTGTGTATGTGTCTTTGTATGTGTGTCTTGTGTGTGACTTTCTGTATGTTTGTCGTGTGTGTGTCTGTCTGTTTGTATGTGTGTGCCTGTCTGTTTTTATCTATGTGTCTTTGTATGTATGTGTGTCGTGTGTCTGTCTGTGTGTGTGTATGTGTGTCTGTCTGTATGTATGAGTGTCATGTCTGTATGTATGTGTACCTGTTTGTGTGTATGTGTCTTTGTATGTATCTGTCTGTATGTGTGTGTGTCTGTCGGGAGGGAGAGTTAGAGGGAGGGGGGGTTGAGGGGGCCCCATGGGTTATGTGTACACCACTGCCCACAGTTTATATCTATTAGTAATTTCCATTGTCTACACACATCTTCGTAGCATCCTGTAGCAGCTGTGAATCTGTGTTTGTCTATCCCTTTCTCAGAAATCATTGCTGGGGAGGAAAACGCAGGTAGTTGATGCTTGCAGGGGATCTTGTTTATCTAGGTTAGTTAATAAGATCTCCAGTGTAGGAGCATAGTTAATAATTATAGCCACACGTGAGGCTACAGTCTCATTGTAGCAGTGTAGAGATAGAGAACAAGAGATGGAGGTTAGCTATTTAACAATTTGGAATCAGTAATGTGGATTAAAACATTTAGTGATATGTAGGAGGATTTTATTAAGTATAGTGTATGTTTCTAACTACACAATATCAGGACAGGCTCAGACAATGCTGGGTTTATATCTAATGTAGGGGATCTGACTGCACACTATCAGGACAGGCTGTGGCAGCGCTGGGTTTATATTGAATGTAGGGGATCTGACTGCACATTATCAGGACAGGCTCAGACAGCGCTGGGTTTATATCTAATATAGGGGGTCTGACTGCATGTTATCAGGACAGGCTCAGACAGCGCTGGGTTTATATCGAATGTAGGGGATCTGACTGCACATTATCAGGACAGGCTCAGAGAGCGCTGGGTTTATATCTAATGTAGGGGATCTGACTGTATATTATCAATACAGGCTCAGAGAGCGCTGGTTTATATCTAATGTAGGAGAACTGACCGCACGTTATCAGGACAGGCTCAGACAACGCTGGGCTTTTATCGAATGTATGTGAACTGACTGCACATTATCAGGACAGGCTCAGAAAAGCTGGGTTGATATCGAATGTAGGGGATCTGACCGCACATTATCAGGATAGGCTCAGACAGGACACAGAGGTGCTGGGGAAGGGGACACAGTCACTCAGAGAGGCTGGGGAAAGGGAAAGAGAGACACACAAAGGGGCTGGGGGAGAAAGAGACACACAGAGGGAATAGAAGGGACAAAGAGACACACAAAGGGCATGGTGGGGTCAAAGAGACACACAGAGAGGCTGGGGGACAACGAGACACAGAGTAAATGGGAGGACAAAGGGTTACACAGTAGGACTGGAGAGACAAACAGGCACAAAGGTGCTGGTGGGACAAAGAGACATACATAGGTGCTGGGGAGGGCAAAGAGACTCACAGGGGGGAAGGGGAAAAGGAGTCTGGGGGGAGAAAGATACACATAAAGGGTCTGGGGGAGAGAGAAATAGACAGGGGGCTGGGGGAGAATTTTGTTTTTTGGGGGGCAGGGGAGCTGCATCTGGTCTTTCCTAGGATGCAAAATAGTCTAGCACCGGGCCTGCATGAGCTTACAGACAGCCTTCTCCTAAAACCTTTGTCCTTTCTATTTTATAGATTTCTGCCTCTTCAGAAACAGCTCATATAAATTTCTCCTAACACAAAGGGCACAGCATGGTCTGACTGGCCTAATGTACTTGCCATGTGCAGATAGATTCTTACTTTGCTGAACACACAAAAACTCTCCATGCAAAGTCCCGTATTTTATCCAATTTGTTCTGCAGGTTCAATTGACCTGCAGTGTATTTTTACTGATCGGCCACAGTGATTGCATTTATATATAGATGCACATGTTCTTTCAGCCTCAAATTTATTAGATTTTAATTTCACTTCTCAAAATGGATGTTCAGAATTTAATAGCTTTCTAAATATACATCCTATCTTCTGTCTGCAAAATAATCTATCACAGGTTAAATGTGGATCGCAGCGATATTTCACAAAATAAGAGGATTGCTCATAAAACTGTCCACGTGCAGATACTAAGATTGAAAGAGGACTTAGAAAGTCACAGTAGGTTGTACTTTATACATCTGTGAGCTACAAATAAAGGGTAAAACTAATCATTATTACATTATTTAGAAATACTGAATTAAATATCCCAAATTCCAGCTCTTTTAATGTGAACTGAGAGACTTGTTCAAGAAAACCCAAACTGAAAAATTAAGATTTTCCTAGCCCAGGGACAACAGAAAATTATTATTATTTTATTATTTATATAGCGCCATCAGGTTCCGTAGCGCTGTACAATGGGTGGACTAACAGACATGTAATTGTAACCAGACAACTGGACGTACAGGAACAGAGAGGTGGAGGGCCTTGCTCCATGAGCTTACATTCTAGAGTCCGAGTTTTATTCAAGACAGGAGGCGAGTATTATGCTTATGACTTTTTTTTGCTGCTCACAACAGAAAAAGTGTTGATAACAGATAGGTAGAACTAAAAAAAAAAATATCACAACCAATCATGAGCAGGTAAACTCTTTGACCAATCAGCATCAAGTATAGTCTATATAACAGGTAGCCTGCGGCAGTTACTCCTCTTTCGGGCTGCGACGATGATAGATGTAACGTTGAAAGATGTATTGAGATTAATCCAATGATGGTAGGAAGCAGGATTGATTAAACTTGGCATCCAGGTTAAAAATTAAAAGTAGAATGAGGGAGTTTTTTTAAACTGTAAAGAAAGAATCGATTGGGTGGGATAATACTCGCCTCCTGTCTTTAAAAACTAATTTTCTGTCACTCCTGGTCTAGGAAGAGTTTGAATGTTATCTCAGGCAGGAAGCTTGTTTTATAGAAGGTTAAAGCAGAATATATTTACAAAACAACCAGAGAAACATAAGAATGAGGTCTAAAGTAAAATGATTTAAGGGTAGATTCTGATGACCTATCTTCAGCTCGGAGAATATCTAGTATTGAATCCGCTGCTTAATAAACTTTGGTGGATTTAGCTCCCCTAGTCCAATGAGCGTCAAATTTAGCTACATCTGTTCTAGTCATAGACATGATAAGTTTAACACATATAGTTAAAGTGGGAGTAGATACAGGAAGGTGAGATTTACAATACGAAATTAACAATTGAAAAGATGATGGATTGAGTTTGTGATTCAAATGTTTATAAACAGCAAACTACGCAAAAGTTAGGATGATCAGGAAATGGAGGATAGAAAACTGTATTGAGATTAGTTTTCTTAAGCCTGGAGATAATGTTCGGAGTGTATGATCTGTTAGAGAAGTCTAAAGCTTTGACATCAGATACCCTTTTAAAAGAAACAAGGCAAAGCAAAACAGTTAACTTACAAGATAACCATTTTAAAGATAGCAATTCATTATCATTCCAAGAGTTAAACATTTGGAGAACTAAGTTAAACTCCCAAGTATCAGTATATTTGGGACAAAGACATCTTTGAAGTCTCATTCCCTTCATGAGTTTACAGATTAAGGGATGTTTACCTAGTTTAAAAGAGTTGACAGGAGAATGACTTGCCAAATGGCAGAACGGTATATGTTTGGTACAATATGCTTTACCTGAGTCAAAAGCATGAGACATAAAATTTAGTATGGAGGAGATAGGTGCGTGTACGGGATCCAAATACATTCCATGCTTCAATGAATCCCAAGTTTCCAGGCTGATCCTTAATCAGCTCTGGTACCTGGGACCCATGCCTGTGACAAGAGTTTTTAAGTTGATAAAGAAGATTCTGTACCAGATGCAAATGACTCAAAACCAGCCATGCAACCAGAGTTGATTGGTTGGATAGCACGAGAGGATAAAGGATTGCCTTGGGATCTAAAATATTCGAATGGCTTGTTGGAAGAATTCTCAGATAATCTATTATCTTGCTCAGGATTTGAGGGAACCAGCATTGAACTGGCCACCAAGGAGTTATTAGAACCATAGATGATCTCTGAATTCATTATTTAAGTAGAACTTGTTAAATCATGATGATGGGGGGAAATGCATAATTGGTTCCCCTGAGCCATGTTTGAAAGAACGGTTGACAGTTGAGACGTGAAAGGATCAACCTCGAAAGGGCCCCAAAGTTAAGCAAGTTGATGAAAAATCAAAAGATTTAATTGCCAATAACTGTAGTCGACTAGGAATCAAGAGTTCCAGTCTGCTTTCGTATTTGATAAACCCGGTAGGAATTCTTCCTTTAATAAGTCTCTTTCTAGACAGAAATGCCAAAATTGTTTGGCAAGCTCCGCAAGGGGTTTTGATCTTGTACCTCTCAGTGTGTTGATGTACTGAGCTGGTGTTATATTGTCCATCATGAGAAGGACACAACAGTTGGCTTTGTGTTTCACAAAACTTTTTAGGGTGAAAGAACCTGCTAATAATTCAAAGTAAATTATGTGCATAAGGGATTTGTTTGGAGACCACTTCCCTCTTGTGGACTGCATGCCACAGCGAGCTCCCCAGCAAATATAAAGAGGTTTATTGGGCCCTCTTTGTGTTTTTTTTGTTTGTTTTTTGAGATGATTAAAAATACAGTTAAACTTGCCTTCCAGTGACAATCTGTTCACTGCATCCCAATTTTCTTTAAATGACGTCACCGAGCCTAATGATTTTTATTCAATTGGATGCTTCTCTTAAAAAAAGCTCTGAGGACATACAGTATATGAACGGAAATCATTGCAATCTGAGCCATTGAATCCAGATCATCTCCTAGCGAAGCACTGGATGCACATTGTTTCTAGATACTTTACATGCTGACACTGGATAGAAAAAAGAGCCTGTGAATGAATCTATTTTAGCCTAGAATCGCTACTAGTCTGTCTGTCGGTCTGTCTGTCTGACAAACCCTAATAGGTGTGGAAACTATATCCAATTTGTGCAAGGTAAGAACCATGGATGGCGAAGGTCAAGTTTTTCTTAAATCCATCCCTAATTTCACTGTGAATACGTAGGTCTGTACGGATTGTCAATTTGGTTTATTCATGGGTTGCAAGGACAGAGGTGGCCAACAAATCCTGACACCTTTAGTTAATAGTGATCACATGTTGTCCTAGTTTAGAATTGTTAAAAAGATAACAGATCTTTACAGAGAACGACCATTTTGAAGAAGATATTTTTTGCTACATATCTGCAGCATCCATGCCATCCATGAAGAGACCAAGATTCTCAGCCAATCCTGGTCCTCCATTGGTTTTGGTACAGCATATTGATGATTGCCAGGCAAACGTTTATAGGATACATAGCTTTGCCTCTGCCATTAGTTTAGTTCATGAAAAGTCATGAATTGCACCTCTGTGAACATTAATAGAAACTAGGGATGCACTGAAATTTCCGGCCAAAAATGGGCCTATCCTATTTCGTCCGAAAGGGTCAAATCTGCCGAAACTTTTGTCAGTGAGATGGCCCTGGATAATGAATGAAGCAGTATGATGGTAACTCTGGGTTATCTAGCAGTGTGCCGGACCTCCCTCTCTCACATACCCTGTAAGTGATGCATTCCCATCGGTTTGGGCCAAGAACTCGCAGGGAACGTAGACTCGGCTGGAAACATGGCTCCGCAGGGAACTTACCGAAAAACGATGCTTCGCCGGGGAGTCTAACATCGGCCAAGGAGGGACACAGGAGGTAAAGCGCAAGCCTTCAACGCTCCTGTACTCGACAGGATCTCTGACTCGTTCCTCCCCACCGAAGCAGCGTGCACTTGAAAAGAAACCGGCCAAGATGTCCGCCAGCACCTACCACAGTGTTGGCGTGCAACGTCTTTGGTGGGATCATCATGTCAGTAGGAAGCGACTCTGCCAGAGAGGAGTGGGGAAATGGCAGGAACCTGTTTGAATTGGATTCATCGTTACTGAAGATGTAGTAGATAGAAAGCACTGGTAAATGCTGCTGTGAGAGCTTTACATATTATTTATTCGGTGTCTGCTTATATAATGGCTTCAAACTCATAGCTGTTATAAGTGCAATGTACTTAGTTTATAGTGTGGAGGCAAATTGTGCAGTGTTACAGTAAGGAAGAGGCTTTGTGATTGCTGTAGTGTGTTTTACAAGTGTGGCTGGCTATCAGAGCTAGTCACTAAATGCGAAATTGTGGTAAATATAAAATGGTTTTAAAATCACTTGGTGAAAAATGTAATTTTTTTTTTTTCGGTTTCAGTTTTCGGCCAAGGGCATCCTGAATTTTCAGTTTCGGTTTCGGCCCCGAATTTTAATTTCGGTGCATCCCTAATAGAAACCACACACACTGTTTTTGTGTTTTTTATTTTTATTTCATAAATGAAGCAATTTGGTGGCTACACACACATAATGCCAAGCACTGGCATGTATAAGCATTGGGAAACATAATTCCCTCTAGGACAGTGTTGAGTGGGGCAGAGCAGATATTTGTAAATTACTGAAGCTATTCTAATCAGATTGAAAATCAGTCTGATTATCCGAAGGAGAGAGATTGAGAGGCACAGACGTGGTTATGGGTTTTTTTAGCATCCTTTTAGATAGAATCTATTTTTCTATTGGAGGACTATAAAGGCCAACTAATTCTGAAGAGAAATAAGAAAATAATAAAAATTAACAATGTAAGAACTGTGGGTGTTTTTCCAATACTTAAGTTCATACAAAGATTTCTGAAAAACTGAGCTTTTAAGCCTATTGATAACAAAATGTTGTCTTTTTCCATGACTGTCCGTGTTTAGAAAGGTGTTAATTGGGCATACTCATTAGAGAGGAAGGATTAGCTGTTTTCATTTCCTTTTTTACTAATTAGCAACGTCTATTATTTATTTCATTCAATCCTTGTCACCTTTTTGGTGGATTTTATGAATTAACTTTTTTTTTCTCATAGACATTATTTTTAAATGGGCACGTGTCCTCGATGTATGACGTTTAGAAAAGTGAAAAGGAAATAGCACTTCTCCTCAGATTTGACAATGATTTGACAATTGTGTATTTTTAATAATGTGCCTATGATGTGATAGAAATAAACATATAGAATGCAGCTGTAGAGGCACAAATACATAAAGGGAATCAACACAGTAAAGGTGGAGGCTATATTTAAAAGAAGAAAATCTACCACAACAAGAGGACATAGTCTTAAATTAGAGGGACAAAGGTTTAAAAATATCAGGAAGTATTACTTTACTGAGAGGGTAGTGGATGCATGGAATAGCCTTCCAGCTGAAGTGGTAGAGGTTTCACACAGTAAAGGAGTTTAAGCATGCGTGGGATAGGCATAAGGCTATCCTAACTATAAGATAAGGCCAGGGACTAATGAAAGTATTTTAAAAAATTGGGCAGACTAGATGGGCCGAATGGTTCTGATCTGCCGTCACATTCTATGTTTCACTCGTCTTTTGGCTCACTGACATTTGCTTTAGATACATTTGTTGTCTGGTCCATGACCGTTCTAGATTCAGTTTTGTCTGGCCCATGGGTTTAATATTTCTAAATTCAGGTTTTTTCTGGTCCACCGAGTTCTAGATGCATTGATATGGCCCATTGACAGTTCTTGATGCAGTGATCTGGCCCACTGACAGTTTTTGAATCAGTGATCTGGCCCACTGATAGTTCTTGGTGCAGTGATCATGCCCACTGGCAGTTCTTGGTGCAGTGGTCTGGCCCAGACACAGTTCTTGATGCAGTGGTCTGGCCCAGACACAGTTCTTGATGCAGTGATCTGGCCCAGACACAGTTCTTGATGCAGTGGTCTGGCCCAGACACAGTTCTTGATGCAGTGATCTGGCCCACTGACAGTTGTCAATGCAGCGATCTTGCCCACTGACAGATCTAGGTGCTGTGATCTGGCCCACTGACAGCTCTAGTTGCTGTGATCTGGCCCTCTGACAGTTCTAGGTGCTGTGATCTGACCCACTAACAGTTCTAGGTGCTCTGATTTAACCCACTGACAGTTCTAGGTGCTCTGATTGGGCCCACTGATGGTTCTAGCCTTCTAGGTGCTCTGATCTGGCCCAATGAACGTTCTAGATATGGTTCTAGATACAATGATCATGCCCACTGACCATTCTAGATACAGTGATCTGACCAGTTTTTTTCTGGTCTGATAAACCTCTAGAGTTATCTGAACTTTTGATAGCAGTTCTAGATGGAGTTGTTGCCAAGCCCGTGGGTGGAAGCAGTTCTGCAAGATTCAGAATGCAATGCCATAAAGGGTTACTTCCACCAAAAAACAGTGTTTTAAACAAAACCCTTCCTATCCAGCCCACCCCCGTGAAATAAATTATGGGAACGGCTAAATGGTACCCATGTTCCAGCACCAAGGCCAAGTTCTCCCTGCAGCCGTGATCTTCCTCCACTGACATTAGAGGAGGACTGGTGTCATGGAGTATGGGCTGAATGAGAAAAGGGGCAGCATGATGGAGGGTGGGTGGCATGCCGCCACTGACTGTCTGTCTCTGTCCGTCTCCACATCTTGTGCATGCTGGTGTCAGATGCTAAATTTGTACAGGATTCATATTAGTGACCTTGAATTCTTGTTCTAGACTGGCTAATGACTCCCCAAGTATGCTAGCAGAGGGGTTCATTACTATATATGCATTATTTCATAGCGAAACTCTCCAAATACAGACTCCAGGCACCATCATCACTTCAAATTACTGAAGTTGTGATGGTGCTTGGAGTGTAATCCTCTTAAGTGTATTTGGCTTGCTTTAATAATAGCTTCCTGTGGCAAATTCACTGTTCAAGTCTAACTGATACCCAATGATCTTACATCCAGAGAAATCCTGAAAAGACCAGCTAAATGTCATTGACCTCTATGATTCATTTTAAAGGAAACTCGAAATACACAGGAGTTCAGTGCAAGAAGAATGATGTATAATTGTGAGGAAGAAGTCTCTGTCCTGCAGAACAAACACTTTACCTGTGCATAAAAAAATTATTGAACCCACAAAGAAACATTCATGTCTTAATGCATCTGGCCAAAAGTCTTGTCATAATAATAAAAGCTTCCTAAGGACACGCTGTGCCCAGAGAATGTGATTATATGATGAGTGATGGATGAACTATACAGATAATTACCGCCGGCTGTACATGTCACTAATGGAAATACTACATCTTATAAAACCTCTTTACATTTTATCCTTAAGGCTCAGATCACAGCACATACTCGGCACATATGAAACTCCGAAAAATAAATAAATAATAATACTATCTGATAATTCTCTAAATTGATCAATTCAATGAACTCTTTGAAGTGCATTTCTTTATAATCATCTTCCTAGTCTGCTCTAGAAGGAAATCACGTGCCGTACCTAAATGGAGGCGATGTGACTTTCTAGAGAGAGGCTAGGGACACCGCCAGTCCAGCTGACTGCCTGTTACTGGAACCAATTTATTTTTTTGTGAATTTCTTGTCATTGGGGAGATTTTCAGTTTTCAAAACACGCAGAAGAGACCAAGGCGGGAGACGCAGGTCTCAAACTTTTTGAATTTGCGATATGCAATAGCTGGGATGCGCAAATCTCTTTAGAAGAAACAGACAGAGGAGACACGCAGGTCTCGATAATGAATGATGCAGAACATGAATACATATCCAATAGAAAAACTGTATGATAGTGCATAATCACTTTCAGCACAAGGCCCATAGAGCCTACCACTACGTAGAGGTGGCACCAGGGCCGGCCCTTCCATCTTGCCGCCCCTGTCATAATCTAAAACAGGATTTCCCAACCCTTGGCGGCGTTGCAGCAACACTGCATGGGTTGGGAACCTGTGTGAGAGTCCATCGGGTGGCCCATGCCCTTAGGGCCACTCGATGGACATATGCAATGAGGGGCCTGGTCGTGCGCTGTGGCACTTTAACAGTGCGACCGAGCCCCTTCTATCGTGCACATAGAGCTGGGAGGAAGTGACAGCGTATTACTTCTTCATAGCTCACACAGAGCCAGCAGCGCAGGAGGAAGAGGAGGAAGCCGCGAGGATGGGGCCGGATAGGGAGAGCAGGCCCCCAATTCCCATCTGCCACAGCCAGCAGAAGCTAATAAACTGCTGGGTGGCTTAATTTTTTAATGTGTGTGTGTGTGTGTATCTGTTTGTATGTGTATGTATCTGTATGTAGTGTGGGTATTTGTGTGTGTGTGTATCTGTTTGTATGAGTGTAAGGTGTGTGTATCTGTATGTGTATCTGTGTAGTGTGGATATCTGTATCTGTGTGTAATATTTGTAGCGTGTGTTTGCATGTATGTCTCTGTGTGTGTGTAGTGTGTTTAGTGTGTATCTGTGTATGTGTAGTGTGTGTGTGTATGTGTGTAGTTTTTGTATACTGTATGTGTGTAATGTGTATATGTGTGTGTATCTGTATTTCTGTGTATCTGCATGTGTGGCAGTGTGTGTGTGTGTCTGTGTATCTGCAGGCATATCAGTGTGTCTGTACATCTGTATGTGTGTCAGTATCTGCATATGTGTCAGTTTTTGATACATTTACTGACACACATACAGTTGCACAGACACACAAACACTGATACACATGCAGATATACAGACACACAAACACTGATACACATGCAGATATACAGACACACAAACACTGCCACACATGCAGATACATAGACAAACAGATGCAATCACTGACACACGTGTAAAATTGGGATAACAGAAGGTTGTCAAATGTACCAAGTTAGAAATGTCAAAAATCAATCCAATAATGATAATGCACTTAATGACCACAAAACAGCAATGGGCCCCCAGTGGTTTTTGGCATAAATAGGGCAGAACATGGCTGAGATTAAGTTTCAGTTTGACTGCCGTAGAAGATGTGAGTGTGTGCTGTGTGTTTGTTTGGCCATTGGCGTCAATGAATAATAGACATTTGCAAAAATTAGTTTTAAGTAGTTCATCTGAATACAATTTCTGGAAATTGCTTTCCGTGTATGAATTCAAGGGATTTTAATTTGTCTAATTCCATTAGTTTATGAACAAATTGAATTTTCAGAATCGATTTGTTTGAGGATTACCAGGCTTGGGCCACACTTATTGGCAATATGGGTGCAAACTCCAAAGTTACCTTGGTAAATTACCTTGCAAGAGAGAGACACGATAAAAAAAAAAGTATCCACAACACAAAAACTGATTATAGGAGATTTATTCCACCATGTGTGGAACCAACAACGTTTCAACCTGACTGAGGGGTCTTTGTTAAAGGGACACTATAGTCACCAAAACCTTAGCTTAATGAAGCAGTTTTGGTGTATAGATCATGCCCCTGAAGTTTCACTGCCATTTAGGAGTTAAATCACTTTTGTTTCTGTTTATGAAGCCCTAGCCACACCACCCATGGCTGTGACTGTGACAGCCTGTATTAAAACAAAATCGGTTAATTTTTAATGAGATGTAACTTACTATAAAAGTTGTTGTTTCCTGCTCTGTAAATTGAACTCTAATCTACAAAGATATTAACAGAGCAGGAGACAGGAAATTCTAAATTAAACAGACTTTGCAGGAAAGGAAGTGTAAACATTAGATAACTCTTTACAGGAAGTGTGTAGGTAGGCTGTGTAAGTCACATATCAGGGAGGTGTGCCTAGGACTGCATAAACAAAGTGTTTTAACTCCTAAATTACAGAGAATTAGGCAGTGAGTCTGCAGTGGCATGATCTAGACACCAAAACTGCTTCATTAAGCTAACGTTGTTTTAGTGACTATAGTGTCCCTTTAACCCCTTAAGGACCAAACCTCTGGAATAAAAGGGAATCATGACATGTCACACATGCCATGTGTCCTTAAGGGGTTAAGCTTCCACACATGGTGCGTAACCTCATATAACAATTTTTGGTTTTGCGGTTTCTTTCTAGGTTGTTTCTAATTGTAAGAAAAGCCAGACGTGGAGTGAACAGTATTGAATGTGCTGCTGGGACAGCAGAAGTCACCATTGCAGCCACCAGAAAAACAGTGTGGGACTCATTGCCATCGGTGGATGGCAAAACCGGGTGTATCAAACAGTAACTTTGTGTTAATGCAAGCATGTGTAACATATTCATCCTCACCTTGTTATATCTGTGCTGGATCAATTTGCCCAGGCTTTCTGTATGCTTCTTACTCGGACAGCGCATCTACAGCCTGAGGTCTCTCCAACTATGTCACCTCCGCCTAATGTACCGCCAGCTATAGTACATAAGGCACCTACTGTCTCCTTATTACCTCCCCCGCATTTTGATGGTAATATTCAGGAATGCCGGGGATTCCTGAATCAAATTGATTACCACTTTGAGGCCTCACCGGGAGCATTGGGAGGCTATTGTGCATGTGTGGCAAAAAGCTGCACGGCCAAACAGCATCTCCATGGGGAGTGTTCAGCGTCTCCATGCAGACTCAATCTAATACTGCCCCCATTTTAATACACTGCCCACAAATTCAATACATTGCCCCCAAATCCAATACACAGTGTCCCTCCCTCTATTCTAATACACTGCCCCCTCACCCAATCTAATACACTGCTCCTTAATCTAATACACTGTCCCTCCTTCCACTCTAATTGAATACATTGCCCCTTCTCCCAGCACTCTAATTTAATACACTGCCCTCCCTCAATTTAATACACTGTCCCCCACCCTCCCCCAATTTAACACACTGCCCGCCTCCACCACTCTAATACACTGCAGCCCTCCCTTCCCCAATTTATCACACTGCCCCCTCCCACCACTCTAATACACTGCCCTCCAACCCAATCTAATACACTGCTCCTTAATCTAATACTGTCCCTCCTCCTACTCTAATTTAATACATTGCCCTCTCTCCCCCAATTTAACACACTGCCCGCCTCCGACCATTCTAATACACTGCCCCCCATCCCCAATTTAATACGCTGGCCCCCCTCCCTCTCCCAAATTAATTCAGTGCTCCCTCCCTAAAATGAATACACTGCCCACTCCCTAACCCAATTTAATGCACTGCCCCCCCCCTCAAATTAAAACAATGCCCCCTCCCCAATTTAACACACTGCACAGGAAGGTCCCCCAAACCCCTCTTCCCCTACCTTAAGATGAGCTGCCCGTCCTCCAGTTCCAGCCCTACTTTTCTTCACTCCTCTGGAAGCAGGAGGGAAGGGGGAGTGACTTCAGGAGCACGCGATCAGCCGAGGGAGGTTAGACAAGATTTAGAGAGGAAATATTGCAGAATGCAGAATGAAAACATAGGGCAAAACAGTTGGAATGTTTTCAAGGATGGGGTACAAGCACTTTATTATTAGCAGTAGTATTCATGGGTGACCCAGGAAGCCCCAGCATTTCCTGGATGATCCAGTCAGGATTACTATGTATCACCATGATCCAAGATGGATCCTTGCATTGTGACCCAAGATCTCACTGCTAATATGGCAGCTGTACCGTGTGATGTATGCCCATGCACTTAAGAGTCTTAGCCAATAGCCTCAGTTGTGTTTCTACAGTACCATACCGTTTTGCCAGTATATATGTGCTTCCATGACTGTGTGTATATATACACATGCAAAAGAAAGAGAAGGCACATATTTATCAGTGGACACTAACCGAGTGTTACGCATCGGGGTGGCTCCACATCTCTTTATTGATGTAACCAAAAGACTTGGGAGTCTCTTTTTAGCCCAGATTGTTTTTTGAAACTCAAGCAATATTGGGGCTCTCACAAGAGCCTTTATAAAGACTTTGTATACATGGGCTTCCATGATAATGTGCGAATGCATGTCCAGGTATGTGTGTGCATATATATGAATACTTGTGTAAGTAAGTATGTTTGAATGGTTTTGCTATGTGTGTATATATGGATTTATTATTACCAGTATAGAAAGCTCTTAAAATCTAATCTGAAGAAAAAAAAAAGATCTGCATGGATGGATGGACGGACAGCGGATGGACAGAAAAACAGGGAGATAGATGGATATGAGGCTTTACTTAACACTTCTTTCCAGGGGCATTTATCGTAGCAGATTTCATTTCTGATGGAGATAAATCGTCTTTATATAACACTGCCCTATAAAACTCAGCAGCAACCTGTGCTCTAATAAGTCATTTTTCTGGGAAATTTGGGGTAAATTGAAGTAATTCCGTAAGATTGCGGCTCATAGCTGGTGAGTGGTCACTGAGTGGGTCTGAATTATGGAAGGTGCAAAGTCACCTATTGTAATAAGCATCAGGGAAATGGTCTGGCTACAGGCAGCAGGCTCCACTTTACCTATTTACCGCAAGATCAGGTCAAGCTCAAGTTTCTTGAGCCAATATTTGGGAGATATCTAATTACTGGTGATGCGGCACAGAGCTGAATACAGTACATCATATTCCTGGATGGATGATGCAAGGACCCAGTTTGATAGTTTTACGAGAACTGTAACTACGGGGCAAAACAATGGTGTTTAAATAAAATATTTAACCGGTACCCTATCTTTCTTTTCCTTCCTAGATAAGAAAACGCATTGAGACAGTGATGAGAAATCTGTTCTTTCTCGATGATTCAAAGGAAGACTCAAAACGCAAAACAGACCCCAAAATGAACAAGCTTGACACTACCCCAAAGGTGACTCGCTCCGTAAACAGGAAGCGAACCTTTTCAGAACCAATACAATATGGCTACTTCCGCAGCATGTTATTCCACCGCACCTCTGCCAGCGTAAGACGCAGATCCTCTGAAAAATCTCAAGAACGGCTCCAAACCCACGGAAGGCGGCAGAGTCTCGATAGCTCGTGCCACAAAGATCCTTTTGCAGAGGAGTAGGAGCAAATTTTCCTGAATATGAAAAAAGTATTTACGTTTAAGAAGTCACTGTCATGTATTTTTTTGATCTGTGCTTTTACGGTTGAATCCTCAACGACCTGCACATTCAATATTTTAGCTTAAAGAGAAATTTCAATGATACGTTTAATTTCAATGATGAATGCAATGTGATATAACGCAGTATTATTCAGTAATGAATAAAAGTGTCTCATTTTTTCTTGTTACCTTATACTTCGTTTATTTAACGACCAGCTCTGTGCTTTGCGTTTTAGTTGAGCATATGGTTTCTAGGCTCCACCCCCTGCGCATAAAACACAGATCCCTTGTTATCTTACCACACCAGATACCCAGAGCTAAATACAGAAAATATACTGCACCTGTTAATATAACACATTATTGTCAGAGAGACTCGGGATTGTCCATCTGCTTCCTGCTGCCAGGCCTTGGCCACCGACACAGAACAGGGGACACACAGCTGGTGGAAAATTGGAGGAAATCAAGAGAGGGATTCCAGAAGGACAGGGGAGTGAAGACACTAGTGGTACATGATGAAGACAAGGGGGTACACATGGGATAAATAAACAATGGCAAATGTTGGTTCCAGAATGGGGAAAGTAAAATTAGCAACAATAAGAGAAAAAGGGTCTTGATCGATGACAAAAACAAAAAGGAGACCTTGACCAAAAGAGCACAAAAATGGAGGGGAGAATCAATTACACCACGGGAAATAGAGACAGAATAAAATATATTAGTGTAATGTGCGACTTTGTGTATGTAAGTTAAGCAATCTGTACTAATAAAGTTATTTCTTTCTTTGGAAAAATTCTCAGGTGCACAGATGTTTGGCCCCCTCTCCTGAGTCCACAACCCATAAAAGAGTATTTCTGGCCTTCTTTGGCTATTTTGGAGTATTGGAATATGTCCAAACCTAGTAATTCAGATGTTTAATGCAATGGAGTGAGATAACAACCCATTTGTTTTATTCAACAGATTGTAATAAATAAATAACTTTAAAACATTTACAGGGGAAATGTGACTTCCAAATATATGTAATATTCATTGGTGTAATTTTCAGAAAATGATGGCTCCCCTTTAAAATGCTGTACTTCAGTACCTATTCAGCAGGCTGAGAAGAAGTTTTAATAGATAAAATATATATTTTCATTTAACATGTCCCGCAGAGTTGACGTCCTTCCAGCTTTCAGATAGCGGTCAAATTCATAAGTCATTCCCCAGTAATTTCCTAACCATGGATTTTGTTGCTGTGATAAAGTTCAACGTTATTCCACCCAATACATCTTGGTTCGTCAGAAAAAAAGCTCTTTTGTCATGGATGGCTTGCTACCAAATCCCATTAGATACTCATCACGGGCTATTAGTTTTGGCTTTTTATTCAACCGGCTAACAAGGAAATATCTCTTAATTTCTGTCATTATTTTGAGTGGCACTAAACTTTTTAAATCTTTTGCTTATTTAAATGTAGCAAAAACTAAAATAAACTTGTTGCGAACACAATGTAAAACTGACAATTATTTGCAGCTACACCCCTTTATACAATGACCCCGGCATTATGGATGATCAAGCTCCGTCAGTTTATTTCCAAACCAAGTACCATTGGTACTTGTCAATTAATAGATAGTTCTGGAGAGATCCCCAATTGATTACTAGCCCACATCCCACATGTTGGGGGGAATTCACTGGCCCACATTTCTTTTTGTAGGCCCTGGAGACTCCTACTGTTTTTTATGAGAATCATAATAAACCCATACAATAGGCAAATGGACACTGTTTTATTAAAATGACACTATGCACTATACCCATTGCAGTTTATTGTAGTTTATATGGTGCTAGGAGGTTATGAGTCCGGTCTTATAAAATAGTTTTCACAAGAATGCTGGTGAACATCCAAATGATTACATACAAACAATGGTTTTTGTATAGGATATAAAATTCATGTCTGTATGGATTTTTACTTCTGTACTCCATAATCTACCTTTGTCAGGAGTGTCCAAGAGAATGTATACCCAATAATCAAAACGGACTCTATTCTTCATCTTGCCCCAATTACAGCTGAACATTGATGTTTAGTGTTCTTTACGGTAAATGTCAATCACACTGGTACATGTTTACCTCTACCCCCATACCGTACCTCTGTTTGAGATGATTCCTGCTTTTATGTGACATGGTTTACAAATAGTGACATATATCACAATAAGTCAACTCTGTCCTAACTATATATGATGGATAAATAAATAGTAGTTTCACTCCAGTTTTCTCTGTGTGACATCCGTAGCCCCCATTTCTGTCACTTCTAATTCCCGCAATTTGGGGAAAAAAGAGATGTTTTATTGAAATATCATACATTTTCACAAACATCAAAATCGGACTTATTGTAAGCAGAAGTAGAGAGGGCATAGAGGTCATGCTACACATGGGCTGCCGGGCTCATGGGAAATGACAGGAAGTCTTTAATTAATGGGAAAAAGTAATTTAAGGGCTTATTCTCTAAGCATTTTAATGAGATCTGAGTTGCAGAATTTGGTGAACATGTTCAGAGATAGATAAATTCAGGTTTAGTTATTTTCACTTAAATATTATAACAGGGTACATTATAATGAATATTTTAGGATATATTTCTTCGAATCATGGCAATGCTTACCAACAAAGGTGATAGAAGTAAAACGAAATCTCCAAGCACCATAACCACTACAGTCTTTTGGTGGCAGGAATGCCCTGCTGCTCTCTCCGGGTAAATAGTAAAACTGTTTAACAACATTTTGACAACATCTTTGGGCTCTGCAAGGCACCTACTGCCACCTCCTCTGCCACCGGGGAGGGCTCTAACCAAACCAGCAGGCATACTAAATATTTAGTAATTAATTAACTCTCAGATATCCAGAAATTGTCCAACAACTGCTCGACTGCTTAAAGGAACACTATATCATTATTTATTTATAAAATATTTTACCAGGATGGATACATTGAGATTTCTCTCGTTTTCAAGTATGTCCTGGGTCCACAAAACATTGCATTGATACATTAGGGTACAATATTCCAAAAATACAATATACAAACAATATATATATATATATATATATATATACACACATACACACATATATACATTTAATACATAACAGGTAATAAATATATTCGACTATGACAGGTGCATTTTGTGCTGAGGTATATTGCCATAGATCTCATAAAAGATTTTCGATTGAATGAAGATTTGAGGTTATTCCATAATTGCGGTGCTCTTTAGGAAAATGAGGATTGAGACACTTTATTTTTGTATTGCAGTATGCTAAATATCGTGCTAGTACTGGATCGGAGGTTATTGGAGGTAGGAACAGCCGGGGAGAGCATTCTACTCCGGTAGGGTGGGAGCTTCCCAGGAATGCTCTTATGCACAAGGCTGGAAAGATGAAGAGTGTGCCTGGATTCCAGCGACAGCAAGTTTAGCTCTTTTAACATGTCACAGTGGTGGGTAAAGTAATTACATTCTAGTACAAAGCGTCAGAACAAATTATATAACGTATTAAGTTTATTAAGGTGGGTTGGCGGTGCGGGTGCATATACTACATCCCCATAATCAATGACCGGCATTAGCATGTGTTGCGCTATCTGTTTCTTTACTGTAGGGCTTAGGCCGGATTTGTTTCTGTAAAGGGCACCTAGTTTGGGGTAAAGTTTTGAAGATTTTTTCAATGTGAAGGCCAAAGGATAGATTGGGGTCTAGCCTAGATATTAAAAGAGCAGACTGCTGTCAGTGTGCAATTTGAATTTGTTCTGATACACAGTTGTTGATTTTGTAGTTTACGTAATTTAGGTACAGTTCCAAAGATCATTGTAACTGTTTAGGAAAAGTTTGTTATCTGCTATCCACTTTTCTACCTCTGTGAGTTGGTTTAGGAGCACAGCCTCAGATTGGGTTTACTAGCGTAGATTACAGTGTTGTCTGCATACATGTGTACAGTTGAGGATTTTCAGACATTAGGCAGATCATTTATAAATAATGTGAATAGCAGGGGGCCGAGTATGGAGCCTTGGGGACAGGGCCGGCCCAAGGCATTGTGCTGCCTGGATCCAAGGATGAAATTATGCCTCCCCCCATACACACACACACCAATACCAAGCCCACCAAAACACATGCACTTTTATTATGTAATTATCATTAAAAATATAAATTATAACTAAAATGAACCTTATCAGGATCATGATAAGCTCAATACATCCCACGAGCAATGCACACTAAAGTAGAAGTCACAACATATATGCTTCTGCAATGGTAGTAAAATATTAGCGAAGTACATTGTATGACAATCACTAACAATTACAAACCAGAAAAAAGTGTGTTAAATTGTAATGTGGGATTTATGCCATTAGATAAGGTTGTTTCTGTACTACATCCATCTATATTATTAAATGTTTTTTTTGTTTCGTTTTTATAGGGCTAGCTGGTGGACGTTGTACAATGCAGGGCCTGCATAAGGCAGATTGTAATATTGCTGTATAGTTACAATACTCACAGATTGTATACAGAACATAGTGGGTAATCGCGATGCAGCATACAAACATAGAACTATCCCAATTACCACCCAAATAATGAGTCAACGTAGTATGGATGAAACAGGCCACATCATTTATTATAAGATATGATAAATACTGTATAACACATCTATAATTTATTGTAATATTCTTCTTTACTTGATATAAACCAAACGTCAAACATAAATACCGTAACTTAACAAATAAGTTAACATATAGTGTCATATATTATTTACCTTTCACCCTAGCTGCGCCGGTCTCCTCGCTCAAGCTCATTCTCTTTGGCTGAGGTCATCAGCATTGACTATCTCAGCCAATCCAATGCTTTGGAACGCTAGGGCGGTTGCGCGGCAAAACACTGCGCTGTGCCAATCTGATGGTCTTCTGCAAAACTGGGACAAAAATCGCAGCGTTTTAACTGCAGAACGGCAATTTTTTCAACTGCAGGGCTAAAAGGGCGGCATGAGGCCCCCAGACCTCTTCATTGAAATTTGGTCCGGGTGCCTGTAGTGTTCCTTTAGATGTGTATTCATTAAACGGTGAATTACAGGGAACCCGCATTCTGATTTATAAAATGTACTCCAAATATGTGAATTAAAACCATATCAGCTTAGAAGCATTACTTCATCGTAACAGTACACCAAGTTCAACCATTAGCAATTAGCAGTGTACTCTGTAGCTTCCTTATAGGAAGCCATTTTTCATATAATTGACAGGTCAGTCTCACTCTGAGTGCATGTAATCAATCTTATCTGATCTCGCCTGTTCAATCATTACATACTGGGTTATATTTTAAGAACAATCAGGGTTATGTATAAAGTCGCATTGTGGAGTTCGAAAACTGGAGCAGTCACCATGGCAACCAATAAAATGTCTTTGCTGATTGCACCATTTTTAGAAGTTTTCTCCAGGAATGACGTTTATAACTTCCAGCACATGATGAGCTGAAAGGCGAAACGCGCGTCAGGGGCATCTCTGCTCACATTCAGTTCTAATTCAGTTCTAAATCGCTGCGGAATTTATTGGCGCTATATAAATAATAACATAATAATAATAATCATCACACGTCGACCGGGACATGTCACGATACAACTAGTAGCGTTCATGGTTTACTTTACTTACGTGGCGACCATTGTACAATAGCTACTTTCATTATACCAATGGTGGGGAGTGTTGCTGCATTTTAGTTAGTATAGGGAGAGTTTTTGGTAATAAAGGGATTCTCCAGTGCCAGGAAAACAAACCCATTTTCATGGCTCTGAGTGCCCCCATCCCATGTCGCTGAAGGGGTTAAAACCCCTTCAGACACACTTACCTGAATCCACCAGGTCCGCCAGATCCACCTGAATCCACCACATCCGTCAGCGGGGCAGACCTAATGCGCAAGCACAGCAATGGCCGTGCGAGCGCATTAGACCTCCCCATAGATGGCCACTAGAGGAGGACTTAACCCTGCAAGGTGATTATTGCAGTTTATAAAAACTGCAATAATTACATTTGCAGGGTTAAGGGTGATGGGAGTTGGCACCCAGCCCACTTCAATGGGCAGAAGTGATCTGGGTGCCTGGAGTGTCCCTTTAAAGCGTGCCCACTTAGGCCCAATAGGGCAATCTGTATATAATATACCTTTGAGCAATCTGATAAGGACACCAATATCCGTTTGGATACATTGTTGCACTACATAAGGCTACTATGCCGATTTAATTTGTTTTCTAGCAGCTAACCACCCTCAGCAACATTTTGATAGGGTATATCTGTGAGCTATTTTTCATCCAATAGAGGCCAAGTTACCTCTACAGGTTTTTAAATCACTGTTTGTTTAGTAGTGGATAGTCTACCAGATACCGTTACAAGATGCTATCGTGGATATCATGCGATCACCGTTTAGTAGACTTTCCCTATTAGTTAATTGATTCGGTGCTTACTTGTTGATTACACTGCAGAGCCCAGGATTTGATTACACTTTTTACCCAATATTTAGTAAAAGTTAAGTTTGAATTAGTAGGACCTGTATAGTTCTAGGTATTATTCCACTTTTATAAATTCTATATTGTGTACTCCAACTCCCTCTCTTTGTTGTCTTGTTAACGCACATATAGGGGTTACACCCCAAAGTTTGCATTCACTGATTTTAACACATTTAGGAAGGCGGGGTGTTTTAAAAAAACCCTGTCAAGGCAGCTTTCAATAAGTAGTAGTTAATACATGGGTGACATGACCGGCAGAGACAATTTAAAAAAATAAATAAATATAAATGTGATAAGAAACAGAAATATACACAAATTACATAGTTTAGACTTAAAGCAACTCACATACCATAAATAGTTCATTTGATAATGACATACAGGTAGGTGGATATCAGGCCATTCAATAGGCCGAAGACAAAACCAAGGTAAGGAAATTAGTATTGCTAATATTTCAAGACAGTGTGTGTGGTCCACGAATTCTTTGTAACGCTGGATGCAGATTTCAAGCCTATAAAACCGTGCTTGCTAGACGCCAGAGTTTGCCAACGCCGCTAAGGAGCGTGATATGTCTAATTTATCTTACTGCTCCTTTAATGATGTGTATTTGGCAGCATTTGCTCGAGAAATAAAACAATAGTTAGGTTTTATTTACTAAACCAGTGTTTTCTATAGAAGGGATAGCCAAATTGCCCGTTTGGGCTACTAAATTATCCACTTCACATTAAGGCCCAGACTTTCCAATTCTATTTTCAATTCTTTTAAGTGAGTAAACTGGATGTGAACTGATGAAGTATTGTGAGATCTAAAGGACAGAAAGTCCACGTTTAAAGCTTGTGTTATGTGATTGTTTATCAAGCAGATATTGCAGGTTTCGGTTTGTCTTTAGAAAAAATAAACTATAACAGAGGGCAGATAGTTTATGAGATGATGTAAATAATATATATATATATATATATCAGAACTGTGTGTTTCATACGTCTTTTGCAAAATGATGATATGGAACTATAAGAGTCGGCATGTTTATCTGGACATAAATCGTGTATTCTTGCTGTTGCGTACTAAATGTCAAGTGTTGGCCTGCAACATCTGCCATTCATAATCAACAGGAGGGATATCCGTTGATTAATCAAGGCAGTCCAGATAGGATCATTAGGTAATCAGTTATTTTACAGCATTTAATCCTTATTAGTTATTTGTGTGTTTTCACTAAAGTGAAAACTGTCAGGAATTAAGTGATTTTCTAAGACTAAAGTTGCCAAACTGGAATACTTGTCAGTTGGGTTTACAATTGGACTATTTTGGCCTTAAATTTGAAACTTGCTTAAAATTCCTGTCAATTCTTATTGTAGTGCTCTCCAGCTGTCAAATTTATTGTGTATTAAATTTTAATTCATTGTGTAGGTGTATTGAATTTTTATGATTATTTTATATTTGTACTTATTGTACAGCGCTGCAGAATATGTTGGTGCTCTATAAATACTATTTAAACCAGAATGTTTAATTAGAATCCCTGGAAATTTGCAGAATATTGAGGTTTTCTTCCATTAGCAGAGAATCCTGGATCACCTGTAACTGTATTCTCATAGTGATTATTTGCTTTAATGACTTCAAAGCTAAACGGTTTAACTCCTTTATGGCAAGGATTTAGATAAACACTTATGTCAAACCATGCATGGCTTGTGATTGGTACTTAACAGGTTAAAACACATATTGCAACAATCCCATTAAGAACTCAAGTCAGACATTTTATATTTTAACTTTTCAATTTTATTCGCCTCAAGAAAAATAACTTTGTTTATATACTTTATATACTGTACATTATTAACACGAGTGCAATTAGAAAATATACCCACCCTTTTATGTAAACAATAATGCATTGACCTGTCAAATAATTTAAGTTAGACCTCTCTCTATATACATATATTTATATATTTATAAAATGTCTCTCTACTCACAAGAAACCACAGGCTAAAATCCCAGTCTTATAAAATTAAAACGTTATAGTTAAAGTACCTTTTCCCCCCCTAATCAATCAAATCTTATATCCACTGACCCTTTCATAAACTTACACAGGATGCTAAGATTTCAGTAAGGGGTTAATGCATTAACCCTCCCCCCCATTGGTTATCAGCTGAGTTTTTAGTGAATAAGCCCCCTGTAGACATAGTCTTATACCAGGAATCCTTTCAGAAGGCAGGGCAGACCAGGACATATTGATCTGCCTTTCAGTGCAAGTATATCAGCCCTGTATAACACAATTAGCAATCTTAGACCCCCTCCCCTCTCGTGACGAAGTGCAGCATCCCTTAGCAGATACTATTTAATTTAAGATCGTTAGGTACAGTAGAGAGATGAACAAAGACAGTAGCTCAGGATTATTTTGTGGTTTCTGGTATAGTCAGTTCTGTAGCTCTGACAGGTAGCGAGATCTTCAAGTATACAGTATACAATTAGCCCTTTAAATTGTCTATAAGTCATTGTCTTGTTTATGCCACCAAGTGCATTCTGGGATGGGGAATGTGCATGTCCTCATGTCCACGCAGCTTGGCAGAGCAGACAGCCAATGAGAAAGCTGAATAGGAGAGTCTAGTAAACCACGTGGACAGTCCTTGTGCAGGCACAACAATGCTTTCAATGCGTTGCATAATATTCTGAATTCCACTGAGCCGAGAGCTGCCACGGGGCACGCAGGCAGGAGGCACACAATGGAAACTGCTTCAGCAGGACAATCGTTGTCCTTACGCCACGGGGACATTGATGGGATGGTGTCTGTGTTCTGGCCACAGAGGTAACCTCGGGACAAGAGGTGCGAAGTTATCCCAGTGCTATAAAAAGTTAATTTTATGAGTGCTCAGTTTATGAAAATACAAAGCAATAGGGCTAACTCGTATTGAAACCAGTGTCCTCTTCTGCTTGTGGAACTCGAAGGAGCAAAGCAAGCACTGAGTTGCAAGTAACCCTTTGAATGTTTGGGTCTGGCGCAGATCTTTGTTCACTCTGTTCGCCTTCTCCCAAAAACGGCCGACATGCTACGTACAATGCCCTTGATGCCGGTATTTTTCTTATTGGAGTTCCTGGACTCCCGAAGACTCTCAAGGAGTTGGTGGAAGACCACCAGAGAGCCATGGTAGGTCTCGGCAGCTGAGGTTTCAAAGAAGTCACAATCTGACGAGATGGCTAGTAGTCTGCCTTCCTCGCTGGGGATTTCCCTTCTGTGCTGCAAGTCCCTTTTGTTCCCAACAATGATAACCGGAACGGTGCAATGACGCTTCTTCATTTGGTGAATTCGCTGGAGTTGCTGCCTCACTACATTAAAGCTATCACGGTCACAGATGCTATAGACCAAAATGAAACCGTCTGCCCATCTCAACTGTTCTTCGGTAACACAATTGTTCAGGTTAGGGTTCTGTGAGAGAGGGAAAAAAAACGAGAAGGTTAGCACTTAAGCGTCCTGACCAGAAGAGCTTACAATCAAATGCTAATGTTAATTGACTAAGAGCTTACACATTTTAAATGTTACCCCCTGCCCTGCATTGGAGGGTTGGAGGTTGAGGAAGGATGCATAATAAAACCGCTTAGTGGGTGAGATCTCTGTAATTTCTATATTCTAGAAAGCTCTGCAGTCAGAGAACCCTTTAATCTCACTATTAAACATATTTGTTTTAAGTTAATTCTTTTTTTTTGCTAGTTAGTGTTCATATTGCCAGAACACTGTTTAGTGAATATACTTCATGATTTAAAAACAAAAATGCTCCCCTATTTGTGCATTTAAAGTTTACTTTATAACTTGATCGGGAGACTTTTACAACTTAATTATCAATGTCTAAAAGATCATTTTGTTTTAATATCGCTTGACAATTTATTCTTACCTGTGGACAGACAGAATCCCAGATGCTAAAAAGAGTCTCTCGACCATCGACATTCACATTGTGTGTGTAAATTGATTCTGCAGAAAGAGAATAAAGGGGAAAAAACTGTTAGTTTAAACTTGGAACTGTCTCCCAGCAGAGGAGTCAACTATAAAGTATACGCTGAGTGTTAAGTCTTAGCAATGGGAACTAGTCTATCAAATGTGATTTACATCTATTTTAGGATCAACTTTTTAAATATGGGTTTAATCATTAAACGGTGAATTGTAATTAACGTTTTCAAGAACCCGGGCTATTTAGCAAAAAAATTCCAATTCGGTTCTAAATTCATCACAATCACTATTTAGTGAATGAACCCCATTCTATAATTGTATAAGACGAAAGCACATCGGTCATTATCTACGGATTATATTAAATGTGAATGCAGTATTAACACTTACCAGTGCCAACATATTCTCCGATAAATCTTCTGGTGAGAAATCGAACAGTAAGAGCTGTAAATCAAAAGAGAGCTGGGATTAGCACAAAATAAATGAATGCAAGACAAATTTATGTCGTTAATTTTTTTTAAACATTTAATTTTATTCTTTGCATTTTGTACGTTTTAGATATCTGGTTATTCACAGGTGCAATGCCTGATTAATTATGAATGTTTTCTGCGGAGCTTGTCCCAAAAGCTTGCAATCAAAAATATTTTTTTTTTAAAGTAAGGGAAGGACTTATATGTAAAAAAAAAATAATAAAAAAATACTAATTGTAATGCACTTTAAAAAATGTTGGTGCTATACAAAAAAATCACAATATAATAAAATTAAAAGTTGTCTCACCAGATTTCCCAACATTTTCCGCTCCGAGCACCAAGATATTGGCTTCTACTTTTTGCTGTTGGTGGCCAATCTCAGACATCTTGCTGTTTGGATGGTGGCTAGTACAGATTTGAACAACCATTTGTAATCCTGTGTTTGGTTGGAGCTGAGGAAGGATGTGCAGTGGGAGCAGAGCTGTGTGTTGTATGTTCAATGCGGTCACTGCCACTGGTTTTATAGAGCTGCCCGGAGCAGGGAGGGGGACGAGGGGCAAAGTCTACAGCCAATCCATAGCTTCCGCTACAGCAATGCCTGTTCTTTAGAAATCTAAAAACGGTTCTCTCCCTGCAGGGGAGCTTAACATGTGTCTAAGTCCTAATCTAATCAATCAATTAGAGCCTCTGCAGACACGCTCTGCCACACAGAGGATATAACCTGCTAAGCCAAAGGAATACACAGTGCTTTGATTTCTATACAATCTTGGCACTGGGAGGTTAAAATTGGTGACATAGATTAGTGAACTAGTAATATAGTAATATACTCAGTATAGTGCCATGTTTTGATTGACAGCGGTATAAGTAATTACTTCAGAATATCAGTGGCAGCTCAAAGTTAATTTCCAAGTTACGTTATATGCAGTTTAGAGTACTTAAATGGTTAAAAATGTACTATTAAATGTTAATGCCTACCCCCCCACTTCCATTTGCAAAATGATTCCTTGTCTTGGCAATACTATTACCATCTAAAGCCTGGGAATATATTTAAAATGCAGGAACTGTTAATATCTTTTCTATGTTTTATTATTTGGTAATGGTTGTTTTTGCGTTTTCTTTAAATACATAATACAGGGAGTGCAGAATTATTAGGCAAGTTGTATTTTTGAGGATTAATTTTATTATTGAACAACAACCATGTTCTCAATGAACCCAAAAAACTCATTAATATCAAAGCTGAATATTTTTGGAAGTAGTTTTTAGTTTGTTTTTAGTTTTAGCTATGTTAGGGGGATATCTGTGTGTGCAGGTGACTATTACTGTGCATAATTATTAGGCAACTTAACAAAAAACAAATATATACCCATTTAAATTATTTATTATTACCAGTGAAACCAATATAACATCTCAACATTCACAAATATACATTTCTGACATTCAAAAAAAAACAAATCAGTGACCAATATAGCCACCTTTCTTTGCAAGGACACTCAAAAGCCTGCCATCCATGGATTCTGTCAGTGTTTTGATCGGTTCACCATCAACATTGCGTGCAGCAGCAACCACAGCCTCAGCCTTCTTCTTTTATACCCTTTCTTGCCAGCCACGCTGTGGAGTACTTGGACGCGTGTGATGGAGCATTGTCCTGCATGAAAATCATGTTTTTCTTGAAGGATGCAGACTTCTTCCTGTACCACTGCTTGAAGAAGGTGTCTTCCAGGAACTGGCAGTAGGACTGGGAGTTGAGCTTGACTCCATCCTCAACCCGAAAAGGCCCCACAAGCTCATCTTTGATGATACCAGCCCAAACCAGTACTCCACCTCCACCTTGCTGGCGTCTGAGTCGGACTGGAGCTCTCTGCCCTTTACCAATCCAGCCACGGGCCCATCCATCTGGTCCATCAAGACTCACTCTCATTTCATCAGTCCATAAAACCTTAGAAAAATCAGTCTTGAGATATTTCTTGGCCCAGTCTTGACGTTGCAGCTTGTGTGTCTTGTTCAGTGGTGGTCGTCTTTCAGCCTTTCTTACCTTGCCCATGTCTCTGAGTATTGCACACCTTGTGCTTTTGGGCACTCCAGTGATGTTGCAGCTCTGAAATATGGCCAAACTGGTGGCAAGTGGCATCGTGGCAGCTGCACGCTTGACTTTTCTCAGTTCATGGGCAGTTATTTTGCGCCTTGGTTTTTCCACACGCTTCTTGCGACCCTGTTGACTATTTTGAATGAAACGCTTGATTGTTCGATGATCACGCTTCAGAAGCTTTGCAATTTTAAGAGTGCTGCATCCTTCTGCAAGATATCTCACTATTTTTGACTTTTCTGAGCCTGTCAAGTCCTTCTTTTGACCCATTTTGCCAAAGGAAAGGAAGTTGCCTAATAATTATGCACACCTGATATAGGGTGTTGATGTCATTAGACCACACCCCTTCTCATTACAGAGATGCACATTACCTAATATGCTTAATTGGTAGTAGGCTTTCGAGCCTATACAGCTTGGAGTAAGACAACATGCATAAAGAGGATGATGTGGTCAAAATACTAATTTGCCTAATAATTCTGCACTCCCTGTATGTGCAGCTTATTAAAGCAGAGCAAGATTAACCATAAGAGGACCATACGCAGCTGCCTAGAGTCAAGAGGTTAGACAGGGTCCACTGAGCCATACCTTTCCTTGACTCCATTCATCATCCCTATGTGTACGAATGAAAAGGGGACCCCAAACTGTTAACCTGCCGAGGGCCATGTAAGATCTTAATCCTAATCTGCAGTGAGGGGTGGGTCTGTTCCGGTCTGTGCTGCCCCTTTAAGCTTTTACGGCTAATGTTTGTAAACTAAAGTTTTATACTTGCCTGATATCTTTAAGCCAATGAGCGTGGTCCTGTATTGGCCGTGTTTAGGCTGCCAAGAAATAACCATCAACCCCAGACAAGTTGCCAAGCTGTTTTAAAACAGATTGATAAATGACACTGATATAGCACCAGGGTACTACTGGCAGTAGTAACATACATACTACAGCAAGATGCAGTGGTTATAGTGTTTGGAATGTCCCGTTAAACATGTCTCTATCATTTGCACACATTGGATTTAAGAGGGACAACCCCTAAACATGTCATTAGTTGTCATGTCATATTTTAGTTTGCATTGTACCAAGATGGGATTAAAAACTAAGAGTGTGTTCTTTATAATATCATATTCTTTCTACTTGATATTACTGGAAGGGGGTGGGTAAGTAGGTTTCTGTGGTATAAATTCCATGGAAGTCATTGCTAAACCTCTCAGATGACTGTGTTTAAGGCAGGAGGAATCCGGATGAGGCTCGATGTTTGGCTGGGGCCTACAGGAGTTGGCTTCGCTCAAGCAGTGAAACGGAACTAATCAATGTATGAATCCAGCAAAGGAATCCAGTGTATGTGCTAACAGAAACCCCATCTGAAGCTCGACCTCCCTGGCTGTAGGACGTAGGGGTCGGTCTCTATGGATAAGTCTCTGAGTTGTACGATCGATGACCGTTGACAAGATTTTAAGTAATGAGTAAGGTGGAGCCTGTCTGTAATCAATATTTCCCCTTTCACCTAAATGCATGGTCTCCTTGTGGCCTACCATACCGACATTAAACTGGTTATATTGAGAAGATACTGTGCAGTGATGGTTAACCTTAACACCCCACATGTTTTGCAAACTATTTCTCATGGCAGGTCAGGTCATCATGCGGAACATCATTTTCAAGCATCTGTGATATCAATGTTGGCCGTTCCATGTTTATATATATATATATATATATATACACACACACACACCACTTTTTTTTTTTGCAATGGCAGATCGCATGGAAAAGTAACGCTAGGCTTGTGCAAAAGTCATATCATTTATTATTATTATTATTATTATGTTATTTATATAGCGCCATCAAATTCTGCAGTGCTTTACAATGGGTGGACGAACAGACATGTAGTTGTAACCAGACAAGTTGGACACACAGAAACAGAGGGGTTGAGAGCCCTGCTCAATGAGCTTACATGCTAGAGGGAGTGGGGTAAAATGACACAAAAAGTTAATGATAGTATTAGACTAGTGACAGTTGCAGAAGAGGAATCAGTCAGGAGCTATTAACAGTTTAATTGATACGCTTTTATGAAGAAGTGGGTTTTTAACGATTTTTTGAAGCAGTGGAGACTGGGTGAGCATCTAACGGAGGAGGGAAGCGTTTTCCACAGGAAAGATGCAGCCCTCGAGAAATCTTGAAGGTGAGCATCAGAGGTGGGAGTACGGACAGAAGATAGACGGTAGTCTTCAGCAGATCGTAAGGGCCTAGACGGGACATACTTGTGTATAAGGGAGGATAGATAGGTGGGAGCAGCATTATGTAGCGATTTGAAAGCAAGAACCAGAATTTTAAATTGAGCTCTATATTTTATAGAAAGCCAATGTAGGGACTGACAGAATGATGAGGCATGGGAGGTGCAGGCGGACAGGAAGATGAGCCTACCGTATTCATTATGGACTGTAACGGCGTAAGTTGGGAGCACGTAAGACCAGTGAGAAGCGGATTACAGTAGTCAAGGCGAGAAAGGACAGTGGAATGGACCAACACACAATGTTTTTGAGATGGAAATGACCGGATGTGACATGAGGCTTGAAGGAGAGGTCGGAGTCAAAGAGAACACCTAGGCAGCGAGCCTGCGTGGTGGAGCTGATGGTAGCACCGTTGACTTGGAGGGAGACAGACACAGGAGTAACAACACTTGAGGGAGGAAAGACCAGAATTTCAGTTTTGGTCAAGTTTATTTTAAGGAAGTGGACAGCCATCCAGTTAGAAATAGCAGAGAGGCAGTCAGAGACACTAGTCAAGAGGGACGGGGAGAGGACAGGTAGATTTGCATGTCGTCTGCATAGAAATGATATTGGAAGCCAAAGGAGCTAATGAGTTTACCAAGGGAGGCAGTATAGATGGAGAACAGTAGGGGACCAAGGACTAAACCTTGGGGGACACCAACAGAGAGGAGTTGGGGAGAAGCAGAGCCAGAGAAAGAAACACTGAAAGAGCACTGGGAGAGTTAGGAGGAGCACTGGGAGAGAGCAATATCTTGTAGACTGTGTAACGAAACCCCTGTTTGGACAGACTAAGGGAAACAGCATTTCGTCTAAATATTCGTGTGTTTGGCTATTTTGTGTATACGTAAAAAAGCCGAACAAACTCCCGAACCACCCGACCTCCCACCAGGGTCGTGTGCAGCTCATTTACCACCCAGACCTTGCGGTTAACCACAAGGTAATTGATGAAAAGCTTGGTGGTCTGCGTTCGTTTGCCGAACACGTGGCTGTTGCCATTTTAAAATCGTCGAACACTCAGCGGTAGATGGTCGTCCACCCTCTGGAACTGTTTTTGGACACTTATTTAGCCACACACCACTGAAGCGTACCAAGTTCCCGTCCATTCGTTTAATAACTCATGAACACCTTACCGTTCGGGACTTTCCTACTATACGAG